ACAGCAGTCCAAGAAGAAGAAGACAACGTGAAAAAAATAGAAATAGTTGGCCAAATCTAAAATTGTCTTTCGTCGTGAAATTGCAAACTGTTTTTTTTCTTCTTCTTCTTCTTTTCAACGCGAAAACAGAGAGTTATTATGTAATGGGGCCGAGTGTTGTTGCTGTTGCTGCTGCTGTTGTGTTGTGTTCGTTTTTTTCGTTTTCCCGGCTGCTTTCTATCGAACCGCCACGATAAATACATTCAAATTACTTTGGTTTGGCCACTGAAGTGAGTACCATGTAATAGAAAATGTAATATAATTATTTTGTAATCGAATCGGCGTGCCGCTTTTCTTTGTCCATTCGATTCTCTTTCGCTCTGTTGCACACACGGCGTGTGTCTTTCTCGCTGTTTCGATCGTGGTCGCCGTCGTCGTCGTCGTCGTCGTGTTCCGTTTTTGTCGGGGCCAGACCATTTTCGTCGAATAGAAATTACACACCGATTCAAATATGTATGCGAACCACTTAAATCGCATTCGACCACATAACTTCATACCAAACATATTTTCGGTTAAACTAAATTTATACGCTTGTTGAATGTGTGCTGCAGCAGCAAATGACCCAACTGTATTCTTCGCACTTTGCCAGTGAGTGAGCAAGAGAGAGAGAGAGAGAGAGAGAGAGTAGGCAGCTCGCGAGCTGTCGAGCCAAGTGAATCGAACAACAAAGAAGAAACACAGAAGAGAGAAAAAAAAGCGAACGAGCGATCGTTTAAATGAAGAAATCCCAATTCATCTAGAGAAACTAATAAAGAATTTCGTCAAACGGCAGCGCCTCGCATTTTACCGAGGAATTCGGCTAGAAAAACGCGGCAAATATTCGAAATTCAAAGCAAAAAAAAAGAAACAAAACGAAGACGAATTAAAAAAAAACCTCAAAGTACATGAAAAACAATAGCCTATTTCATATGCAACTACAAAAAAAGAGCATCAACAAATTCAAATTGTCCATTATACAATTCTAATGACTTTTCCATTGCAATTTGGCGTGTGTTTCTTTTATAATTTTTTTTCGTTTCGTAGTTGTTTTCGCTGTTTTGTACTGTTTTTTTCTCTCTCTCTCTCTCTTCTTTCGTTTACACTTGAATCGTTTGTCGATTGTATGTGCCGAGTATGTATATCTATCTGTCAGCATATTTTCATTAATGCCAAGTTATTGTTGTTCGGATTCTTGTGTTATTATATTGTAACGTTGCTTCTTCATTTCGGTTTGCTCTGTTTTCTTGCCTCCATTTGGCGAAATGTTTTTCGATTCACCGTTATGAATTTCGGCGTGTTGTAGTTTCGTGAGTGCTTGTCGTCGTCGTCATCATCGTCGCCGTCATCGTCTTCATCAATAAGACAATGCAAAAATGAGGCTAACAGAATCGAAAGAAAAAGAAACACACGAACACACTCATCAGCCACGGCCTCTTTCGTGCCTCTTTCATTTTGTGCCTTTTCTTTGGCTCTTTCATTGTACTGAGCCATGATGGCTCACAGTGCAAATGGCTAAATGAATTTTTAATTATATGATTTTTGTAAATTAATATTCTATTGTTTATATTTCGAACAGACAAAAAAAGTAACAAAACTCCGAAGTAAACAGTTTAACCATGCGCTTTTTTTCTCTCTATCCCTCTCTCTTCGACGTTCATTGTTGCCGTTCGCTTCTCTCGTGCTATTTTATGGAAATAAAAGGAATAAGCGAACAGATTAGCAACTATGATTTATTATTTGTGTTGTTTCTCTCGGCTCGGGTCTCGAGAGTTTGCACAGAATCGCACGCAAGACAGGGAAAGAGTGATGGAGATAGATGGCGAGAGAGAGTGAACGTACGCGTAAACCGTTTCTTCACTCTTTCTTGTCTTTTGTTCAATATTCAAAACATTCTTTGTATGCTGATTCAGTGAATAAATATGCAACGATAATGTCACGTTGTGCAAAAAGACACTTTGACTATCTTTTAATTATAGACGGTTTGAGTGAGTGTGTGTGTGTGTGTGTGTGTGTGTGTGTGTGTGCGAGCGAACGAACGAAGCTGTGGCTGTGTGAGTGTCAGGAGAAAAAGAAAATGAAAAGCATTTTGTTGAATGGCGTGCGCTTTGAATGTTGAAACTTCTAATGCGACACATGAACGAGTTTGAGGCAACTAGAGAGTAAAAGACAAGCTATTGACTTTGATATATTGACCAAGCGCGCGAGCGCCTTCACCAAACTACTGGCAGCGAGCGGGAGAGAGAGAGTGAGAGAGAGATGCTAATATTATGTAGAAAATGCCACCATCAAGTCAAAATATAGCGCTTGAACCGACGACGATGATGATGATGACGACAATGGCGACAATGGTATGTTCGAGGCACGCAACTAAAACGGCTCGAAAATATGCAAAAGCGTTGACACATACCAAAAAAAAAAATGTTTTCCTCTTTTTTTACACAATAACCAATTCACACCAAAAATAAACGAATTAAGATATGCGCTTACATTACATTGTGAGCTCGACACACAAACACCGACTCAGGCACGCACGCATCTCTCGCTCATCACAATACACAATCCATTCCATTGATTTCGGACAGAATTTTTACGGCAGGGCTCTGCTTTTGACCTAACTGAGATAACACACTGACGATGAAACTAAAACTCACATTCACAAGAAGATCATTGTACATCATAATGGTTATATCGTCGGCATCGTTGATTTGATCGTGGGTAAACGAGATATGTATGTGTTTTTTTTTTTAAACTCTATCTCGTCTCTCCACTTGGTTAACTTTCAATGCTCGCGTATTTCGTAGCGCATTTTTTTCGGTCTCTCGTTGGTCGTTGTTGTTCGTTTTTGGTATTGTTGGCCACCAAGTGAATGGACCAAATAAATTATGAATATTTACTCACATCATTTCATTGTTTGTGTCGAGTTCGTTCGTTTGTTCGTTGTTTTTTTTTTATGTGGCGCGTAAAGTAATTTTACGCGTTGGGCCATCATCTCCATTTTAATATGATTGCACACACATCACATGGCTGCAGTTGAGCGGCGGCAGCTACTTCACCAAATTTGTACATTGACATCGACATCGACATCAACAAATCGCTTCCTTTTTCTTTTCCTATTACGATTTAAATATATTGCCTCTACGTTCTCTTATGCGTTCTTCTTTTTCCTTCTCTCCCTCGCAATCTTCTTCGCTTTACTTTGTTTCACATTTTGACATTCTCAATTGAACATTCTAACATGTTTCGAGTTGTTAATTTGAGTGGTGTTGCTGTTGTTGTTATTTTTTCTGCTTCTTCAGTCTTGTCTTGAGTACGTTTCTTCCATATCTTTGGAGTGTGTTGATTCATAACACTAACTTTGGACTGGCAATAGGCTAGTTAGCGTCGTTGTTGTTTTTTTTCTATTTTTGTGAAGTAGCTGCGCAAAATGATCATCATTTTTGGCAACGGGGCGAGAAAAGACAATAATTTTGGAGCGTTCGCGCCTGCTCAATTCACTTGACGCAGAAACGAAGAAATAGAAATGAACAAGAAACAAAAAAAAAATTACATGATTCACAAAAGACAAAGCGAAAACTTCAACGCTAAATTTGGCATGTTGAACTTTTGTCGATGTTATGTTTTTTTGTTTGTTCATCGCTCTAAGCTGTGTGTTGCCTGTTGCGCTGGTATGCCGATCGAGTAGTTCAAGCAGCCACTACTGATTTTGTCGTTATTTTTAATCATTGCCATAAAAGGTCTTGGTGTCTAACATTTTTTTTCCCTCTTGTTATTCGCGTTTGCGTGTTATTTGTTCATTTGATGTTTTGGAATTATACAGTTTTTTGTTGGTGTTGTTGTTGCTGTCTCTTTGGTTGGGTGTTCCAATGAAACGGCGCATAAGATTAATATAGAAAAATGTTTTCAATTTTTTAAAACTTCAAATCGACTAAAAACTGACGTTAAAAAAAGCGCCAGCGAAACGATAGCAAACCGTTTCTTATTCGATCGGTTGGTCGATCGGTTGATTTGGAAAATATTTTCATCGTGTATTGATGTTCGAACACGCGTCGTCATATTAATATGTGACAATAAATTAATGCCCAACGCTTTAAATTGTATATATGTTTGTTTTATAAACTTTAATGGTCGTTGAAGGTTGAGATTTTTTTTTTTTGTGTCGTTGCTTTTGTCATATTTGTTCAAGAATTTGGTGAACCGTGTGTGCGAGAGCGCGAGCGTGTGCGCGCGCGTGAGTGGAGGCATAACACGATGATGACAACGTATGGAAACAACAGCAGCGAGAGAAGAAAAAAAAAACGACAACGCTCGCCACTTTACAACTGTTTTCAGACACCATATTTCGTGTGTGCGAATGCGATTTTTCCATCAAAACCTTCAACGAAACGATTGTTTGTTTCTTTTTTCTGTATGGAATTCAGTTGGTGATTCTTTTGATTACTTTAATTTTTCCATCAGTTTGAGTCGTTAGCGCTCGCGCCTTTGTCTTTGTTCAGCGTGAAAAATCAAAGGCAATCATTTTGTCACTAGCGCTAAGTGAAGTGCGTAAATAACCATTTGAATTTTTAATCGAATATGAAAACATAGCGATGCATAGCGATACACTCATTCAATCACTCACTCGTTCTTTCTCTCCAGCTTTGCGATTGTGCGCAAAATTGTCAAGTAATACAACTCATTTTATTACTAATCGGTTAATGAATAATTGAAATTTCCATTCAATTAGCGAATAACGTATGACCAAACCAGATAGAGAAACAACACAGAGGAACAATTAAAAAAAAAAAACATTTACATAAACTCAATTTGTTTGATTTGCTGTTCGAATGACACTCAGTCTCAGTGATGATCGACAATGTGTTTTGATGTCATTTGCAGTGTGCCTCTTTTTTTCTCTTCATTTCGTGATCGATAAAGTGATTTTTATTTCCATTTCTTTCAAACATGTTATTTAGTTGTTGTTTTTGTGATTTCTATCATTTTAGGAAAGTAGTGGAATAATAAAAGAGGAATCATAGCGCAAAAAAGATGTTTGTCGAAGGGGCGAATGGCGTTCGTCCGATCGGTGACGGTCTATTAGAAGTGTCTGATGCAAGCTTAAGTAAATTGATTGCAAGCGGTGATATCAATGAAATTTACGATGTGGAACACACACCATTTGCAAGGTAAGCGCGTATGAACGGCAAGGAATAATGACAACGACAACGACAACGGCAAGAACAACGGAAAAAATGAGCACGCGTTTGTTGTGCGCACGCGAATTATTTGACGGCAAATCAAAACGGGGAAAAAATTGGCATTCGGCGGAAAAAAAAATATGAGTCAACAGAAAACTAATTTAGATAATTGAAAAACGTCAATCGAAAACGACATCAATATCTTTTTTTAGCTAATCAATTCTATCAATGCACAAACAATATATTTTTTATTGGCCATATATATATATATGAAATACAAGATACTTTCGATAACAGCTTGCACTCCAAAATCCAAAGTCGGTGACGTCGTTGATTTAATATGAAATTTTTTTTTCACGCGCGCTGCTGCGTGTTTATTTACTTTTTTTCCGTTGTACTCTGTCGCAAGCGACGAAAAAAAAGCGAATATTCAATGCCATCGATTAAAATTGATGAAACAACTCAAAAATTATGATTAAACACATTTTTCATTCATGCATTCTCTGTTTTCTCTTCTTGTTTTTTTTTTCGTTCACATCTCGGCTCCGTGTGATTTTTTTTGATCGTTCTGGTTTTTGGTGGATCCAGGGGCAAATTCGCAACGGTTCGTCGTGCGATGCATAAACAGACCGGTGTTAGTTTTGCAGCCAAATTTCTGAGGCGCAGGCGCCGTGCACAATGCACACTGAAAGAGATTCGACACGAGATTGCGATATTGTTATTGTGCGCCGATTCTGAGCACATTGTCAAATTGCATTCGGTACACGAGACAAATGTGGAAACTGCCCTGGTACTCGAGATGGCCACCGGTGGCGAGCTACAGACATTACTCGACGAAGCCGGCTCGTTGAACGGACACCAAACAATAATTTGCATGCAAGAAGTGTTAAAAGCACTTCAATTTTTACACAAAAAATGTATCGCTCATTTGGATTTGAAACCGCAAAACATTCTGTTATGTGGCAAGCGAGTTGAAGGTTCGTAACGGAATTTTTTTTTTCCTCTTCTCTTACTGTATTTTTAGCGCACACAATTTTTAGTTTATAATTTTTTTCCCATTTAAGAATGAATTACGTTTATAATTCGGCATTGTTGAACCTTTGCTGTGTGTTACATATTGCGAAAACGGTTTATCGGAGAGAAAAAAAATACAAAACTATATTTCGTTATTTTTTTCCATCTCTTCTTTTTCTCGCTCACGCTCACCTGGTTGCGCTCAATTTTCCCGCTGCTCTGCGGTGTCAATATATGTATATATGGATGTGTATATATATATAGATGGCCTCAAATTATGCGATTTCGGCATATCGAGAATCGTTGAAGAAACCGGTAGTAAAGTTCGAGAGATATTAGGTACACCAGATTACGTAGCGCCAGAGGTATGTGTGTTAATAAGATGCATGCCTTTTAATAGGCATATCTATTTACAATTAGATTCATTTCAATCCATTCAAAATGCGATTGATTTGGCGGCTTTGATTTACGGTGGCTGATTTGTTTGCTATTGTTTTCGTTTTTTTCTTCGTGTGTGTGTGGCTGTGTGCCCGTTGTGTTTGTTTAGGTACTTTCATACGAACCTTTGTCTCTCAAAACTGATATCTGGTCGGTTGGCGTGCTCGCCTATGTGCTGCTCAGTGGATTCAGCCCGTTTGGTGGTGATTCAAAGCAAGAAACATTTTTGAACATATCACAATGTAATCTTAACTTTCCGGATGACCTATTCCAAGACGTTTCGGAGGATGCAACTGATTTTATTAAGAGCGCTTTACAAGTCGCCGCCGAGTAAGTAGAAACACAAACAAAAACACATTATCATGAATCAGATTGTTTGTTTGGAACGCAATTTACCTATTTTTTTCTTCTCTTCTCTTTTTCTTCTTTCTCTTCCTCTCTCTCTATTTCGTGCGCTCTTCTCCTCTATTTCTTTTGTTGCTTTGCGTTTTTCGCGTGCCAGGGATCGGATGTCGGCTGTTGAGTGCCTTGAACATAAATGGTTAAGCGAATCAAGTCAACCGTTGAAATGCTCCACAAAAGACAATACAACAACAACAGCAACAGCAACGGCAACGACGAAAAACGTTATAGCAACCGATAGCAGAGCGGAAAATTACACCGTCGAACATAAATTGGAATCGAATAAATCGCGTGAAAACGATAGTGTGAATAGTGTAGCGATTGCTGTTACAGCAGCCACATCTCCACCAAAAGCCAGTGCTGGATTTTTTCTACATCAAACTCCAAAAAATGGAACAGCATTAGACGAAGTGCTGTTTAGTAGCTTAAATAATGGTTTCAATACGACTGCCAATACAAATGCTTCCAAAACAAATGGTATCGACCACCACCACCACCACCACCATCACCACCGCAGCCACCATCACCATCAGCACCATAATTATTCGCAACAGCATCATAATCATCATCATCATCACCATAACAATCATTCGGCTGAATGTCCGAAACAAAATGTGAACAATAATAGCTGTAATATCAATTCAAATGACACAAGCGATTTGCTCAAAGACTATGCGACAAACAAAGAGAACATTAACCTAAGTAAAATCCTAGCAAATCGAATGGCACCGCTACAAAATCAATCATCATCATCAGCAGCAGCAGCAGTAGCCAATCAAATAATCAGCAATCTAACGACAATACACAATAATAACAGTTCGAATAACAGTAACAATTCGACGACAATGACATATGCCGATGATTCATCGAACAACAGTGCTCCCACCACCAATAACATATCATCCATGTTAACAACAGTACAACAGACGATGACAATGCCAGCCCAAAATGCCACCGTCGCCGCTGCCACCGTTCAGACAAAACACGAGAGTGTTCTGTTTCCCGATGCGCCGACCACACCAAAAGTTCTGCGCAAATCAAATCAATCGGATTCGGATACACCGTCTTGTGTTGCACTCGTCAAGCAATTTCAATTGAACAATGGCAGTCTGTCGAGCCATCGCATCGATGAGATCAGCGTATCGGATGGGCCCGTTTACACACAATCATCGCCAAATCGTAGTAAATTCACCAGTCTCAGTTCCACCAATGACAATCATCATGGCCAACGTGAAATTCTTCCATCGTATCGTTTATCAGCGACCGCAATCACCACCTCAACCACAAATGGCCATCATTCGCTGAGCTCGTCAACATTAAGCATTAATACATTGACCGAATCATCAGTGGGTGTTGCACAACAGCACAGCAACAGTACAATCACAATGAATTGCTTATGCGGTGCGGACAAGACTGCAAATTGTTGCTGTAATAGCAGTAGTCGAGCGGCCCTGAACTACCGTAAAAAATCGCTTGCCGTTGTTGACAGTTCGATACTCTGCTAGCTACGACTGATGGTGCAGCGGTGTTTTAGCTGCACCACGTGTCATCAATGACAATCAACTAAATCAACTAGTGTGTAAAAAATGAATGAAACAAAGCTAAACAAATACAATTTATATTAGAATGGCGTTTAGTTCGATGAACAACTGAGATGAAGAGCAGCAAAAAGAAGAACAAAAAACGAAAAGAATTGTGAAATTATCGCACCGAATATTCGACCAACTCGAAGCAAATATATTTCAATTGCGTATTTTATGTCTCTTGTAATAGCCTAATTGTTATTGAAAAAAAAAGAAAAAAAAAATAGTAATATTGAAATATTGTAGTAGATCATCGAAGAAAAAAGTAATATTGTTGAAAACGAGATATAGAAGCATATTGCAAATCGTCTAAATTATTGAAATAATACGAAACGTTACAAACAGAAAATAAAAAAAAAACTTTTTTCCTATTGCACATGGGAATTCTCTTATTATATACATATATAAATAAATATCATTATTATTAGCATTTTTTCCACTTTATTGCTCTTCTTTTTTTTAAAATCATTATCTCATTTGTTTCTCCTCTCTTTATTTTTGTTTCTAGTTTTTTTTTTCTATAGAAAGATGGATATTTATTAACTAGGAGCGCTAAAAACGTAAATTTAATGTTTTTCAATTTATAATATCTTTCTTTCTGTTTCTTTCTTTGTGACTCTCTTGTAAATTAATTCTAAACATAATTTGTGTTGCCTTTTCCCTCTCTGGATGAATAACTTAATCGAATTGTGTGTATGTGAGAAAGGTCGATATTTACACGTACATCTAACTATCTATCTATATATTCAATGTCGACGCTCTCTGAAAATTTAAAATCGGAGCTTAAACAAAACATAGAAAAAAATTAATTAATCAAATCACCAAAAATGCAAACACTAATTTATTGCAACAAATTAAGAGATATGTGGAAAAGATACAGAATTTTAAAACGAAACAACAAGACGAAAAAAAAACAAAAACCGGAGCGAATCGTACACCGATTGCTTACGATTGTCTCTCTAGCGCGCGAGTTACACAACAATTGTTTGTTTGGTCTCTCAATTGTCGTCATCTTTGTTATTATTGCCACCCGTCGTTGTGTCGTTGCCAAAATGTCAATAAATCCAATCGTTGTACTTTTATTGAGATATATTTTAAAAATGTTTTAAGAGAATTTACAAGACAAAACAAAAATGATATGAAATTTAAAGCGAAAATAGAAGAAAAAAAAAATCAAATGTAATTTATCAACGAAAAGACGGAAATTGAATCAATTAGCTGAATTGAATCGTTTAGAAATCAATTAGCAAAATGAATTTGAATTTAGATGCGAAACGAACAAAAAAAGAGAATACAATGATTTCTAATATATATATATATATATATACATGTAATTTCGTGTACGGTGTTTTTGTCGCGGAAGTTATACAATTTACATAAAAAAAAACAACAACCAACCAACCAACAATTATAACGAAACAAAAAAAGACCTATATATACATATTACAAATAAAATTTATTAGAATAAAATGAAGAAAAATAAAACAAACATAAAAAGCTGTGTAATAATGAGAAAAAAAAACGATCGAATTTGTTTGATTGATTTCAATATTTCCAAAGACAGAGAAACAAAAGAAGGAGGATGAAAGCAAAATAAGAGAAAAAAAAAACTGCGGCAGCAGCAGCATCAATGTAAAACAAATAATAACGAGTTGCATTGGATTTCAATGAGAAAGAGATTGGCGGGCTGTTCTCTCTGGTCTGCATTGAAACTATATAGCGTAAATGATTGCTTGGACTTTGAAGTTTTTGCATCTCTTTGGCGAGTAGTACATATTTGGCGTTCTCTTTGGGTTTGCTCTCGCTTGTTTGCTCGCTGGCTCGTGAGCGCGCGCAATCGCTCGCACGCACGCCGTCGATTCAACCGTTCAATCTGTGTGTATATATGGTAATGTTGCTTGATCTAACATAATATTTAAATTTATATTTGAAATGGGCGCTACGAGGCTGTCGCCGTCACCATCTCTCGTACTCCCTCTCACTCTTCCCAATTGTTACGGATTTCACTGTGTTTCTGGTGTACACTACATTGATTTGTTACTTCTTCTTCTTGTTCGATACTCGGGCGCGCTTATTTTTTATTCACTCGCTTAACTAATGTAGGTGTTTTCAAAGAATTACTTGCTTCCGCCATCGATACTCTTGGCTGTGGTGACGCTGATGATGATTGAATCTATAACAAAAGCCACACGGAAAATAGAAAAATTACATTTTCAAACGAACGAACGAATTAGATACAGAAAAAGAAGCCAACAACAACAACAAATCAAACTGAAGTGATCGCAAAAGAAAGAAGCAACGAATTGAAGATGAAGAAGAAGACAACAACGAAAAATCACAGAAAGAGAGAGAGAATTGTAGCTATGTTTCTGTTCCATCATTAATTCAATTCGTTGTTCAACAATAAAAAAAAAACAACAACGAAAAACATATTGTTGCTGTAAGCAAAAATTGAGGTCATACACATCGCAACCATTTCCATATGTATATCGATATCGAATACTACAAGCCTTCTACCGTGTGTATACCATGCCGATGACGACGACGACAAAGAAAATGAAGTGAAAAAAAAGTCGCATGATTTGGTTTTTTTCTTTCTTTCAACGTTTGTTTTTTGCTTCGCTTCGATTTTATGCTGTGTATTCAACAAAACGTAAATGATGACATTTACACTTTGTGTGCCATTATTGCAAAGCATCGAGCGTTTAGCGTGAGCATGTATTCTCAATTTATTTGAAGAGACCATTTGTGGGTCTTGGTGTGCTTGCAAGCCAGCGTTTGGCTTTTGGATCACGTTCAGATCATTGCTTTTGTACGGTATTCATGGTTTGATATTGTGTAAAAATGCTGCATTTTCCCTCACTCTGCCTGTGTGTGTGTGTGTGAGTGAGTGCAGAAGATTTTCTGCTCACATCGATCTATTTTTTTTCTTTCGCTGCATGCGCTTCTTTCATGGCTCATTTCTTTTTTGATGTGTGTATGCCTTTTCTCCAACGACTGCTCGTTGTTGCTTTTTTATTGTCGTCGTTATTGTTGTTGTTGTTGTTGTTGTTGTTGGTTTTCACTTGGATAGAAACGTAAGTATATTTTTTTTATGTTCGTTCTCACAGCAAGTGATAGTTGTACACTTACTTGAACCGGTCTTATTGTTGCGGGACTTTTATGTCGTGACGAAATATTTGGTGTTGTGGATCGACTGTTAGCGCCAGATTTATCCGCACCATCTTCGCTATCGTTCCGTGATAATGACGCCGATCGTCTGAACATATCCGATAATCGACCTTTCAGATTGGTCTTACTGGATTTGTAGTCATAATTGACAAGGCTTATATCAGAATCTGAGTTTACTTGCTACTCTCACCGCACATTCCAACAACAAGACAGCCAACCACAGAGTATAAGAATAGCCACATCAACCGCATGGAATGGAGAGGAGAAAAAAGAGAATAGAAACGAAAGAATGAAGTCAAGCACATCAAGTTATTTAGATTGAGAGATAAAAGAGAACTCACCGATCCATCGGTGTCATTATTTTTACTGCTTTTTGATGATGCTAACGATTTGAGTTTGCCCATGAGACCGCGTTTTTTCTTCCTTGTACCACACGGTAGATCTGATTGTGTTGATCCGCCCGATAGTCGCGAATCCAAACTCGAATCACGGCCATAATTTCCGCCTCCATAGTGAAGTTCTGAGTCAATCGATTGTATCGATGAATTGCTGTCGGTGGGATTTTTCCAAATTTTCTGACCACCCATCGACGATTGATCTTGCACCGATAAACTCTTGCGATGGAGACTACCATTTTGTGTTGATGATTTCGATAGACGCCCGCCCGTCGATCGTTCATTATCACTTACACCATTTTCGATGGATGTTGCGCGTCGCATACTGCTTCGCCGAATTCGTTCCCGTTCACGGTCTTCGCCGAAACTCTTTTGGAATTGTCGAATATCTTCAGAGGCAGCCATAAGCCGGCCAATCAAACTGGTCACTTGTTCCATGCTACCGGCCAACTGATTATCGGGACGATCAACTGAACTGCTCTTCACTAAACGCTTTTGCATGTTCGGCGTTGGTGGTTTTCTCAAGACGGAACTTTGCACGGATTCCGGTGACATTTTAAACAAATCGTCGACCAATTGCAACAGCGAATTCAATCGACGATCCAAATTGAGTTCAATGCTAAAAGGTGAGAAAATTGACACATCATTCATGTTTATATTGTGTGTTATTCAGTTTAAACGAGGTAATTACGGCAATAACAATAAATACCCTCTTCGGTAGAAACTATCACGTTCACGTTCGTAGCGTTCACGCTCGAGTCGCAACTTTTCATTCGATGTACGAAGTTTGGCATGGGCATCACGCAATTCCAATAAATCACATTGAAGTTCAGCAATCTTTTTGCGTCCTTCGTCCAAGTCTTCCTCACTGTTGCGTTCCAATTGTTCGATTTTCCGTCGATTTTCAAGCCGTTCTTTGTCGCGTTCACGTTCAACTTCGAGCAATGTTTGGCGTAGATCGCGTGCCAGCGTTGATGTCTCTTGTAACAGCCGTTGATGTTCTTCGCGTTCTTTTTGCCACGAAAGCTCCAATTTCGTCTTCATGCCAGCAATTTTTGTCCGCCCACTGCCCAACAAACGCTCTTCTTCATATTCATTGATGCGTGAATTCAGTTCCGACAACTTAATTTCCGATGTTGTCTTCTCGGATACCAATTCAGTTTTTAGCCGGCTACTCTCCAGCCGTGATTCGCATAATTCATCCTCCAACTGTCCAACCTAGATACAGAGAAGAAAACCATCATAAACCGAAAGTTAAGCAACACGAACGCAATTACTTTCGGTGCGTTACACAGCATGTTTTTCCACTCTGATAATCAATTCAATCGCTCACCTTTTGCTCGAGCACCAATATTTTCGATTTATCATCTTCGTCGCCGCTAGACGCTTTACTGGTGCGACCACTATTCGATTTCAAGTCTTTGATCGTTTTTTTGGCCGCCTCAAGTAGCTGTTTGAATGAATCGCGATCACGTTTAAATCGTTCGCATTGTTTCTGCAACATCGAAACGAAGATAGAGAGAGAGAGAGGGAGAGAGAAACGGCACAGCACCAGCGAAAGAAGCACAGAGACGAGAGGGGAAAAAAAAGAGATTTGTTTTCATTTCAATTTTGGTTGCACACACAAAACAAAATCAGAGCACAGTGTTTCTGTTTCATTGAAAAAATGTCAAATGTCATACTTGTTGCGAATTGAGTTCCGTTTGCAAATTGTATACTTGTTGTTCGTATCTGAGTTTGGTTGCAGCGATATCGCTGATTTTGGTAGATGTTGCGCTTTCCAATCTGCCCAAGCCGTCGCCCGAACGGTGATGTTGATGGTGGAATATAATGGAAATAAAGAGCAGAGAGTCAAAAGTGGAAAATCATTAAAAAATTTTGTTGCATCGTTAGTTAGGTAAAATACAATGTAATGCATTTTGCATTTTATAACATAATTTGCAAGAATCGATAATTTACTATTATGGCTTCACGCTAACCATTAGAATGCTGATCTGCATATATAAGCAGCACTGAAATTGAGAGAGAGAGAGTGAGACGCGCTTGCATATAGTATACAAAGCAAAAGCACACACATGGTCTTGATTGCGTTCGCACATTACGATCAAGCGACAACACGACAGCCAAACCAATTTATAAATACATCATGCGCGCCTCGATGCCGATGGATTTTATGGGCAATCATGCAATTTTCGACGAAAAGCCGCCTTTCAACTAAAAATAACACACACAGTAATTCATCTTATTATTTAGTCTTTTCGAGTCATCTAGTTTCGTGTTACATGATCGGCGATGTGGCCTCTTTTCATTTGAAAAAGAAATGAAGAGAGAGAGAGAGAGAGAGAGAGAGAGAGAGAGAGAGAGAGAGAGAAAATAGCCGAAGATTGCGCACGGCGGCATGCATATGCCCAAGCAAGCGGTTTTTGATGTCAGTTAATCAAATGATGAGACGAAAGTCAGAATAAACAAATAAAAACAAATGAACGGAATGCAAAACGTTTCGAAAGGCGCATTATTGGCTTTGCATTCGTGTGCGCGCGCCTTCGCTCGCAATCGCGCAATCTCTTGCCCATTTGCATGGCGCAAAGTCAAAGAACATTTTTCTCTCGTGTTTTTATTACTTTATCGTGGTTTTGTTTCTCTTTTTATTTGCCTTCATTTTGCTATAAGCGCTACCGATCGGAACACAGTGATTTGAATTCTAGACGCATTCAATACGATCGATGTAACCGAAATGAATGAGAGAGAAATTTCGATGAGCTGTCTGTCATGCAATCCGAATACCCTGCATCGCGAGCGAGTGCAGGCATACGGCTCTTTCAAATACGCTGTGCTGGTTTTTTTTATTGTACAATTTGCATAGAAACAACATAGCGATTCACTTACTTTGCTTTCAATTGTTTAATCTCTTGTTCGAGCGACGAGTTATGATCATTCATAGATGCTTGCACTTTATTCACTTTATTGAAGTCACCCAATTTCTTTCGCAGCTCGTCGTTCTGCAATAAAGAGAGAGAGAAAAAAAGATACATAGAGACAGAGCGAAATGTGAAAAAGTTAAATAAAAAGAAAAAGAAGATGAAATCGAAAGAAATTGCTCGAAATTAGAACACCGAACAGAGAGAGAATTGTGTGTGCTGCGTGTGCCGTTTAGGATATAGCGGCATTCACAACAGAAAAGAATAAGCAATAACTTTTTAAATGGCCTATTCAAGAGTGGAAATGAAAATTCGAAATCTATCTCAATCTGTAACTGAAATGTGCGAACGGACGGCCAGAGTGTGTCTTAATGGAATAAATATCACCGAAAGAATGTCACGATGCGGAGAAAGAAATGTTGAAGAGCAATGCGCTCCGCTTTTCTTACCTCTTTCTTTAACTGTTCGCTCAAATCTTTGTTCATTTCATTTTCGCTGACCAACAATTCATATTGATGGCTTTTCTCCTGCAGCGATGCCAACAAACGCATTCGTTCGTGTTCGACCACCACATTCTGTGAACTTTTGCTCTCTAAATCTTTGCATTTGTTTTGTACATCGACAATTTTGCGACTCAAATCGATGTTATCACGTTTGAAACGTTCTAAATTCGATTCCAATGTAACAATTTTGGCTTTAAGCGTATTGTTTGAGGTTTCGAGGGTCTCTTTGTCGCTCGATAGCTGCGCCTTAATGAATACATGCTGCTCTTCCAATTGCTCATACTTGCTCGTCACATCGGATGTCTTCTTCACCTCACTATCGATTTGAGCCTGCAAATCGGTATTTTGCTTCCGAAGCTCATCCATCTTTTTGCCTGGCAACGTATCTTTTTGACTTTTTAGCGTAGCTATCTCCTTTTCAAGTGCCGCTTTTTCCGTTTGTGCCTTTCGTCGCAACGACTTAAAATAAACATCAAATTTATTCCAATTAATCATTGTCTGTGTCTAACACTCTTTCTTCCCAAGCATAACGACAGAGCGTGCACGCGAGATGAAAAAAAAGTGAATCTTCAACTCACATTCAAATCCGAATCTAAATCAGCTATTTTCGTTTCCCAGCGTCGATTCTCTTTCTTCAGCTCGTCTAATTCCTTTTCAAGCTTAGCCGACCGCCCTTTCTCCTGCGTTACATTGGTTTCGCCAAGCGATTTAGCGGCTTCTAATTGCTTTATCTATAAATAAAATCACAAATGAATGCAAACGAAAGAAAAAATTGTCTGTTCGGTTTCTGTCCGAAATTTGAATTATTAAAATTGGTCTTTGGTCGTACCAAACTCTCTTGTTTGCTGAGTTTCTCTTCGATGGCTTTGACATCTGTTAATGCTTTCTTCTTCTTCGATTCATTGTCCGTACTCGTTTTTTCCAATTCCATACAACGAGTCTCTTGTTTGGCAATGACACTCTTCAGATTCTCTGCAATGATAATTTCATTTTTGCCACAAAAATTTGCATGAAAATCCGTTTCCAACCACAAACAATGAAAAGAGAGAGAGAGAGAGAGAGAGAGAGAGAGAGAGAGAGAGAGAGAGAGAAATAGACTTACTGATCTCAGACTTGTAGGACTCAATTTGTTCGCCCAATGTTTTGGCATCTTGCACGGCCTTTTTCTTTTCCTCTTCCAATTTTTGTATGGTCTGTGGTCCCGTCTTGGCCGCACTCTTTCGCAACAATTTCATCTCTTTGTCTATGTCAACGATTTTCTTTTGCAATTCAGCAATCTCTTTGTCTTTTACGATCGTACTTTTGGATAGAAGAGTTGGCGTTTTTGGCGCCTCACGCAATTCCTTCACTTGATTTTTAATCGTTTTATTCTCTTGCTCCAGCTCATCGACTTTACGTCGTAACTGGGACGATTCTTGTTCGTTTAAGTCAAGTAAAACGCGAAGCTCAGCCGGATCCTCTTCATCAGAAATTCCCTCATCTTTATCAGAAGCATCGACTGTCAGGCGAGACGGTGCTGTGGGACTCAACTTTCGACCTTTCAATTGTTTACCGAAAAAAAAATGAAAAGAAAATTAGAAAACGCTCATCATTAAAAATAGACAAACATTTGACGAACAAAAAAATGAAACAAAACCAAGAACAATTTAGCCGGAAACTAATGTGTTTACATGAATTTGCCATTTCCGTTTATAAAACAATTCAACACGCCACAAATTCACACTCACTCCGAGCTTTTGTTGCCATCTTTTTCAATTGCACCATCAGCGATTCATTTTCATCTTCGATGCGTAATACTTTTTTGCGTAGACTTTCGGCTTCCTCTTCGGCAAATTTAAGCTGCTCTCTGATGTCAGCCTCCCGTTCGATTGAATCTTGCAGGTCACGCATTAATTGCTGCGGATCTTCCTGTGAACTGCCTCGAGTAAGAGTGGAACGTGACATTTTCCCATCGACCGAATTGGATTTTCCAATCGAACTGAGCATTGGCTTTCCGTTTGGACTTGTTTGTTGCACCTTTTCTGCTTCAACCTGCGAACATTCAGTGATTTTGCTTAGTTATTTCATTTTTTGTGTAACAAAATTTCAATGAGTTTTTTTTAATAGAAATTCCAATCATATTTAAATCGTACCTGCATTTGTTGTAATCGATCGTTGGATATCCGAAGCTCTTCTTCCAATTGTTTAATTTGACTAATCAGTGCTGCCGGTGCTGATGATTGTTTTTCTGCCTCCAATTGTTCGATTTTCCGCTCCGATTTTTTCAACTTGAACGATAAAATGCGGCAATTCTTCTGTGTCATTTCCATTTCTTTTTTCATATTCGTGTATTCGTTGGCTTGATCTTCACGAAAATTATCCTGTATTTCGTCGATTTCGTCTTCCATGCTTTTCAATTCTTTTTTTATCTCATTGTTTTCATCCATCAGCTCTTCGCACAGCTGTTCGGCCGCTTGTAATTTTTTACGTAGTTCATCTTCGTCCGTTTTGGATGCTTTAATCGTGAGGCTCTTTTCGAGATCTTTGATTTTCGTTGTCAAATGCAATTTTTCATATTTTAAATCCTCCAACTGTCGACTCAAGTCATTAATTTTGAACTGCAATTTAGCCGTGTCATTTGATGCCAGTTGATTTGCTGCTTTGTCGGTGAATGTCAATCGCCGCTGTGCAATCTCATTTTTGTCATCATTTTTACGACGTGCTTGAACCAGCTCAGCACTTAACTTTTCCATATCTTCGACGGGATTTGTGGCTGACTTTGATTTCGATAATTCCCTACCCTGCAATATGATGATGACATTTATTTTTGACATTCCAACGACAAAAAATGCAGAAAAATATTGAAATGTTCAAGAAAATGACTCACTATTGAGTAGCTACGTTTCGAATCAGTTGAATCGGTACGGTTTCGTGGCGAAGGTGATTGCTCCCTGTCAAAGAGAAAATAAATATTTTCGAAATACTCATACAGATCAGTTTCGCAACAATTTTTCAGCGACTCACTTTTCGGTACTCGATTGACGCGATCGCAACTCTCGTTCGATACTGTTTTGTTTTTTGAGTAGTTGCATTTTACGTACACGCTCGGCCAAGGAATCATTTCGGGTAATTGTCAAGTCTTCGGAGTCTTGTTTTGTTGGCGGTGGCCGAGGCGGTTTTCGTAATGTAAACGATTCTTCGACTTGAGGAATCTCTGGGAGTGCAGAAGTATGACGACGTCGTGGTAACGCTACACTTATCTCAGTGGATTGAGTTTCAACGGATGGCGGTGGTGGTGCTGGCTTTTCATTCTCATCCATATCCGGCGTTGAGGTCCATGAAATTGGCCGTCTTCGTCGAGGAGGTGCTATCGTGAAATATTGAAATTTAACGCTCGGTTGAACATAACACAAGGTGCGTATCAAATTGAGTGGTATAGAATTGGCTTACGAGCTTCTTTATCGGGTGTTACTGATAAATTGGACGTTGACGTCCAGCTTCGGTCTGTTGGTTTTTCTGATTGAGCTCTGATTTGGATGGTAAAAAAAATGCACCCAATTAACACCATTTTCCATTTAAAAAGTGGAACTCCACTTATTGTTCAGGTTCTTTTTTTTCATTTTGGTTCTTTTTTTTCTTCTTTTTTCTTTTTCATTTCTATAATTAAAACCACATCTTTGAAACACCAAATTTAATTTGGTTCAGACTTATTCACGAGCTCACACTTTTTTACACAGTCACAATTTCTACCGTTTTTTTTCTTCTACATTTCATTGAAATTTTACCGTGTTCTTGATGGGTCCGAGAGGCTGGGTGACGATATGGTGATATCTTCAGCTCGTTTTACGCCGTGATCTTTGTAATCCCGGAAGCATCGTTTGCATCGTGTCGGCCATCGAACTTGTGGATGAAAACCTAACGGACATAGCTGATCGCCTTTTGAGACCGGGTATAAATGATGCATGTTTCAACTAAAAGCCAATTTTTTCCGATATTTCGTTTCTTCTTCTATTTTTTTTTCTATCCCAAAAAAATATTCGAAATTACACAAACAGAATTCAACATCCTGTTTTCATCGTATTATTTTTTTATGTTTGTTATACATCATCTGGTGATAATTTGCCAGTTTGGATTAGCTTTTAGCACTTGACATCATTCTATCACTCATCAAAGCAGCACATTTTCGTACCTACGCGTCATTGGAACTTTTGACCACTGCCACTGCTTATGATTTATAAACACACCGAACAAAAAATTTCGTCGTAAAAAGTGTCACTGATAAAATAGATAAATTAATTTCGTCATAAACCGCGAACCGACCAACAACAAAGAAAAAATGATATAAAAGGCTTAACACATTAAAAAAAACTTGAATGAATTTGTGAGAAAATAACAACGAATTTTGTTTTTGTTTTTTTTTTCGATGCGAGATGTTCGTTTGCTTGTTTTCAGCTATTTACTTGCGTTTTTCGTTGCTGAATTTGCCTTTGTGCGCGCTCTATTTTTAAAAATATATTGGACTATATTATTTTCTATTTATAAGCACGGTACATGTCGAGTAAGGCACCATACGCCGATCAAACCCGTCTGTTGATCGCTGCACAACTGAATTCGATGTGAAAAGAAAGAATTTTTGCAGAAAAAAAAACTTTTGTTCGTTTTTTTCTCAGCTTAAAATTCGATTTAAATTTAATGGGCACTCTTCTATGAAACTTAATAACCGATTTCCGCCCGACAAGTTCAGATCACAAGTTTTTCAATCGCGTCGTTTTTTTTCTTCAATTTTAACTCAAAAATTGTGTAGTCGAATGAATTTTCATAGAAAATAATACTGTGCGATAAATACGTTTTTCGTGTTTAAAATGTATGGCAGGACAAGATCGACTGGCAGCAGGCTGATCAATGTGTGTCTAGATCTGTGCGCGAATTTGACCGATCGACGTAAATTTTGGATCGAACCCGAAACCGAAGTGATCGAGCGACATGCGCATAAATTAGCAACTCCAAATGCGCATGAACCATTCCGTTCGGAGGAGAAATTTTCTGCTTTTTTTTTGGCTGAACCCAATCGCTCAATTTCGTCTAAACCTCATCTTGCTCTGCTGGGCTACCCATCAAATAAAACAAACGGCTTTTTTTTACGTACATTGTGCTTTAATTTAATACAAAAATATATATAATTTATTGGCTTGTTTGATTTCTTTTCGTTTACAGATATGGATGATTTTCTTTGTAAATTTTTGTAAAGTATCTACAAAATTTTGGGTAAAAAAAATCGTATCAAAAGAGAAATGCTTGGTCGTGTTTTTGTTTTCCTGTAAAAATGGAAAGTACAACTTAAAAGCTACGACGAAGAAGAACAAAAATGTATAAAGAATTACATTCGATTTGGATATAGATGTGATTGACGACGATATGTACAGGCAAATAATAATAATATTGTAGGTAAATGTTGCGCGAATGTGTTTCGCTGACGACAATCTGCTACTGCTGCTGCACGGAATGCTTCATGTAATAAAATTGATAAGGTGCCAGAACATGCGAACATGCGCATTTTTAAGATATTGTACATTCACAGCACATCATTGTGTAGTACAGACACTTAACGGCTTTGTCTTCTTTCGTCTTTTTGCACGTTGATCTCGGTTTGAAACCGTTCTGATGCGACAATTTCGGTTGACCGTCCAAGTCATCGAGACGCTCGATCGAGTCGAAATCATTCTGTGCCATTGGAAAAATAGAGAAAAACAAGGGGGAAACCATTAGTCGGCATACAAAAACAAAACAGTTCAAGGATGATGATGATATTAGAATTTCGATTAGAATGGATGTAATTGAAATTAGAACCAAAAAAAAAGAAAGAAAGAAAGAAACTTCTCCGATCTATTCGCTAGCAAAAATGCCAATTTGAAATTGTGTGTTTACTTTGGTGTAATCGCGTCCAGCCCGTTTGTCATCACCATCACCAATCGTTGAGTGTGCGCTATTTTCTTTAGCCGATGTTAGACTTTGTAGACTATCTCTTATATTGTACACTACATACCGTATGTCCTTAATTACACACTATATATATACATACATACAAAAATAAATGCTGTGAATTATCTTGAATGATAAGGCTAAACGGATTAATTGTGCATAGATTCAAGTGAAAAACTGAAAACTGTGCAACCGATATGGAATGGGGTTTTAAAAATTTTGGTTTTAATGAGAAATAGGGAAGAAAAAAAAACAAAAGAAGAGAGCAAAAAAGGTCGGGTGTTTCGTGTGTATATGTTTGTGATGTATGTTGATGAATATTTACTTTTTCTAATTTGATTTCGGAATCGGATTCGGAACAGTTGTCAATGTTGACAGTGGCCACACCCAGTGAAGCGCTCGGCAAGACGGTCGACGTTGGTGTCGGTGTCGGTGTCGACGATTTGATAAGATCAACTTTATCGTCTTTGTCACTGGAATGTATGAAAAAAACAATGAAAAAGAAATGTTTTTGAAAAGGTGGGAGACAAACATGGAAACAGGTTCATTGAACTCACCCGCCAGTGGCGATATCGTCTTGTGACTTTGAGCCGCCCAAGCTCCAAGGCTCATTTTTGCGGTCGGCATGCTTGTGTTCGATGTTGTAATTGCTTGGCTTGTAAACACCTTTGTCGTGATGCTTTTTACGTAAACCGGGAATCCAAAGAATTTTTATGCCGCTGCCACTTTTGCTTTTTGGCTGCGACGATGACATTGAATATGAGCTCGGTGAAAATGAGCTAGCGCCGCCACCACCACCGCTGCTGCTACCAACACTGCTACTTTTGGCTTTTGGTAGTGCCGGTGCTTTTGGTAGTATTGGCAATGATCCGCCGCCACCTCTATTTTGTGCTGGTCCCGGCATCTGAAATACACAAAATTCCCATTGATTAACCCGTCAAATTTAACGTTCCAAATAATTTTTTTGCCATTTTTTTTCTATTCAAATCGCACAACTCAAAGAGTTGAAAAATGATGCAACTCTTTGGGGAAAAAAACCGATCGAATTACTGGTTTTTCGTGCTGCACAAGATCCCACCGAAATTATGAAAAACTCAATTAAATTTAATTGCAACGTTCGTCGAATGGATGGTACATAACGAAAAAAAAAATCTTGCTCTCGTGACCATTGATTGGAATATTCAACTTGACTGCCTCCAACTGGGTTTTTGATTAATTTTTATTTATTTAATTGAAAGTTTCACGTAAAGCCGTGTATACGACTAAAATAGAACAAACGGTCTTTAAATGGAGAGCTGTTCACTCGGTTCACACACAGCGTCGCGAATTCTTGTAGTTCGTTTTTTTTTTTGTGTTGTCGAGCCTATTGCTTTCCAGCGAAACGACTGGATTAACGAAATCCGATAAAATTGATTGCAAAATCGTTGAGCCCAGTCGTCGAATACACAAATACTTTGACTTGAAACTTCTTTGTACAGAAGAGTGTTTGTGCGGTCGTCTACACAAAAGAGAGTTACTTCATCAAATACAGCTCATGAAATACACGGAATCGAACATTTGAATGTGTGTTATTTATTTGATGTTCGATCGTTTTGCGCTTTGTTTGCCAGCTGTAATTTGTTGTGCACATTTTGCACGCATTCGATGCGATAAATAATTCATGAAATGTTAGCTCAAATAATTTATATCACTTACTTCAATAAAATAAAAAATAGTAGCGCCTAGTGCTAATGACTAAAACTCGAAATGTTCGGGATGGATATTCCAAGATTTCAATTCCGAGACGATGTTGTTCGCTCTTTATCGTCAAATTCGTATCATTTTATTCTCGAATCGAGAATAGTTTGAGCTAAAATACGTAAACTAAATGATGCCAAATTGATATTTTCACGTTTAATCGCTTAAAAAAATCACTTATGAGTCACGATACGCAAAATATTTCCCAACTCGTTTCACCCGAAAACATCAGAAGTGTGTGTGTGTGTGTGATTTCACGAGCAAAACTGGAATTTCTCTCCCAAAAATAAATGGAATGTGTGAACAAATTTCTTGTTATGGCTGGTTCAATACCAATTGACATAGGCCCGATAATTTTGAACGCAAAAGATGAACGCACTAATTTCACATTGATCGCTTGTAATTGATAATTGATAATTGTTGATTAATTATTATAGACAAATGAGGAAAAAAAGGACTTAATAATTTGCGTACCGAACGAGAATTAAATTAAATTGGCAAACAGCCTTTTTAACACAAGCAACAGGTATGTGATTACGTCGAACAGAATGTTTTTTTTTTTTAATGTCGTGAGATTTCGATTCACAGACGCACGATAAAAAAATATGTATAAAATACAAACAAACCGAATCGCTTGGCCGAGAAAGAGTGAATATAAAGAAGCGATATTGTTATATTTGTCAAAATTACCTTGAACGTTTTGTCATGATGGTTGCTTATGCACACACACCAACACACCAATACACGCGCGCACACCGCACACACAGACAAATCCACCGTAAACACATCGCTGAATGTGACTTCAACTAGCGCATACTAGTGCTACGTCAAATATGCGTCTGCCGTTCTCGATTTCACAATACATACACACAGAGACACACAAGTTCACATTGTGCAGATGGGAGAGACGAAATATTTGCAATATATAGACACATATTTTCAATGTTCAAACGCAACCCAATATTCAAATATGTATTGTGTATGGCTTGAACTCATTCCGCTGTGATTTCGTCGATGTCATGTTTCTTCATGGAATACACACAGAACGAGAGCGAATAGTTTTGTTCATTTGTAGGGGACATGCCACACAAACGATGCGATGTGATCATCGATGTGCGTTTGTATGCTTTGCTGTCACTGCTTACACCATTCCACACTCATTTCCCATGAACAGCTGACAACACTGAACGATTCGTCTTGCGTCTATGACTTTTTTTTATTGCTTCCTCGAATTTACATTCGGCTACTGCGTGTTGAAAGGTTTTTCGATGTTTCGTTGTTTTGCCCATTTCACCGTTGCCGATTTGACACAAATTGAAAATCGAGACACAGACAAAAAATGAGGGAAAATGCTATTTTTATATCTTCGCTTTATTCATTTATTCAAATGAAAACATCGTGATAAAACTGTCACATTGAGTATGCTCATTTGGAAATCACAGTGATTTATTGAGTTGGAGTTAATTTTTTTTTTAATTTGTAAATTTTATTGGATTAATGAAATACATTCAGGTTTTGATGTCCAAATTATTATAATCACAATTTAACAATTGCCTTTTCAAACGTTGTTTTCGTTACCTTGAAAATAAATACCTGTAGCGTTATTTCAAATCCATTCGTAACTGTTTAACTTACGTTTCAATTTTTTCAAGCCATCCGTTTTTAATTGTTTGAAAATAATTATTGGCAGTCTATTTGTTGGCTGTCTAATGTCCAATTGTGGCTTTTGACCAGATTAAATCGATTCATAAATGATCTATAACGGTCGAACTGATTTCTCCGTTAACATCATCGGAGTAACAATCGACACCCTGTGGTGCATTCTTCTTCGAAACATCCGCCCACCGACTCGGTTCAATTGTAAGATAGCATGATCAAAACCTGAATCAATTGTAGTACAATAACATTTGCCTTCACATTCAGCAATTCCGAGAAAATTTCAATCACTTTGCATCCTTTTATTTTGGTAATTTGATCCACCAGATTTCGAACAGCTCCAGCGGCTGCCAATACAGCACTCGCCCGCTTTAGCTTGGAATTTTCCTGATAAATAAAATTGAGCTCAACGACGGCGTATGTATGTGGGAATGGAGAGATAATCACATTCGGTCTGAAAATGGTGCACCAACCTAGTGCATAATAGCATCATAAAGATAAGCGACATTTCTCGATTCGATAATTCTGCGCAAAAGTGAATTTGAAAATAATAATAATCTTTCATGCATCCGTTCAGTTCTATATTCGTTTTACTTCATAAAATACCGGCCGGAATGTTCAACAAGTCATTGTCAGTGATTTTTCATACACCACAAACACTTACAAAGAACAAACAGCGATAAACAGTTACATTCATTTGGTATCGAATGAAGAGGAAACAAAAACACGAGACAGACCGATTACTGTGACTCAGTCGGTGTGCACTACTCGCACGCAAATGGAAACAAGTGTTAGAAAAATTGTGTATACAGTGCGAATCGTGTTGTGGCTTCGATCGTGCGTGTGTGTGTGTGTGTGATAAACAATTGACGGACACCGATTTTGCATGGATCCTTGCGACGATTTCGTGTAGATTTCTGCCGCTCTTTTTGTGTTTCACTTTCATTCTGTCGCACACCAACCAATCAGTCACAAACAGTTTTCGGTGGATGAACGACATTGCTTGAATGCATAACGATACAACACACTTTAGAATTCGACTTCAGTTTTAGTCTTATAAACAATACACAATATAATAATAATCGATTAGAAAACTGTATATGGTGAAACAGTGAATTATTACTATCAGAAACGAATAAAGTTCAATTGGTTTGCCAGTGAGCATAACGTAAGTAAAAATTGATTCTAAATTGTATTAAATTATGTAGATGAGGTCATTTTCTCGATATTGAACATCAGTCGATGAAAAGCATACAGATTGACATCAGTCATTGTAGTGTTATGTTGAAAAAATTTCAAATTCTCTTTCACTTAAAACTAAAGTTTTTATTCCGTGATTTCTCGGACGAATCAGTGTTTTGTTAGGTATGACGCTAGTTTTTGTTAGTTGTTGTGAAATTCAAGACATTAAATATGCCGACTCCGACAATTTGTCCGCCATTTTCGTTCCACTAATTCTCATAAAATGATTCGTTATGTTCGTTCACTGTTCGCTTCCAAGAATCCATAAAAAAGCATAACGGATTGACTGCGCGCACAGCTCATTCGAACGCAGTGACGTTTGTTAGGTTTTTTGAGCGTTTAGAATGTAAACTGAGTATTTTTTCAAAACTTTTAACCTTGTAGAACTTGAAATCTGCATTGCTACGTGCAAGATAATTTCATCGCTTTTTTGGATACTGAACCATACTTGGTTGTGTGATATTCAAATGAGTAAATCACTTCAAAACAATCTCAGTACAATATTCTAGAATTCGTTTATAACAATGGCACACAAAGAAAAAAGAATCCAACCTATATAAATGTAGCACAGGTAACATGATAAAAAACGTTTTTATTTTTGTCCGGCTTTGAGCATTTGCTATCGTTAATCGGGATATGTTCAATAAATTGCCGTTAATATAAAATATTACATTGTTATGAAGCGCTGCATCGTCTCATGATAAAGAGAAAATGCCATTAGGTCAAAAGTTTTACAATGTACACTTGACTTGATAAAATCAATAAGTCCTCTTTGAATGGCTCGCCTATGATAACGTTATCTGGAAACAATTTTTTTTCCTTTGGAGTTTAATGCCAGTACAATTGTTTTCTCAATTTATCAACAGGCTCAACCGCATTCGAAAATGGATGAGAATACTGAATCGGACGCTTCAAATTCAGAGGACAAACTATTGCACCATGTGATTCTATCACGGTGGTTGCCGCAAGAAAATCCATATCACCTCGAAGATGGAGAAACATTGATGAAGCGAATGATTGAAAATGTTGAAAATCTGGCGGAATGGATACCATCAAAAACGGTTGAATTGTTCGAAAGGTTAAAGAGGATCAATCTTGAATGCACAGAAAGCGTTATCTCAGAAGAGATCGCTAGTTTGAAACCAGGTGATACATTTGCCATGTTTGTACGCCGACAAAACTGTGTCATCATGATTCACGTTTTAACCGATGCAAAATTGAATGGCGAACTGTCACCCAACACCATTGTGGCCACATTCCCGGGTAGATTACATTCACGCGAGATTTATGAGCATGACAGTGACATTGAGGTAATTTTTTTGGGCTTTGATTCTTTTTTTTTCTATACAGCAATTCATTAAAACTCATTACAATTGGTACGTACAGTACAACTATCCGCAGAATGCAGTCAAAGTGGATTTCTCGCAAATGTTACGCTCGGAAGAGTTTGCAAATCAGTTGTGTTTACTGTGTGAACATTTACCGATTGAAGAGAGCAAAAAACGGAACCATGTATCCAAGTGGCTTCTGACAGTATTAACGAATGAAAGAAGTACAACGGCTTCGCCAGAAGAATTCCCAATTATCACGAAAAAGGTTCGAGACGTCAAAGTTGGTGAAACAAAAGTCAACTACTTTCAAAGATGTGCCGTTTACATGAGTGTAAAAGTGATGCTACAGCACAGCCTAACCATGCATTTGGGTCCTGAAACTGGAAAATTCATCTATAAAATTGTGATGCTGAAGTTTTTAATCGCGATGTGTACATCTTACAAATATTCAGAATGTGATACGTTCAATATCGATTTACTATCGCAAATGATTGCCAAATTGGGTCGACGCATTGAAAAGTTATCCGAAAATGTGCCAGACAGTATTGCTGAGTCTCTAGAATATAACGAGTTTTATAATGTATCGATTGATGATGCAAAGCACACCATTGCAGTCATTCGTTCGAAAATAAACGATCGAATTCAACGAATTCAGTTTGAAGATGAACAAAAGTCCCGATTGCGTCCATTGAGAGACTTGAATTTCGAGGCAGACACCTGCCACACAATGCCAAGGCTACGCGAGTATTTGGGTGAAAGACTGACAGAAATGCCACAAAGCGCAAGTCATTCCAGGTAAGGTATTCATTGCATTATTGGGCATTTTCATTGGATCAACGAGTCAATTGAACCGAAAAAATTTAGAAAATTGATTCTTTTCTAATAATGTGACTGAAATATTCTTTTTAGGTATAGCGTGAAGCCTTATCGACGCTACCAAAATCGACGCCATACTGGTTCTCAAGCACATGCACCCGCTGGTCACGATGAAAAATTCTATTGGATCGGATATGAGAACTATGTTCTACACGAGATGTCACGAAAAGACGAAGAAATGTGTGCTCAAGAAATGCGTCAACAGCTCATCGACTACAGAGAGTATGCCGAAGAAAAGTATAAGAGAGATCCGGTAATGTATAGCAGACTGATTTTGGTCCATTTGAAGCTGATTGCAGTGCTAGATCGCCGCGCAACTATGGAATATCCATTGCTTAAAAAGCACCGTAGCTGCATTAATTCCAATATATTCTCATCATTGTTGCTGCTTCAACGCATTGATATGGAAACGGCACTTCATTTGGAGAAGTATTTCCGTATGCGAAACGAAAGTGCATTCAATCCGGGTTTGATCGAAGAAAAAATGGTGAGTGAAGCATCGTTTTCGGTGAAATTCGCACGTGAAAATGCTGAAATCAGGAAAGTTCGAGATGAAATTTTGAAATTGGATGAAGCCAATATACAAAGTCAGAAGGCGAGATGGTCACAAGGCCGTGAAAAAGTGGAAAAGATCCGTGAGCAAGCAAATCGATTGGGATGCACGTTTCTAACTGACAGCTCTGGCGATACTTTTCATGCTGGAAAATGTAAACGATGCCATTTACATCATGATGCCAAAAAGGTACGTTTCTATGGAAAATAAACATCCAAATCGGTTGGACAACCAATTTGAATACGTTCATTACCTTTGGCAATCAAATAAAATAAGGAAAAAATTGTCAGAATTTAAAATTCAAACAAATCTTTGAACAGACCAATTGATACATATCAATTTAACTCAAATCCTCAGGTACGAATAGAGCAGTACGAGCAATTGTTGCCAAAAGAAGATTATCTACAGTTGGCCATTGCATTTGAGCTCCAAATCCCCGACACCATTGCATACTTGCGAGACATTCTCTACGGCTTTGTCAAGTTTTGTGCTGGAAAGCCCAGTATTCTGAATATCAAAGGCAATTGGGTCGAGTTCAATGATATTTCCCAGTTCAACGAGTCGGAGAGTAAATTTGTGACACTGGGTAGCACAAAACGACGTCGCTTAGAGTACATTCATGTTGATGAGCCATTCAAACGGTTGTACGTACAAAATTCATTCAATTGCACCTATCATGTACTCAACGAAGCCATTCCAACCTCACTGCCCGATGATGCCATTCAGGATGTGTGCACATTCAAAACGAATGGCGAGTACGCTGGCCTGCAATGGACTTTGAACAGCACATCGCACACGGAAAACCAAGTACTGTCGCGTCAATCGGAATGTCCGCAGAGCCTATCACTCTCTGAATACAAACATTTTGGCGCGCTTCGAGCCGATGGTCATCGATTACAGCTACGTAAGTTGTTCGCAATGATTGAAACGGAAGCGTTATCATTTGAGAAGGAATCGGTTTTGTCGCTGATTATGCAAACTCTGTGGGAATGTGGTGTGCGTGAAACTCACAGCGATTTCAGCGATTCAAAATTTTGTTCGGCCATGATTGAACTGCTCCGAAAATTTGTCAACCAACAGAAGGATAATTGGATGCACCCATTTAAATTGGTCATGGCCACATTGATATCGATTCGCATCTTCGAGATCAACGACGATGGCGCAATGGCCGATGAAATTGTTGGACTTTTGATCAGCATCCGAGGCATTGTTTGGGATTGGATTGATAAAATCTTCGATGTTATGCATAAAGCAAAGAATCCGACCGAAGCAAGTGAACGGGACTTACGCCTAAAACTCATCTACGTTGCAATTACGGGAAGCCTAACCTTTTCCATTTTTCCAAAGCACAAACACTACGAGAAGATTTTCTCAATTGGCAAAGATCTAAAACGACCGCATAAATCATGGTTACACTTCATCATTTCAATGCGAAACAATCTATTGCTGTACGAAATCAATGAGGATCAATTGCCATCGAATCTGCGAATGTTTCTTCGACTTGTCGAAATGTGTGGCCTGAATTTGGAACCAAAAATGCGCGACTTGATAACACAAGACGATTACGAAGTGTTTGAAGTGATTAAAATGCATTGGTGCGATGCCATCGAAACGGAAAGAAACACGAGAAAAATTGAGTTCTACCCCGAATCTCTGAATACATGTGAATTCAAAGCGATGATAAATACGGTACAAGCTACTGCAACCATTGATATCATCACTGGCATGTTTCTCGTGAATGGTTGGCCAATCTCACGTCTACCAATTGAAATTATGCAGGATGAATCATATCAGCGTGTGTTTGGAAACGTAGCGCTCGAGGTTCAACCGAATGCTCAACATCGGTTCTGCACAATTCAACGGAACACCGAATTTCGGTACGAATTCCAAAAGTTTAACGATAGCATCATCATAACGGAACGCAATGCAAACGGCTCAGATCGTGAGCTCATCCATCATAAAAACATGTATGGCGAATTTCCATTTTTACTTGTGCAAAACTACAGCCATTGGTGGAACAAGGATGGAAATTACATTGAATTTCGGCAAAGAACGTTCGGCCAAAGATTCGCATCGAAAGAGGCCAAAGTCGATTATCGACTCGACTTGAATACGAGTTATTTGATTGATATGCGAACACAGCAACGAATGCTGAACATAAAGAGTATGAGCTACAGAAGAATCGTGAAGCGACTGTCACGTTTGGAGCATCAACGATACATTCATGTGATGGAGGAAAGTGCGAATGTGATTAGCGTTGATTTGCTACGAATGAAATTGAAGTTCAAAATTGACTGTTCAGATGAAGACGAGGAACAAGGGCTCCACTTCGAATCGGTTGAATTCAGTGAAATGCGCATCAGTGACACACAGAATATTGGCACATTGTATGGACTCAACTATGGTTTAGTGCTGGAAAGCGATTCCGGATCGTCTACCAAACGGAAAATACTATTGATGCCAAACGGACAAATTCATAGTGAATGCACGGATTTGCATGTTTCCGTAGATATTGAAACTAAGAACAACACCAGAAGCCCACCATTTTTCCAGTATCAAGTTGATGAAATTGTCCGTCAGGTAATAGCCAGCAATAGCAGTCATGAATCTTGGTTTTATCTCGCCTACTTACATGCCATAACGTCACACGGTGAAATTGAACCGTTCACGAGAATGTCTGGCACAGAACGAGCACTACAAATTCTTCAGTCCGCTTTTGCATGGTCATCATCTCCGTACGAAACCGAAGCAATCAAAATGTTGAATGGAATTGCGGCATTGTCACCGATTCGAAAAATGGATGGTTATCATCAATGTATCACATGGCCAGAATATATTCCACCGCGTTCTGCGCAGGATTCCTTCATTTTCGTTGTAAAAAAGCTTCTTGAGGATAGTCAACGTTTGCATGGACTTCATTCCAATGCATCATCGGAAAAGCTAGATACTGAAACTGAATTGACGCTCAATAAACGAGAATATTGGCGGTGTCTTCCATTGCAGCCCAATTTGCGCGTGTCTGATTCATTCATTGAACACGAAGAGTTGAAAACATCGCTGCCCGATTCGGTTCCATTTTCATTCTCCACCAACACTGGCATCGTGTCCACTTTGTATCACACCAACAGCTTCCGAGTGCCAAAACCGAATTGGATGCAGTGCTTGACCAATCGACGCCAATTAAAGGGCATCACTTCGAAGGGATGCATCTCAAATATTCTGTATCACAGCGTTTACGAAGAGTTCCCCGACTTGTGGATTTCCCTATACGATGCCATTCGAAAGCAAGAATTGAACAACGAAGAGATCGTTTTGATATTAACCCTATTCTCTCATCAAAATAAAGAGTTCGGACAAGCGATTTTGGCATTACAAGCGGTTGCCATGAATTCAAATTTATTCGAAGACATCAAGCCACCACCAATTGCCGAATATAAGTTAGCATCGGGCACATACAGTGTCAGTCAATTGCACAGCGTACTAAGAAACTTGATTTATACAGGTGACGACAATGATAATTATGCCAAAGGTAATGAAGATGAACTCAAAGTAGATACGATTGTTGATCGATTGGCAGCGAAAATTGAAGAGAGTTGGCCATGCAGTTGGGTTAATTTGACCGATGAATTTTGCGATGTTGATGCTTTAAACGCCAATATAGTGGTTAACAACCAGCTTAGCATTTGGAATGAGAATCGCCAGTTGAATGAGTTCATCGAGAAAATTCATGAACGTTTTAAATCATTGCCAGAACAAACTCCTTATGTTGTGTTGGGACAATACTGTCCATTTGTGGAGCCACAACCGCAAAATTGGCCCAAATATGAAATCGATTTTGAAGAAAAAATTCGACAAAATGTCAACATACCAAACAATGTTATGGATGAAGCTAAAGCAGTATGGATTGAAAATGAACAAGAGCTGTCCAACTCGGCAGAGGACTGGTGGAAATTTATTGAGCTTTGTCTCACGTCTGATCAATCACAACATTTAGTTCAAGCTGGCTTGTTTCCGCGAATGGTGCCAAGTATGCTGTTGCCAAAAATATTGACCACCGACAAAGATGATCCATTAACAACGATAATCGGTGCCTGGGCTGTGACCATTGCTCGAGAACAACGCGACAAACGCATTGAGCACTATTCTCAAAGACCTGATCTCAAAGCCGACATGGATAGAGAGTTCGAAAATGTGCCGCATGTGAATTGGAAACCGAGTGAACGTCCCGAATGGTTGATTTTTGAGGTAGGTTCTTTTCATTTTTTGTTGTGTTTTTTCATTCTGTTGGATCGAATTCTATTTGGGAATTGGTTTGAATTTTTAGGTGGAACAAAACTTAACGATCCGAGAAATTCAAATTAAAGTGGCCGAACAAATGATTGAACCACCAAAGAAGCCGGGTGTCGATGCAAAACACTCGGTCATGCAATTGAACATGGGCGAAGGAAAAACGGCTGTGATTGTCCCAATTTTAGCTGCCATTTTAGCTGATGGCAATCAAGCATGCCAAATCACTGTACTGAAGTCATTATTTTCGAGAAATCAAAAGTTTCTGCGCCAGTATTTGGGCGGTCTATTGAATCGCAGAATTTACACCTTTCCCTGTCGTCGAGATATGCCAATCGTTCAGTATGTCGAGCATATACCAGAAATTTATGAAGAATGCAAAACGAACAAAGGTAAGGCTAACAATAAGTGAATCATGGCTTGTAAAATTGCTTCTTAATTCGATCACAATGTTAATTCAATATGAAATGCTGCTCTGCTGCAGGTGTCATTCTAACTTTGCCCGAATATCGGTTGTCGATGCAATTGAAGGCGTACGAGTCAATTCAAAAGGGTGAAATCGAAGCGGCTAAACACTTTTTGCACGTCCACAAATGGCTCAATGCAAATGTTCGAAACATATTGGATGAATCGGATGCAATTTTACAATCAAACTATCAGCTAATATACACCGTAGGCAATCAGCGACTGCTAGATGGTGGATCACTACGATGGTCTGTCATTCAAGCCTGTCTCAAACGAATTCCGATACACATGAAAACGCTGTACGAGAAATATGGTAAAGAAAAGATCGAGTTTGATGATAATTACATGAGAAACAAAGACATTTTCGGAGCATTGCATGTCAACCATCGGTCCGATATTTTCACGCCATGCCGTATTATCGATGAAGAAATTTTTGATCATCTGAAAGCCGCACTGGTCGAAGATTTCATTGGTGGTAGCATTGATGAAATTCCAGAAATTAGTGATCCATCGAAACAATGCTTGAAATATATCCTCACACAGAAAACGCTTGACAAAAGACCATCGCATTTGATTGAAAATTTCTCGTTGGCCGAGCAAAATATTCTCATGATTTTAAGCGGTTTGCTACGGTTTGAAGTACTTAAATTGGCGCTGACAAAGCGATGGCGCGTTAATTACGGTGTCGACAAAAAAGGTCAACGGAAAATGGCAATCCCATTCAAAGCGAAAGATGTGGCAGCAGATATGACGGAATTCGGTCATCCAGATGTGGCGATCTGCTTTACTCAACTCAGCTATTACTACTCAGGTAAAACTTCACTTATTTCTGCGTCGAGGAAAATGCAACGAAAAAGTTCATACTTTGATTTGTTTTATAGGCCTTGACGATGACCAAATGCATCAATTATTCGAAATATTGAAGAACAAACAGAATCCAGGTTCAATATATGGGAAATGGATACAAAGCATTCCACGAAAATTGGTTAATGGTACGATTTCAAAATACACGGGCATCAATTTGGACAATCCCAATCAACGTGATCAATTGCTGTTTCCAATGTTACGTTTTAACATGCATGTAATTGATTTCTGGCTGGATAACGTGGTCTATCCGTATGAAGCGAAAATTTTCGAGCAAAAATTGATGTGCACCACATGGGACTTGTGCAGGTAAACAACGTTCATTTTATTAACCAATTTTCCATTACGCATTCGGATAAACAATTGTAATGTTTCCAACTATTACAGTGATCAACTTGAGCATCGTGTAACCGGATTCAGTGGTACAAATGACACAAAAAACCTACTTCCAATGCCAATCGCTCAAAATGATCTCGACGAACTCGAAAGTACGAATGAGAATGTGCGCCAAATATTGCTGCAGCCGGAAAATCAATCGTACGAAAGTTTGCCGACAAATGTGAGCGCCAAGGAAATACTGGAGCGGTTGACAGAACGCAAAATCCCCGTTCTTTTGGACTCTGGTGCGTTAATGCTGGAATTGTCCAACGAACAAGTGGCCACCGAATGGCTGAAGATGACACCAGAAGCAACCTACGATGCAGCTGTTTATTTTGATTCACGTGACATTTTACAAACCATCGATCGCAATGGCACAGTCACCGAATTCGATTGTTCGGTCTATCGTGAGAATTTAAACCGATGCCTGGTGTATTTGGATGACGTTCATACTCGTGGAACGGATTTGAAATTTCCATTGAATTGGAAAGGCTGTGCAACACTATCGGGCGATATAACACGTGACAAAACCGTGCAATCTTGCATGCGAATGCGCCAATTGGGTACAAGTCATTCGATTTGCTTTTGGGCATCGTGTGAAGCTGATATTCGCATACGCAAACGGTGCAATCTATCAGCCGAAGATCCCGTTACAAATGAAAATGTCATCGAATTCATCAGTAGCAACAGCAAGCAATTGGAAACAGCAAATATGGTGCACTGGACAGCGGCCGCATTGAACTACACCAAGAAATTGATTGGACACAAACTGTTTGATGATGATACAACCGATGATGACAGCTCCATGGAACAGTTGTACGCGAAATGTGTCGACGATGAATTTGTCAACCTGATTGATATGTACGGTGACAAAGAAGAGGCATTGCTCACACAAATAGCGTGGTCGAAATTCGATAATATCACGTCCGAACATCGATCCCGAGCCAACAAAGAAATCAAATCATTCATACGTAAGATGCAAGACAATGTGGACGAGAAATTGAATGAGCTGGCACCGGATGTGAAGAAATTCTCCAATGCATTGGACGAAGAACAAGAAAAAGAATTAGAGCAAGAAATCGAAGAACAACGCCAAATTGAACGACCACCACCGGTTAAAGCAGCAACACCAATTTTCGATGAAAGTTTGAAAAAACTCATTCTGAATGGTGCAACTGAGGAATACATGAAGACACAGCGTTCTCTGATTTCCATCGCTGCAAGCCTCGGACACACGCAAATGTTCAAGCATTACAGGAGGGATAACAAAGAGGCCTGGGCCAAGCACATATTTGTCACAAAGGATTTTAAAACGGTGATCGACAGTCTGTCGCAGTCGTGTGACGAATTCTTACGTCCCGTTTGGTGGGTTGCACGCATCGAACATGCAAAGAATACCGACATTCTGGTACTGTTGAGCTCATATGAATGCAATCGTCTATTTTCGACGTTTCAAAAGAGCAGAAAATCCACGCTATTCATGTACCGGCCACGCATAAACAAAATGCACAGCAATTTGCTTGACGACATTAATCTGATGGTAACCGGAAAGGATGAAACCGAACTCATTGACATCGAAGATGAAGTTCAGATCGGTGTGTATGCAGGAATGATGTACTTTGAGAGTGGAGATGAGCAGAATGCGTACTGCGATTTCATGGGTCTTATTCCAAGGCCGAGAACGAAGGAGCTGGAACGAGCATTCGAAAGTGGTATAATCCAAACGAAGGGATATGTACCGATCGAGAAACGGCAATATTCAGAAGCGATCGCAAGTCGTGTTGGTCAATGCAAATTCCAAGATAATCCAGTTGATCTGGCCGTCAAATTGGTTGAAGCTCATCATCAAACACTGCTTAAGGAGTCGCATGTCGCTGCAATTTTGGAACGCAGCACCAAACTCATCGCTGACATTAACGATGATGAACACGACGACTAGCTCCAGTATTTCAACGCATTCTCAAAAAAAACAACATGTTTACTTACTTTATTTTGAAATAGCTTATGGACATTAATAAAAACATTTTTATTCATTTTTCGATACATTTTGACATGTTTTTTTATTCATTTTCAACAAAAAAAAATTCATTTTTTATACTTTCAAATATTTTAATAAAATAATTTTCAAACAAATGAGTCGTTTTAACCTTTATTCCACTTATTTCATTATTTTCAATCTAAACTTTGACCACAGCTTTTCCGAAATTTTTACCTTGAAGCATGTCAATGAATGCCTGTGGCATATTTTCAAATCCTTCGGTAATTGTTTCATGATATTTCAATCTGCCTTCGTCAATCCACCGTTTCGACTGTGCAATGCCATCGAACCATTTCGACCAGTAGCGTTGAACGAGAAAGCCCTCCATTTTCAATTGTTTGAAAACGACTGTTGGCTGTATGATTGTGGCTTGTGGCCATTGACCGAATGGTAAATTGTACGATGAAATCGATCCACATACAGCGATCCGGCCAAAATCTCGCATCTGATTTATAACGGTTGAACTGATTTCACCGCCAACATTATCGAAGTAACAATCAACACCCTGTGGTGCATACTTCTTCAAAACATCGTTCACCGACTCGTTTTTATAATTGATAGCATGATCAAAACCTAAATCATTTGTAAGCCATTTACATTTTTCATCGCTACCGGTAATGCCAATAACTTTGCATCCTTTTGCTTTGGCAATTTGACCCACCAAATTACCAACGGCTCCAGCTGCTCCAGAAACCACCAGAACCTCACCCGCTTTAGGTTGAATTATTTCTAATAAACCAAATTGAGCCGTATTACCTGGCATACCCAATGTTCCAAGGCCGAGACTGCGAGGAAGATCGGCAAACGATGGCAAAATGTATGTTGGAATTGAGTACGGATCTTGTGTAACATTGCGATTGAAAACTGTGTGCGTGCGCCAACCTAATGATCCATAAATAATGGCATCTTTTGGATAATCCGCATTTTTCGATTCAATTATTCTGCGTAAAAATTGAATTGAAAAAAAAAACACACAAATCTTTTCAATTTTCTATCAATTTTTTGAATTGAGAAACTCACTTTGCAACTTGACCGCCGGGCATCGTGATTCCCATACCAGCTGGAAGAAATTCGCCAAACGATCGCATATACGGATCCACACTTAAAAACAATGCCTCGGCCAAAACGTCTAATAGAAGGATAAAAGAAGAAGTAAAGAATCCATAGAACGGTTGGAAAAAACACACACACTCAACAGACTAAAAAAAAAACTTGGTGCAAAAAATCTACCCGATAGTCTCAGTGAACACAATTGAATTTTATGATTTGATTAAAATATCTGAATATTTATAGAATTAAAATGCACACACCTCCATCTTTCAGCTCTGGCAACGTTTCTTCTTCCAATTGAAAATCACTGACTTTTGGTAAGCCATCAAATTTTTTAGCATAAACAAACTTTTTTGCTTGCTGCTTTGCACAAGCGAATACGAAGCAACAGCTTAAAATCGTTAGTAGTGTAAACTTCATTTTGAACCTTCTGACTCGAAGTCCGTGTCTGTTGCGAGTCTAAGAACAACTAATGGGAAGCTAAAACTGCGCAGTGATTTTTATTCTAATTGGCGAAAAATTAATTGGATTATTTTTTTCACAGCGAGATAGATGTTGCTAACCAAATACGGGTTTGTCAGAGTTGAGTGACTTCGGAAAGCACGTACACATGATTCTTTCATTCTATCCAGAACCCATCAAACTTGGAATGAAATCCGAATGAATGACATGACAGAAGGTGTGTTTGGACATAGCATGACCGTTTAAAATAAATACGAATTCTTTGACAACTGAACACTGCAGAAGAAAAAAACACATTTTTGTTCGAAATTTATGGTTCGTAAATGAAATATTATCGATGATAATAATCAACGTACCATTATGATGACACACCATGATAACGGCTATTTTTAGGTCAGTGATTTTTTTCAAAAGGCGATAATAGAACGAGCAAATTGAGTATCATAGGTGGAATGACGTGCATTCGCATAAGCGGAAAAACATTGATTCTGAAAAATGTTATTATGGGATATTTTCAAATTCAATGGTTTCAAGTCGAAAATATGATCATTTTTTTTCAGGTGTAATAGTTGTTGGTCCATGGTATGAGCCGAAAATATATTTGGGATTGGAGCATACATACCCAAGCGCGACTCCACACTTAGCTCCTAAATGTGACACCGTAGTAAGTGTGGGCATACGTTTTGCGAATAAGCGACAAAGAGAATGGAAACAAGTACGCGTGTGGTAGTGAGTAGCCTGATGCGATGCTACTCAATGGAGCGACTAATACACGCGCACTTGTTTCCATTCCCTTTGTCGCTTATTCGCAAAACGTATGCCCACACTTACTACGGTGTCACATTTAGAAGCTAAGTGTGGAGTCGCGCTTGGGTACATTGACTTTATTAAATAAAATGCAGCCAATTTATTCGATTGTAATGAATATATGACTTTTGTATATTTAAAATTGACAATTCTTTCTTTTTTTATTAGAAATATTATTGAAACTTAAACTTTAACCACGGCCTTTCCGACATTTTTTCCCTCAAGCATATCGATGAGTGCTTGTGGCATATTTTCAAATCCTTCGGTAACTGTTTCACGATATTGGAGTTTGCCTTCGTCAGTCCATTGTTTCAATTGTGCTAGGCCATCAAACCATTTGTTCCAGTATCGTGGAACTAAAAATCCTTCCATTTTCAGCTGCTTGAACACGAATGCTGGTTGTAAAAACGGCACCTTTGGCCAATCGGAATACGGAAGATTGTATGATGATATCGATCCACATACTGAGATCCTTCCAAAGTCTCGCATCTGATTTATAACGATTGAGCTGAGTTCACCGCCAACGTTATCAAAGTAGCAATCAACACCGTCCGGTGCATATTGTTTCAGAGTTTTATGCACAGGCTCGGTTTTATAGTTGATGGCATGATCAAAGCCAATTTCCTTTGTGAGCCAAGTACATTTATCATCGCTTCCCGCGATTCCAATAACTTTGCATCCTTTGATTTTTGCAATTTGCCCCACTAAATTACCAACAGCACCGGCAGCGCCCGATACAACGACAACTTCATCTTCTTTTGGCTTGCAGATGTCTAAGAGCCCAAAGTATGCCGTATTTCCCGGCATGCCAAAATGTCCAAGTCCAAGAGACAGTGGAAGATCACCAAATGATGGCAAAACATATGGTTTGATCAACGTATTATCATTTCCATCGTTTGCATTGAAAATTTTATGCGTTCTCCAACCAAATGTTCCATAGACAAAAGAATCCTTTGGAAAATTTGCATCGTTTGATTCGATCACTCTGTTTAAATGGAAAATGAATGGTTTTAGTAATTTCTCTCATCTGAAGTTTGTGATAAATTTGTTTTCATACTTTGCCACTTGTCCACCAATCATAGTAACGCCAACCGGAATACGTTCAGTATATGGTCTCATGTATGGATCAACACTCAAGTAAACCGCTTCAGTCAAAACATCTAAACAAAAACAGTATCTTTCGATCGAAGATCATATCGACCTTATCATATTTTGTTGTTATTTAAATCAATGAGAACTAACCTCCATCTTTTAACTCCGGCAAACTTTCTTCTTCCAAACGAAAGTCGGTGATTTTCGGCATGCCATCAAAGCGTTTGGCATAAATAAATCGCTTAGCTTGAACAGCAGAGCGCTTTAACATCTTTTTTTTCTAATTCCCTACGAAAAACGAAAGAAGATTTGAAAATATTTCTCCGATAAAATGCTCGTCTTGAGTGAAAGAACAGCTGATTGACACTAAAGTAGTATTACTGGTTAGTTCACAGACTTATGTTTCTATATATGCGAACAGTCAAGCGGTTTTTATTGGCTAATTTTGACAGTCAGCGTGACGTTCATACACAAACACGTTGTTAGAAGCAGACTACTTACGCATCGTCGTTTTGATTAAATCAACGCTTACGAACCACAATCAACATGTGACCTATACTTATATAGATAAGGAATAATAACGACAAGTTTTTTTACAGCTCGAAGTTCAAGCCTTGGCAGTAAGAAACGAATGCGGCGATTATATATCTTTTTATTAGCAATTCATGATGAGAAACGGGATTTGCTTCTGAAATTTCGTTATTATTTATTTTTGTCCGAAATTTTATTGCAGATTTTATTTGCAACTATAATTAATGGAAAATTATGCTTAGAATTTGGAATGTGAAATTAAACTTTAACAATTGCTTTTCCAAAGTTTTGACCTTGAAGCATATCAATCAAGGCTTGTGGCATATTTTCAAATCCGTTTGTAATCGTTTCACGGTATTGTAATTTGCCCTCTTCAGTCCATTTTTTCAATTGAGCAATGCCATCGAACCATTTGTCCCAAAAACGTGTAACAACGAATCCTTTCATAGTTAGTTGTTTGAATACGAACGCTGGTTGAAGAATGGGCACTTTTGGCCAATCAGCAACCGGCGTATTGTACGATGAAATCGAACCACAAACGGAGATACGGCCAAATTCACGCATTTGATTGATGACAATTGAACTGATTCCACCGCCGACATTGTCAAAATAACAATCAACGCCGTCCGGTGCATATTTTGCCAATACTTCGGCAATTGACTCGGTTTTGTAGTTGATGGCATGATCAAAGCCCAATTCTCGCGTAAGCCATGCACATTTATCATCGCTTCCCGCGATTCCAACCACTTTGCATCCTTTGATCTTCGCAATTTGGCCCACTAGACTGCCAACAGCACCAGCTGCGCCCGATACGACGACCTACAGTTGATTTTATGTATTTTAACGTGATCATGTTATTATATCAACATACCTATCAAATGTTTACACAATCAACATACCACTTCACCTTCTTTCGGTTCGCAAATCTCCAAGAACCCAAAGTAAGCGGTGTTGCCAGGCATGCCCAAATGCCCCAAGCCCAATGACTCTGGCAGTTTTCCAAATGATGGCAAAACGTATGCTTTAACCAGCTGAGCTTCGGGACTGGTCGGATTGTATATGGTATGGGTTCTCCAACCAAACGATCCATAGACAATAGCGTTTTTTGGATAATCAGCATTTTTTGACTCGATGATTCTAGCGTTTTGGGAAGAAAATTAAATTAAATTGAATGCAATGAAGGAATATAAAGAAGAAAACAAAAAAAAAACGCATCAAATTTCATGAAAAAACAAGTGGATGGAAACGATCTTACTTAGCAATTTGCCCTCCAATCATAGTACAACCAATTGGAATTCGTTCGCTGTACGGTCTCATATATGGATCGACGCTCAAATAGATTGCCTCAGCCAAAAACTCTGACAAAAAAAGAATAACGAAGGAAGTCATTAAAACAGCGGCATAAATTAGCGCTAATGAAAATAATAAATCGTAAAGTGCATTTTAAGTGAATTGTGAAAAACTTTGCTTTTAAATTTCTTTTTCTTCGCATTATTTTCACTCAATTTTGACACATTACATTTTATGAGTCTCTTTGTACGAGACTATTGAACTTGATGAACGAATGAAATTTATCCATTAATTTTGTTTCTTAAAATTTATTCAACAAACTCTATTGTACAAAAGTGACAGCGAGACGTGTTAAAATCCAAAAAATTGCAATGAAAAAAAAACTAACCTCCATCTTTCAACTCCGGCAATGTTTCTTCTTCCAAGCGAAAATCAGTGACTTTTGGCAAACCATCAAAACGTGCGGCAAAAATGAATTTCTTTGCTTTGACCATTTTTTTCTCTTCGTTCTTTTTCCACTAAAACCACTTTCCTAATAAAACGTATTTACTCGGATGAAACAATGTTCGATGCGTACTCGTTGTGAGAACAAGTGTTACTGAAATTGACACTGAATGTGTTTTATCGTATCATTGGGCTCGAATCATGACTTTTGATTTTATTTGCGGAAACTTGAGTGGCAATTTTTAGCAAACGGCTATGACGTTTATATACAAACACCGATACTTGTTAAATGCATTTGAAATCGCACACGCATGTTCTGATTAAGACGGTCACTGTTGCTGTTAGACACTACACACACAGAGTGAGACAAATACACCGATAGAGTATTTGAGATAAGAAAAATAACGATAATCGTGTTTTTTTGACAATAACGAGACCGGTGTGCGGCGATTATATTTTTAATTACCGCTTCAATTCACAATGGACTCTTATATTTTCGCACGACTTTTTTATCAATGTTATCGCTAATTGAAGTAAACGGAACTATGAATGTTTCACGCCGAACACTTTGCACAATGATAATTCTATGATTATGACCATTTTTTTTTTCATTCTAAAAAACAGTTGTTCATTCTAGCATTTTTGCAGCATGTACGTCAAAAAGTGGGGCGATTTTTTGAGAAAAAAAATCATGTGATATTGATATGTGATAATTTACCAGTGTCTATCTCTCCAGAGGTAAGTTCAATGTGATACATATCGCACTTAAGCCATCAAATCTCCATTAGCCATACAGTTGTCTTTTCGTCAACCGCAATTATCAAACTAAACTGTAATAATTGGTGTTTGTTCTGTTTTTATCTTGGCTTCTCTTTCCATTTTTTCAATATCTTTCCGCATTCTCCAGAATTGGTTTTATCCTCTTTTTTGTTTGATTTTTCGTAATTTGAAAATTGATAAATGCATTATTGTGTTGTTGTTTCATTTTTTACACTTGCTGTTTATTGTTAAACACTGAGTAATGGTTTTTGTTTGTGAAAAAAATACTTTTTGCAATATTATTGCTATCTTATCAAATGAATCAAAATGCTGTTTTCATGCCCAAGTCTTAAATTGAACTTCAATCAAACGATGACAACGGCTTTGCATAATTTTTTTCCTGAAGCATATCAATCAAGGCTTGTGGTATATTCTCAAAACCGTTTGTAATCGTTTCACGATATTTTAATTTTCCATCTTCAGTCCATTTTTTCAATTGAGCAATGCCATCGAACCATTTACTCCAATAGTTCGTAACGCGGAAACCCTAGGGGAATATCACGCTCCTGAATCTTGTGAGATATTTAAGATATTTGAAATAAACATCAATTGCATGAAATATTTTCGAATATTTCGAATAAATAAATCAGATTTTTGTGGATTTTGGAGATATTTGAGATTTTTTGCATTAAATCCGAAAAAATACATTTAAATATCATTCATAATCACAAATGAACCCGTGAGCATAAAAACGACTTATTAAACAATCGCCGAACAAAACGATACAAGAAAAAACTACCGAACAAAACGTACCACAGCGGTAATGTGTAGCACAGCGGAGTTTCGTTTTGAACGATACCGTCCTGCTGTGTTACGTTTTTAACGTGTGTTTTGTTTGGTAGTTTTTTCTTGTATCGTTTTATTCGGCGATTGTTTAATAAGTCGTTTTTATGCTCACGGGTTCAAATATCCACCATATTTCATACGACAGATTCTTAAAGATGTATTGGATTTTTTTGAAATATTTGAAATAATCGAAGCATGATATTCCCCTAGCGGAAACCTTGTATTTTCAATTCTTTATAAATCAAAAAATGGCAACATCAACGGTACTGTTGGCCATTCAGCCAACGGTAAATTACACATGGAAATGGTTCCGCACACTGTAATTCGTTCGAATTCGCGCATTTGTCAGAAATTCATCGATGACCTTGTCTTCTCGCTTAGAACGACTGATTGAGATCGAAAAATGGTTTCTACGCTTGATACTCTGGCTTTTATTTTTGTTTGATGAACTCGAGTGGAAATTTCTCAATGTATTACTGACCTTGGCATAGACACCTGTGTGTCATTGTAACAGAAGCGATCAGAACAATGTGTGAACCAAGGGGAAATCAGCTCAATGTTAAATTGTTCGGAGTAAAGAAAAAAACGAATTCAAAACACAATGAATCATAATAAGATACAAAAACCCATCACAATGAATACTGAATTTTCAAACAAATTTCATCCAATGAGATTCAACGTTGATTTTAGAGCGACAAATGAATCATTTGAAATGATTGACATATTTTTCACTCAAAAATATTTTCCCCTTGTTCATGGTAAATACGTACAACCATATATGGCAATGGTAAACAACGCATATATGGTTTAAATAGAACACGATCATATAAGCTATGATGATACAGCAGTTTCTTGTGCTTCTCCAAACAAATTATTACCGAATGAGATTTGCCAGTACAATTTTATTCTTCAGAATAATAAGTGAAATAAATTCCCTTGTTTTGGGCGAAATAAAAACTTTAATATTAATATCAAATTCATTACATATGAATTAAAACATTTCTGTTAATTTAGAAAAGTATTTTCGTCTTCAATTGGTGTTGATTGATTCCATTCGGTTAATTATTTTTTAACCAATGCTTTGCCAATATTATCGCCGCGTAACATCCCGATGAAAGCGGTTGGCAAACTATCAAATCCATTCGAAATCGTCTCACGATACTTCAATTGGCCGGCAAGAATCCATTGAGACAGTTTGGCAACGCCTTCTTCCCATCGCATGAACCATCGGTTCACAATGAAGCCTTCCACTTTCAACTGCTTGGCAATAATGATGGGCTGTATCGGAATGTTTGTTGCTAAAAATCGTAAAATTAAATCGTTAAATTTTGAATCATTAACATTGTGTGTTTATAAGCCTTACTCCGATCACTTTTCAAATTATACGTTGAGATCGCTCCGCACAAGGCAACGCGGCCGAATTCATTCATCTGTGACATAACGATGGAGCTGAGCTCACCGCCAACATTGTCAAAATACACATCAATTCCGTTTGGGGCTAGCCTTTGCAGAGCTTCTTCAATATTTTCATTCTTGTAATCAATTGCAGCATCAAAATTCAGTTCTTCTTTGAGCCAGCGACACTTTTCGGCGCTTCCAGCCACACCCACCACACGACAATTTAGTATCTTTCCGATTTGACCAACAATGCTTCCAACAGCTCCGGCAGCACCGCTAATTACAATTGTTTCATTTGCCTTTGGCGCACACAATTCAATCAAACCAAAGTATGCCGACAGCCCAGTCATACCAAGCGATGCCAATCGCTGTGATAGCGGAATATTTGCGATCGGCTCAACGATATATGGTGGAATGTGATTGCCACCTTTTTCTTTTTTGTCCATATTATTATTAAATATCGTCAAATCTCGCCATCCAAAGAAGCTCCATACATAAGAACCGACCGGGTATTTTGGATCGTTACTTTCAATTACTCTACAAGATAATTAGTTGAAAAAGCGTAAACGAGCATAATGAAAAAAAAAATTGAAGAATATTCTAACCTTGCAATATTCTCACCAATCATCGTCGAATTGACTGGTAATTTGGGCATTTGTACTCTCATGTACGGATCAACGCTCCAGTAAATCGTTTCAACCAGCACATCTAATCAAGTTGAAATAGTTTGAATTAAAAAAAAAATAAGTGACCTTGAAAAATTTTGGTTAAGAAGTTCAATACCGCCGTCCTCTAGTGTTGGTAATTCCTCAAATTGTAGTTCAAAATCACTTTGTTTTGGTTCTCCATCGAAGATCGATGCAAAAACAAACTTTCTCGCTTTCACCATGATTCTTGTATCAGATAACGTCTGCTCGACTTGAGTTTTTGAGATCAAATTTAACAAGAACAAAGAATCCGTCACTCCGTCATTCACCCGAAGCTCATGAATTAAAACATAAATTGACAATAACAACACCAATACAATGACAAAGGCAAACACATGTATTTGACAGATGGATATATTTTGGATATTCTTGTTAACGCTTCAATGCCGTGATGTGAATTTTGCGCTGAGTTTTGAAACTCGGTCAATTTTCTGAACTACAGAATTGTTCAAAGCTGATCAAATTTCAAAATTGTTGAAAAACTAAATAAAAATTTCACTTTTTCCGGTGAAAATATATTCTTTTGAAAAACCTTACCTTACCACAATGAAAAATGCGATCGATGTATTATCACTATGACAAAATCGGAAGAAAATTAGCAAAACGTTACCATTAAATTAAATTCGTTACATCTGATAGCGGAGAACGAAACGCATGCTGATAATAAAATTTGATCGGATCAATCTTAACGACGAAGTAGAGAGTCGTTATACCTAAAGTGTGTGCCTCATCGTTAAATAAAACGCAAATGATTTCGTTAAAGTGTCAAGTATTTTTTTATTTCTCGATTTCAAAATACATTTGAATTTCAAATGATTGACTGATCGAAATCTCGCATATAAATTGTTTTCTTCCGTTTATTTCTCCCAAAAATAAACTATAAGACAAAACATTTACAATGTGAAAAAGAAATTACGCAAATATAAATAATAAGCTACCAAGTTCCAAGCGGCCGCATTCCAAACATTGACCAGTAGAAACATAAAGTGAGTATTCATGCCTTCGAATCGCCAGTAGAATGGATACATCTGACCAAGCAGTTCACTGCCAATATACATAAGAATGGCATTCATGCCGGCAAATGTCAACGGCGTGCCCGACCAATATTTCTTCACATCGATGATGACATAGAAGATTGAAAGTAGCAAAAATGCAAATGAAGTGGTGACCAGAACAAATGAAAGTGACCAGAGATTTTTATTGATTGGTATCAGACCGTCGTTGATGGAAAATTGGCACAAACAACCGCCAATCAGGAATGTGCCAATGCTCCAACAGAGCCATCTCTTTAGCCGATCAATGGGCTGGGTGAATAGTAAAAGTGTATTGCCACATTGAACGCCGAAAAATACTTGAACAATGGTTAGTAAGCAGCCAAATGGTCCCTCTGGATCGAATGGCATGCGTTCGTCATAAACAACAGCGGCACGTGGTCGCTGGTACAGATGCCGAGTTCCAATTATCAATCGATCCACATACCCAGCAGCTCCGCCGATGCAATTATTATAACGAGCCATCTCATGGATTCCGCCAGGTCCAAGGTAACCACTCGGACAGCCTGGCACGGGTATAAAGAAAATAATCAGCAGATGAAAGACGATCAAAACAAGCATAATTGTCCATTGGGTCGATAAAGAGGTGATGTCAAGGAATGATGTTCTCCAAGAACGTGTTTGCTCCTCTGTATCGATTGCCACATGTCTCCTCAGAAGGACTTGCAGCGAAGCAATGACAAGATAGGCAATGCCAAATCGTTGCAACACACCCATAATACGAATGTCAGCAAAGTTCGGCCCATGAGCGGTGTGAATGAGCAATCCGACGAAAAACAGCTTGAGGGATCGCTGGAAATAAGGTAAAGAGATTGAATTAATCGCGATTCCTTTGGGAAAAGTTGCTAAACTATTTCTCAAAAAATGAAATTCCATCAATGCATTTGAAACGCCCGTCAAATTCAAACTTACAATGAAAATACTGCTGAGAATGTCCTGATGCGGAATGTTTTTGGCGAATTGTGACTTCAGTGAAATGGGAATGCAAACGCCCATGATCCACAGGAATGAGGGAAATATAAAGTCAGCCGGATGAATGCCATTCCACGAAGCGTGCTCAATCCAATGGTATTCTCCACACCCACTATTCGCAAATATCATGGTAACAATGGCCAAGCCGCGAAAAGCGTCCAAGCTACACAGCCGATTGCTCGATAAATTTTTCTGCTTCGCAGCATTAACAGCAGCCAAAGTGACATCATGACTGTCAAGTTGACTGGTGGACGCCGTCGAATTATTGCGATTGATCAGATACTTTCTACCTCGTTGCAGTAGCACGAAGATTATGTAGGCCAACGAAACGAATGCGAGTAACAAAAATATAGCTATAAAATTGAAAAAAAAGGTCAAAGTTTTAAAGTTGTCAACCAAACTGGTTATTTCAAATGACGCGTCTCAATTATTATCTAAAAATGACTCATAGAGACGATTGTTTGAAAATTGATGTAATATTCATGAATAGACGATTTGTGTCGTATGTTTTTTTTTACGTACATAAAATTCGATTGACCGGTGCTTGGTGCGTGTGAAATGTACATCCGTTGTCGTCTACAGTCAAGTTATAAATGCCAAATTGTCCTAGATTGTCCGGTTTTACAACACAAAATGCGGTGCTACAAATGAAAATCAATATTAACCTAATCTAATATGGTAACGGAAAATAACGATGATTGAAAGTTACCTGTTCTGAAAGGCATATGGGCCAACATTTGATTTATACAGCGACCATTTAAGTTGAGTGGCTGTATTGATCCGTTCAACGATGTAGCTTCTTGCTGGGATCTTCTTCAATTTCTTATATGGGCACTGCAAAACATTAACGTTCAATTCCACTTGATTCAATTGATAAGTCATTGTAATTTATTGCAAATAAATACATTACCGCGATACATTCGTCAGACAGTTGATAGAGCCAAAGGCTTTCGTATAGCGTTGAACTAACATTAAGCAACGCTTGATCAACTTTCAACTGCCCGGTCACCGAATCTTGAGCAAACTCCCACATCTTATCGCTTCAAAACACCAACTGGATCTGTTGCCAAAATACAAAACCAACGATTTAGCAAAAACTAATTGAATTAAGTGTCGAGGTGAAGGAGAAAAAAATGGGAAAACATATATTTACGCTAATCAAGCCGATATTGAACACACCTCGTTTTACACCGAATATTGTCCAAAAAAAAATCCAATAATCTCCCAATTAAATTCGAAAAGTATCTCGTGGTCGTAAATAAAAGTGAAACGTGTTTTTTGGCGATTGCAAAAAAAAAAAAAATCTGTGTCAGGCGACTGAATCGCAGCTAGTGTACAAAGTGAAACTTCACGAGGCACAAAATATCAAAATGTGACTAAATTATACCACACAAAGTGATGACTACATCGAATTATTCCATAAATAATTAAAGTGTCAAATGACTGGGAGATTCACCGTTTAGTGCGTCGATGTGAAGTGCCTGGATTTCAAAACAATTTTCATTATTGATAAGAAACAAAACAAATCGGTTGTTATAAACAACACTCTGATTCGCGTATACATGGAATACGTAACTGTCAAACACACATGACTCCAGTATTTGTTTCGTATTTATGTTTGACACTCTGCGGACTGGGTTCGAAAACGAAATACGGACGAATTGATTTTACCGCCAATTTTTTAACAAGGCAATGTCACTTGGGAGAAGAAAAAAATGTTGATGAAAAATATCAAACACTTGGAATTGTTATTTGAAACAAATGAGTTTTTTTAATGTTGATTTTACTTGTACGAAACTTATTCTATTCAAATGCATATCATAAATATAATATAAAAAAAACTTAAATAAATATGATTGAATGAAGAATGATTTTTGTAATGGTTTTTCTGCCTTTCAGTTTGTCTTTTGTTTGTAAATTATCTTATCTTATTTGTGCTAGCACTGGAACTTCTTTTGTTGAATTCTTTGGAAAAAGTCAGGTTTATTTGCAGCCACAACACATCTAACCCGATTTGCTTCTATACAACCGGAACTTGATGGTATTTGAATATGTACGAATAACATACAAATACATAGATCGATAGCATAAAGTCACAAAGCTGTAAATGGTTTTCAAACATATTAGATTAGTTAAAAGTGTAAACCAATAGAATGGATACATTCATTTATGTCTACATACTTGAAAAATGGCGCAACCCCAAAACAAAATGCGCAATAGCTCGGTATTGAGATAAACGTACAGCAGCGGTTCTATTACATCAGCGCACGCACGCATTTTCGTTGGACACGACAATAACATATCCAAGAAATTCCGTTTTTTAACGCCACAACATTGCAACTGAAAGAGATAATGGGAATTATTTATTTATTTTCTTTTGAACTTATGTAATTTTATCTTGATCGATTTTTACCTCATCTTCGACATGTTCTTTCCACATTTGCCTGAATTCCTCATTATAATTATAGAATTTATCCACTTCGTTTACGATATATTCTCTGACCATTTGTGTGTTGTTCATTAGATAAATTCCCAATCCGAAATCCAGCGACATAAGAACAGCCGATAATATGGAAAACTGAAATTTCTTCATCAGTTAAAATGTTTGTTATTTTGATTTAAAGGAAAAAAACACTTACCAAGAGAATTAATTGTGGTTTTTTCTTCAAAATGTAGTTCACTTTCAATGTTGTTACTACAAAGAGGATTATTCCGAAAACTGTAGCCATGATTAAGAATGTCGGCATCAATTCAACTGAAATGTTAAAAGACAATCAACTTGATTCCAATTGAAATAATGAAAAAAAAAATGGAAACTTACTTTGAGAAATCCAGTCGAATCGAAAGTAAACGAACATCGCCAGTCCGACTAATATCAAACTTTCAATCTGGAAAATGAGACATAAATCAATATTTTATACGATTTGTTGTACAAAAATGTAAATATTTTACCGCAAGAATGTCATTGTTGCCGTAAATCACGAATTTTGCCAATTTTACACCAGTGCTGTGCCGTCCTATTTTGGTTATTATGAAAATATTAGATTTGATTCGATTTCATTGCTGAATTAAAAATATTGAGAAAAAACTGTCGAATGTTATGATTCATTTTTTTCAGTTATTTTCCGGATATCTATACAAAAAATGAACTTAAATACGTTCTTCATTAGAAATGTAATAAAATTACCAGGTTCCATTTGAGAACTCGAATTCAATGTGTTATTCTTCTTTGAGCTCATTATTAATGAGTCACTTATATTGATAGATCACTTTGATTTATTATTTGAAGAACTATGTTTGTAAATCGTGATAAGACGCCACACACAAAAGACAGGTACGAACACGTTAGCGTCACTTGTTGGAATGATTTAGGTCGGTGTTGTACAGTTGATGTGAATTTTACAACTGCCAATCTCAGTAAACAATTGCCCAGAATGTTGCAATTCAATTTGACAGTTCGTTGTGAGAAACGAAATACGTAATAAACAACAATATCGATGACGAGAACGGTTCGGCGCCAATTTTTGTACAATTTTTTGGAATTGGTGTGTTCGTTGGAAATAGAAAAAAAAGGTGGAACAATAGCGGAGAGTTAAAATGAAAAAAATCTGTTTTTGGAATTTGAATTAAAAAGAACTCTTGTTATGTTATTGCTTCGTATCAAGCGTTTGGTTGAAGTTTTGCTTGAGTACACGTTGTTGGTGTTATCGCTCATTTGTACTTAGATTCAAAAGTGCAAGCAGCGTCTATAGATTATGCATACACAAATACATGCACAAATGAAAAGTAGAAAGGAACACATGCAAGAATATGCAGTATGCAGAAGGCACAGATGTTTTTTGGTCCTTACTAATGATCTTGCCTAAAACAACAGCCATTTTGCCGTAAGTTGTCATTCAGGCTTGTTGTAGAATAAATATTCGTTAGTAGTTCAAAATTGAAAAAAAGAACATCGCGAGAGTTCATTTTTTATTCCATCTTTTTCAAATTCAACTCGATACCAGTGTTTTTGATGTGACAACTTAGGTTCAACTTAATTTTCCTCTATAAATTAGATCAAAAAAATAGGTGAGTCGATCTGAGGTAGGATTGAAACTTCAAAATAATTGGAATTTTTTTAAAAAGAATTTTGTACTTTTTTTTCTATTGCCTGTAGTGCACCATTCAGCATTTGGAACGCAACACATCGATTGAATCAAGAAACGAGAAGAAAGTTCACATCGCTTCCTACAAACTGGTATAAGTTTTTGCAAATCATAAAACCAATCGAAGAGATGAAACTCACACAGCTCGGTATTGATTGTCTCGAACGGATATTTCGATACTTGCCACTCGAAGATCTAATGAACCTGGCTGATTCGAGCAAGCAATTGAAAAAGGCCGTTGACTATGCATTTCTTTTCGAATATGGAAGAATGAATGTTTATATTAATGGTTTCAGTTCATGTCCAATGAAATGGCGTGTTGATTGTTTTATTTTAACTGCACATTCAAAAAGGACATTTCAATTGTTGCGCTGCTTTGGATATTTGATATCTAAATTGGAAATTAACTGCGTGCGAGAAGATTATATTGACAACATTGATTCGTTGGACGTTTCTTTTGATCGTTTAGTTTTCTACATAAGGCAGTACTGTGTCGAATCGTTGACTGAAATCCAAATTCGTGGAATTTCAGGGGGATTCAATTGGAATCACTTTGCGAAACCATTTCCAAACGTTCATAGTGTTACTGTTCAATCTTCCGATTTAGAAGATGTTTCATTGATGAAAATATTTCCAAACATGCGACGTTTGACGTATCGTTGCCGTAGAGGTGGTGAGTTTGTAAACATTGATTTCAACATCGATTCAACGGATTTTTACAGTCTAGAGCATTTGGAAATGATGTCTGAAAATAGACACAGGGAACTGGGATACCCAACCTGGGAAGGAGGCGCAACATTTCGAAACATACGATGGCCTAAAAATCAGCTGCAAAGTTTGGCCATCCCTTTCAACGCAATTTATCCAGAAATAAACGAGATTTATCCATATCTTCAGGATCTAAGGTTGAATTGGATGCCTTCCAACATGGACAGAATGGCTTCTATAAATTCTGCAAAGTTTCATTTTGATACTGTAAAAAGATTAGAAATTTTCTATCATTCGCATTTCTCAGGATTACCATTTTCGTTTGACCAACTCGAGGAATTAAGGTTGAAATTTAATTTCGAAAGTTATGTACAAATCGAAGAACAATTTTACGATTTCATCTTAGAGCATCCATCAATATTAAAATTGAGCATAAATTACAAGCGAGAAATAAACTTGCCAAAATTAATGGATAGGTTGCCATTGATAAGAGAATTCGATACATTCAGTTGGTTTTCAGTTCATGAAATTATTCATTATATGAACGAAAAGAAGACACTGAAATGCATTGAGTTTCATTTAATAAACGGTCATAATATTCAGGTTAATGATGTACAAGCACAATTAAACGATCAATGGCACGGTATGAAAAGAAGCGCATTCGATAGATTCAAATTTACACGGATTTGAAGAAAAATCTGTTCAACATTTGATATCAGAGTAAATATTGGCTATGAACAGTTTTAATTTGTAATTTGTAATCCATTTTTCATTACAATATAAGCGATAAATTCTCATTCACATAAACACCTTGCAGTGTTGTAAAAAGATACTGTTAAATTTATCTAGATAAAGATAAGATATTTCTGAAAATTCACAACAATTATCTAGATATAGATAAGATATTATCTTATCTTTTCAATGAACAGATAAGATATTTTTTTCAATTATCTTTTAGTTATCTTTGATATTTTCATATGAGAAAATCGAATTATCTTTCAAATTATCTACAAAATTGAGATAAGATAACGAATAAAATTATCTAGATAAGATATCGAGGTAAATGACAAAATTGAATCCTTATCTAGATAAGATAAAAGATATTATCTTATCTTATCTCGTTTTATAGATAGATTAGATTATCTTCGACAACGCTGACACCTTGTATGCAATTATTCTATGCAAATAATACCAATTGATGTTGATAACCTAGCCAATAAATACTCTCAAATTAAAACTGAATAGACGATGGATTTTTGCTAAACGTTCAATTCAGTAGATTGAACTGATTCAATGCATATTTACAGAATCTAACGTCATTACTAACGTTATCACTCACGCACTCTAAACACGCATTCAATGAACATGCACAATGGTGGTTATCCACCGATGCGACAACGGCAGCGAAACAGCTGCAAAGTGTTGGTGTACCCACTACGCCAAACTTTGTCCTGCCATCGAGCGAAAAGACAAACATAATATGAACCAGCTGGTTCATCGATCGACCCTGTAAATGATGAACGAAGTTATACAACTGCTCTTAGATGCCGAAAAAAGTCCAGGTATGAAACTTCAATTCATGTACGTGAACCGCAAGAGATATGACCACGACATTGTGGAAGAAATGTTTAAGCAGAAAATGAAACTGGTAAAAAAAGCCTGCCGTGCAGTGCAAAAGTTATCGAGACGATACAGCCATTGTTTCCTCTCAACCTGAGCGAGATCGAGTTGAACCAGGAGATCAATTCGTCAATGTTTTCTTCCACTAACGTCAACGACATTTTCTCGGGCCATTGCTTTTCCGAGAAAAGCATAAAAATTTTATCTGAACCGTTGCCCGAAATTGTCCAGGCTCAACTGAAGATCTTCAACGTGTACATGCCCATTCCGGTCGAGAACGTCTGCTGCCTCCCGGAATGGAAGGAATCAGTTTTTGTGGACAATTGCGGGCCTCATTCTGACGAATTCAAGATAGCCGCCACCAAATTCCAGGAGCAATGGGAATTTATATCCTGCCCAGAGTACCTGGAGAAGTTGGCGGAAGCCGAGGAGCTCGAGAACTTCCTCTTCCGGTCCAATGTCCACACGATCAAATTCATGACCACCCAAGCGCGACTCCACATTTAGCTTCTAAATGTGACACCGTAGTAAGTGTGGGCATACGTTTTGCGAATAAGCGACAAAGAGAATGGAAACAAGTGCGTGTGTGGTAGTGAGTAGCCTGATACGATGCTTCTCAATGTAGCGACTAATACACGCGCACTTGTTTCCATTCTCTTTGTCGCTTATTCGCAAAACGTATGCCCACACTTACTACGGTGTCACATTTAGAAGCTAAATGTGGAGTCGCGCTTGGGCATTGACGAAAGCTCCATTGACCTCATTAAATATTTGATGTTCCAATTCGGCACGCGCTGGACGTCAGTGGTCATGAAATTTTTTTCGTTCATCTCCCGAAAAGACTTCAAAAGAGGTGGCTATGAGGTTGTTGGAGAGCCTGACTCCGGCAAGTCTTATTTTTTTGGAGCCTTAATGTACCTCTTCATGAACGTCGGCAGTGTAAGCCCACATGTGGGCTGCCAGTTCAACTTTGATGACTGCCCGGGAAAGCAGGTGATGATGTGCGACGAGTTCTATATATCGTCAGTTGATTTTAAGACCGCAGAAAAACTGAAAGACGGAATTGGAGGCAATACCATGAAAGTCGACTTGAAGGGCAAAAAGAAGGGAGTTGTGATGCCAATCCCATGGATGTTTTTGTCAAACTTTGAGAACTTTCCTCAAGATCATAATCCATGGGCTTCTCGGCTCTACCGGGCACGCGTAACGAAGTATCCATTTTGGACGGAGAGAAATCGAGAGCTCTCGTTGCATCCTTACGCATGGATAAAGTCGCCATTTCACTTGTTGCTTGTCAATTGCCGTAAGCAGAGCTCATCATCAACACGCTTTATCATCTCAATCCATACAAATCCGAACGAATGGTTGTTTTGAAAATTTCGGTCGGTGGCGTAAGCCCCATTGAAAATGATTTTCTGGTCATTTTGAAAAGTGTGAACAACCTGAACGATATTTTGACTAGGGGCATATGACTCTCGCGAATGCTGCGAATGCCACGTACTAAAATACGAATGGCTACGAATGCTGCGAATGCCAAGTATTGAAATACGAATGGCTGCGAGTGCTGCAAATGCCACGCACTAAATACGAATACCTTGCGAATACGTCGTATCAAATACGAATGGCTACGAATGCTTGTGATTGGTTTGCTTACTAATGTCAATTTATTTTTTTTTTCGGTTAAAAATGGTAATTAATTATGTTTGTTTTGTTTATGTGTGAAATTTTTTTAAATGATTAAGTTTTTTAGGCATCAAATAATGTTTTTCTGGAGTTGGAGAAGTTGTTGAAGGAGAAAATACCAAATGATATCGTAAAAATCTTGGATGCATGCGCTTTTGATTCCGAATTATCTTTTTGGACAATTACGCCTGACACAGTAAACGACATTGAACAATTTGTGAATGACGATCTTTCGGTTCTAGAAAATACTTCATATAAAGGTGTAAGCAAATTCAAACTTAAATATACCGATGGCTCGATATTACGCAGACGGTTCATGTATTCAACGGCTTCTTCATAGCGCTCTGATGAAAAACAATGAATAAATTTGCCATTTTAAAAAATGTTCTCAACATAATTCAACCAAAATTTGAATGGGTAAGGGCAAAAGTAAGACTTGAATTGGAAGCATTTCTATTTGAAACGAAAACGAAAAAAATCAAGATGTAACACCGCGTGTGTTTCAATTTAAAGTAATGTGTAGAGAAGAGAAACTTTGTGTGAATGCTTGTTTGTGTGCAATTTTAGTTGCGCTTTATTTTTTTTGATCGAAAGCAAAGCGAAATGCCACGCTGTTTGTACGATATAAATTACAAACATAAGATTTTCATCCAAGAGTGAGCGAGTCAGCATCATGTATCATTTGCTATCATTCACTAATGTCTGTACTCTCATATTCAAACGACATCAAGACGCGTTGTTTTCATTAAGAATTTATTTACTCACTCTGTTCTGCATTTGGAATACTTATTTAATACGTGATGGAGGAAAAAAATCAAATTGCAGAAGAAAGAAAAAGAGGTAGAAAAGGATATCGAATTAGGGACATTTTTTTGATCATTGTTGTCTTAATTTTTAATTGCGCTTAATCATATTTTAGTGTTTTGAAGAAGTCACTTTGAACATTTGGCAATTTTAATGAAGGAAGTGTTTATTTCATTGCCTGTATGTAAAGAAAGTGGCTCAAAATTTCGCGCCCGATCGCGCTCTCCCACGACTTTGAATGCTTCTGCATCTTTGTCTTTGGATTGAAATTGAATGCGCTGTGAAATTAAATCGGATTCTTCATTCAAAGCATGTATACGAGCGTAAAGAAATCATTTGCCGGCGAATTGACGAAAAAAATTGGTGACTGTAACCGTGAATGTATCGATTCGCGCGACATAGTATTTTTGGTCGTGCTCTCGCACAGCTGATATGATGTGTAAACGACATACACACAACGCATTTACAATGGAATCATACAGAACCAGTTGCGACGGCGGTGATTGAAAAAAAAACAAATTTGCTCAATGTAAAACAACGCTTCGTCCGATGCATATTTATTATGAAACCAGCTTCGATTAATATTTTGTCTAATCCACGTGGTAATACTTGGCCTACTATTTTTCGCAGTTTTCCCGTAAAAGGATCTTTGTTCGACATGTTTCAGCGTTGAATTGACAGCTGACACTGGCATTCGTGTAGATTCATGCATTCGCAACGCTCCCATATAAAATGTATGTGAACATTCGCGCCGCATTCGCAGCGCATTCGCGTGATACTCGCATTCGAATGTTTACGAATGCCACTGCGAATGCTTCCATACATTTTATATGGGAGCGTTGCGAATGCTTGCTTTAAAATACGAATAAAGTCATTTTTTTCCGAAACGTAGAACGTTTTCGAATACTCATTAGCCCCTAGTATTTTTACCGCCGTTCGGGGATGCTTTCAATCACTCGTGAATCGCGAGCTGTTCGTTTATTGCAAAGGTGAGTTAAATTCTAACATAAATTTTCCAGTTACACGCGGATATATTTTATGTGAACAGTTTTTACATGTTTTTCAAATGAAATTGGGGTTTGTTGAATTGATTTCTTCACAGATCGACTTGATGACAACGTAGAAGTCACAGATGCCAGTTTAGCGAACATGCTAACTGAATACGGTGCAAAAGTTTATGTTATTCCATTGTTGTAATGCAATAGTTTCGATAAATAAATAATTTATCCAGAAAGTGCTCAACTGAAAAAAAAACGTGTGTTTCAACTGATTCCGCTTACATTCGCTTCTTTCATGTTTTCTTTTTTCAGCCAAGTGTATAACGAATAAGGTGTGAAAGGTAAACAATTGCAATGTAAGTATGAATCAAACGAAAGCTGATACTTGAACATTCTTTCTAACCTCAAAACATCCGCAAATGACTTGATTGTTTCGCATTGGAACGATTTTCTGAACTGCTGTTACTGCATTTCAAAACTATGTTTGCAAAAAAATCAACGAATCGATTGTTATTAGCATCCATAAACCTACATTCCACATACATTCATAACGGTAACCGTCACATATGGTAGAAACTTATTTAAATTCAAATGTGTAATCTGCACACATCGTGCCATACACATGATACATACGAGTGAATGTCTGAATTTGACAGTGTACGTAATACGAAATACGTAATATTTACGCTGATGTTTCTGTTGTCATGTGTCAGTCGCGCTCTCAATACAATGACACATTAATAGGTGCTGAGATTGGTAGGGAATATGTGGAAAAAAATGCATAGCATGTTATAAAAGGCTGAATATAGTAAGGTGTCATAATACCATTTGGTAGCGAATAGCGAAACACTTCTCTCTGAATAATGCACAATTGTGTAATTCTGTGACACAATGGATGAAATTAAGCACAAATTTCGTGATTTTCTCGATAAACACCAAGTAAGTGTTGACCTTGACTAAATAGATTTTTCTCCATTGAAACATTGTATAATTGTTATTTTTGGGTTTTTTCCACCTGTGCCAAACTAGAATCGAAATATGAAAATTCCATCGATGGGCTTTACAGACAATTACACAAAGAAAAAGTTATCGTCCACAAATACATCCGAAGCAGTTAAGCGTAAATCTCATGCAAATGATGTGCAAAGTACAACGGATGAATCAATTCTACTGAACATATGTGCGGATGATGATGATGATGATGACTTCAATAAGCGACGATCACTGCTCATTCCCGACCAGGAAATTCTCGATTCCACCGAGCCAATTTACTTTGAAGAAAACGTCGACACAGGCATTTATGAACTTAATGTGAGTGCATTGAACCGATGACTAAGTGAATAAATTGCAATTTGTTTCAAGCATTTGGTTCTAGTTTGGCTAGTATTGTTAACTGATGAGAGTCCACCTAATTGTTTCTCTGTTCATTGAATTGTGCTATTTTAATAAAACTTTGTGTGTCTCCTACAGAAATTCATCGATGGTGATATGGATGGGGAGTCGGTGCAACGGGCTATGATGGTGTTGAAGCAACAGCACAAAGTCATATCGAAGAAAGTGCTGCAAAACATTCTTGAGAAGCGAAATTCATGCAACAGTGAAACAAAATCGATTCAAGACGCCGATGTAATGCTGCAGCAATCATTGTTGGAATGCAAAAAGGCGCGTTCGTACTTAAGCTGTGCGCGAAAAAACTTAACCACAACCAATTTGCAAATACTGGCCATGTACAAAAAGCGTGAAGCAATGCAAGAGATACTGCAAACATTGTACAAATTAAAGAAATTGAAATCCACCGAAATCCAATTGCAAAAACTGCTCGACACACAGAATTATTCGGGTGCAATTTCGTTGCTATTGGAATGCAAGCGATTGGCCACGGAGAATAGTCAATATATTTGTGTTGCCGCTTTGGCACAAAAACTACAAGACACATTGCTGATGACCGAGCTGCAATTGGATACAGTGTTGGCCGAAACTCCGCATAGTTTCGATGTGAAAACATACTCGAATTTACAAGAAGCCTATCGTTTGCTGGGCAAATCGGTGACAGCCATCGATCAACTACACATGAATTTCATATCAGCCATTCACACGATGGCATTCACTGTTCTCAAGGAGTTTGTCGAACGCAACACTGTGGAAAAACAGAAATTTCTTTTCGAAGAAATGTGCGAGGTGAAGTGATAATTTAAACATTTTTTTTTCTTTTGTTCCGAAAATTGACAAAATCTTCTCTTTCAATCCCGTAGAATATTTCATCCGAGCGCTTCATTCCGTGTCTTATAAAACTGTGCAAGTCATTCTGGTGCATTTTAGTGTGTTACTATCAAGTTGCTCTATGGCATCACAACACCCGTCCACCGAAGCCCATTGAAATCGATGCAGAAACGGAAATTGAACAAAATGCCTACGTACAACAAAAGTTTAAAACGGGCTATAGTCGCATTTGGAACGATATCCAGTCGAAATTGTCGGTGTTTTTGTCGACAAGTCCAACACTGCCCACACTAAAATACGAACAATTTATTCAGGTGCTTTCCATAGTGCAGCGGTTACGTAAAGTTGGCATGGAATTTTGCAACGAACAATCGACCCTCCTGATGGAGTCAATGAAATCGCAAAGTGTACAGTTTTTTCAGCGTTATCACAAGTCTTCTTTGGATGAAATTCGTTTGTTCCTTGATAACGAGGCATGGATGCCGGTTCATTCCTTTACTAATCTCATTCAGCTACAAGAATTTAATGCGGTTAAAAATTCGCTACAACGATTTTTGCGACGTGACCACGGTAAATCAGATACGAGGGATTCATCATTGGACCCGGTAACTACTGGAATTCGAATGTCACCATCGAAACGGGTTCCCGAACGTAAGAAGAGCTACGAAAATCAGTTGGCCGATGAAAATCTATCGAATCATTCGCAAGAGGATTGCAATAGTTCTGTATACGGTTCATGTGGCTACTTTTTACGTTTTTCGGAGAAGAGTTCCCCGTTCGACGGTGGCTTCGACGTGACAATGCTAGAGGAAGATATTTTGGCTGGCATTGCCGATGAATCGTGCTACTTTTCGGAGGAAAGCGAAGAAGATAATTTGAATGAAGTCAACGCCACCGTCACAACGGTCAACATTCCAACAGAAGAAACTGATAAAGCCTTGGCTCAACATCCAAATATGACCGTGAACAATTCCAGTTTAAATGTTCTACGGTGCATTGGCCGCTATCTTCAAATGTGCAAATTACTGCATTCGATTTCACCGCAAATTGTTAAATGCATGATGGAATTGATTGAATTCTATATTCATGTGGTGCACGAATTTTTCGCATCAGATTTGCCCTTGTCCAGTGACAATTTGTATACGTACAATTTGAGGGAATATTTGAATCGCATCGCCGCTGAAATTATACCAAAAGTGAACAATTGGCGATCGGATATGTCTATTGTAAGTTGATTCAATCATTTTGTTATCATGCACCTCAATTACTTCATTTCAGTTTCGAAAAAAAAATGTTTGCGTTTTTTTTTCTCTTCGTTGTTGTTAAAACAGATTCAGAATGATTTAAGTGATCCAGATACGAGTTATGGCCTATTGTCTCGCATTGTCGGAGTCGAAAGTGCAATTACGTTGGTACAACAATTTGCCCAGATTCGTGATTATCTTGATCATCTCCTACTACCGAATGATAATCAATTTTTGACTACATTCTTTGATGAGACGACTACCAATTTGATTGAATTGCGAAAGCCCGTGTATATGTGTGTTGCAGCTAAAGTCAACGATTTAGATGGTATTCTAGCGTCTATGGCCAAGGTCAAGTGGGACATTAATCATGTGAATGTGGAGCACAGTACTTATGTTAATAACATCAATCGAGTAAGTGGTCTCAATGTTTTTATCATTTATTTTTGGAAGAGTGAATTACCTTTTAATGGTTTATGTTGGGGCTTTGATTTTAGTTCAAATATTTAAATTATGTATCAAAATAATTGCTATGTTCATTTTCTGAGCCAGATTTTAAAAAGAAGGAAAAAGTATTGAGATAGATTATTTCCAGGGTCTTCAAATATTCGCGATGCGATTAGAGGAGATCGAGAAAACATTACCAGTACCAAAGCAGCCGATTTGGGATTGTGTAGCTCATGTCATTTCTCACACCTTGGTTGAAGGGTAAATAGACGTCGAAATCAATAAACACTTCAAATTTAATAAAAAATTGATAAATTCTTCTTATCTTGTCCACAGTTATTCCAATGGAAAGAAGTGTTCTGCGGGTGGTCGTGCCTTGATGCAATTGGATTTTGCGCATTTTATGTCAATTTTGGAACTATTGTCCGGATTAAAGTTTCCGCATCATCATCGTTATGTGGATAGCTACATCAAAACCTATTATTTGCCAAAAGATTTGCTTGAGACATGGATCATCGAAGAGAAAGCAAAACGCACCTATTCAACGAAGCAACTAACAGCATTGATAACGTGTACGTGCTCGAATGACAAGAAAACACGTCAAAAGCTAATGGCATTGCTTGAGCAAGATCTCAGCATATCCATGAGTTCAATTGAGTTGAACGATTCTCGTCTCTCGGACGGACGTCCAAACTAAACGAAAACTAAAAGCCCAATCGAAATGAATGTTAATGAGCGAGCTTTAACATTAACCACTGGTTAACTGATCTGATACTGGAAAAGAAAATCTCGAATAACGTACAAGAGCAAAAAACAAGAAGAAGTTGGGCTAATCGCGAACAAATTACGAATGAACAAAAAAAACTGAGATTGTGATCACTCACAAGTGATCAATGTGTATAATATAATAGTCTATTTTGTACTGTCCATTCTATATGTTGCAAATAATACTTAAGTGGATCGGTTCTTTTGACACGTCAAGATCTGTTATTCAATCAGAAGTCTCTCTCTCTCTATTATATACTAATCTCTTCTATAGCGTATAGTTCAATTCTTATCAATTTTCTCGTTTATTCAATGTTAAATCACACTCTATCTATCTATCTATTTCTGTAGAATTTTCTGTTTGTTTTCGTCAATGTTCGCACACGGCAGTTTCATAGCTGGTAATCTTAGGACACCTCTCGAAAAAAGAAATAATCTCACTCTTGAATTACAAACATTCCAAAAACAAAGACTTTAATTTACTTTTCTCTCTCTCTACATTTTGTTTTTGTTTATTGCAAAAATGCTATTGCACCTAAAATTAACCGACTAACAAAAAAAAGACTCTCTTTTTGAAGATCAAGATATTTTCTATACACAAAACTGTAGCTTAAAGTAAGGAACAAGAGATAAATGAAACAAATCTTTTTTTTTGTCATCTGTTTATGTATTTTCAATATATTTTTACTGTATGAAAAATAGAATCACAACTGATAGGGCATTTTTTTCTGTCAAGACAAAAAAAAACCTGCGTGATTTGTTATGAAATCTTTAAATATATTTTTGATGCATCGCAACAATTTTGAATTGTTTTTTGAATTTTGCTTTAATTCCAAAGGAATGATATCAATAAAAAAAATTTGATGAAAACTCTTAAAGGTCAGCGGTTCCTGGAAGTGGGAATTTCGCTCCGAATCCTTCGACTTCTTGACGCAAAGCGGCAATTTTGCTGGCGAATTGTTCCGAATGGCAGGCGGCTTTGAAATCAACCAATTTAGCTCCAGAAACGGCGCTAATCTCTTTCGACAATTTCAAACCACGATCGATCAAATCGACGACCAAGTCAATGTCGCTTTCGACCAAACCTCGTGTTGTCAAAGCGGGTGTTCCCAAACGAATACCGGATGGATTCAATGCTGATTTGTCACCTGGCACTGTGTTTTTGTTGCAGGCAATGGAAATTTCTTCCAAAATATATTCGGCACGAGCTCCGGTAATTTGCACGTTGCGCAAATCAACCAAAACCAAGTGAATATCAGTGCCACCGGTGGTGATGTTGTAGCCACGGCTGATAAGACCATCGCACAGGCGTTGAGCATTACGAACGACTTGTTGTTGGTATTGTTGGAATTCAGGTGATTGGGCTTGTTTCAATGCAGTTGCAATACCAGCGATTGCGTTATTATGTGGACCGCCTTGCAAACCTGGGAAGACGGCATCGTTGATTTTCGACTCCAACTCGTACAATACTTTTTCTCCGTTTGGTTTGACCGAACGGACTCCCTTGCGATAGAAAATCACACCAGCACGTGGACCGCGTAGTGTTTTGTGTGTTGTTGTACTGACGATGTCACAGTATTGGAAGGGGCTTGGAATGACCTTGGCCGCAACTAAACCAGACACATGAGCCATATCTCCAAACAAATAGGCGCCGTTTTGATCAGCAATGTCACGGAAACGTGCATAATCTAAGCATCGCGAGTAGCAAGACACTCCGGCGATAATGACACGTGGTTTGAACAGACGTGCTGTCGTCTCCAATTGCTCGTAATCAATCAAACCGGTGGCTGGATCCACTTTGTATGGCATACTCTCGAAGAAGATTGAGGTGGCGGAGATTTTTTTGTTTGCCGTGAAGAAACCGTGAGTCAAGTGACCACCATCGGGCAAATCAAGACCCATGATACGACCATGTGGCTCGCAAATTGCTGTGTAAACGGCAAAATTGGCTGGTGAACCAGAGTATGGTTGCACATTCACTCCCCATTCGTCAGCACTCAATCCGTATGTTTCAAGGGCACGCTTTTGGCACAACAACTCGATTTGATCGATGAATTCGTTACCACCGTAGTATCTAGAGTGCGACGGAAGAAGATAAGATTTGTATGATTAGCTTCGTTTTTTTTTTGGAAAGTATTGATTTTTTTATTCAACTTTTTTTTAATTTTTAACGGAATTTTAAAATATTCGGAGTTCAAAAATGATTTTTTTCATGTTCTTAAATGTTTTTCTTCACTAATTCAAATCAAATATTTGGAATTAAAAAGAAATCAATTTTTGCGACAACGATCTTGACATATTTTTATTGATAAACATGTAAATATTTACCTTTTTCCTGGATAACCTTCACTGTATTTGTTATGCAAGCATGAGCTCAAGCACTGCAAAACTGATAATGATGTGAAGTTTTCACTGGCAATCATTTCCAAGCCCTTGCTTTGACGGCCCTTCTCCTTCTTGATCAAATCCGACAATTCGGGATCGCTCTCCCACAGATTTGTGTGCAAAATTTTTGCTAAACCGGACATTTCTCTCTGTGAATAAAACGATTTCTTTTTTAGTAATTGATGACAAAAATTCACTTTTTCATACATTTTTTTAAACCAAAAAAAGTAAACTTAAAAATGAATGAAATTGCATAAATCAAAATTTTCTAAATGATAAGAATTTTTCCAAAACGAAAATTCTAAGAAATCGATATTAAATCAAAATTACTTTAGCCATTTTGTATCCTTAGGTTAATGAGTAACGTTATGGAAAATTAAAAAGAAAACTAATAATGAAAATAAACAAAGCGGTTTGGTGAATCGTGGTGGTTGCAGCGACGAATAAAACTTAATTAAACGTGATTCTAAATTGTGCGAGCTATTTCACGTCGGACATTTAGTTGCTGAGCTCATGAAAATGCGTTATCACAAAGTGTTCATTAACAGATTTGGGGTCAGTTGACACGATGAACTCGTCTTATTTGTGTACGTGAAAGGAGGAGCTGATAAGATGCGTATTCTGTTGTTGTTTCATGTAAAAAAATGTTTTCCGTTGGTCAAGTGAACAAAACACGACACACATTCCGCACGTCAATGGTTTGTTGTTACCCCCAACCGAATATTTATTTTATTCTCTCAATATATAAATATTTAATCATATAGAACGCATAGCTCCGAAAACATGTTGATAATGTTATTTTTTTGCTCTCGCTGCAATTATCAACAAAGCTGTCGTATCTTGTTACGGGCCATAAAATGCGATCTCTTCAATTAAAGCTATCTGTTGAGCATTTCTTTGCATGAAACTTTCCGTTGCGTTGGAGATTAAATGATTTTTCATTGTTTCAATTTGGAATCAATGGAAATTCATGGCGTTTTTTTTTGGTTTGCTGTTATACCATTGGCTTGACTACTATGATAGACGCCGTTAATAATGTTGAAATCAGCAGAAAAAAAAATTGCCCAATGTTCCCGTTTTGATTAACAGGTTTCTGTAGCCACTTAATTGGCTTCTTAGTTTCACATGTGCTGATCACTCGTTTTTTTCTACGATTTTTTTTCTTCAATTTTCCTCACAATCACTTGATCAAAATTCAATTAAAAATATTGCACTCACCGTTTGTATGGATTCTCCAAATTGTTTTACGTTAAAAACAGACGATAACGCGCGTACTTTGCGAGTCGGTGAAACAATGGATGTATCGCGTGCGCAAGCTAAAACCGAATTTCGACGCACATGTATTTGAGTGGTGCTGCGAATCGCTGTCGATGTCAACGATAATATCGGCTGCCGTGATTGAGCAAAACTGCTGTAGATGGCACAAATTCCAGTCATGGTGACAATTTACTATTATTGCTTTGATTTATCTACTTTTTTTGTTTTGAATTAAATTAATTTAAATTGACTAGTTGGGATATTGGTGACGAGATGAATTTGAGTCCTATTTTCCGATGAGATTACGATTCAAAAGTGAACGACATACGTTTTACTTCAGATCACAAACAGTCTCGACGACGTCTTTACGGTGATAACAACAAGCATCAAATCGCACTTTTTGCCGTTGTTGACACACACAAAAACTTCGATTTTACACCAAAACAATAAATCTATTATCACTTTAGATGGGTTTACTACTCAATTTGCTATGCAAATCGGCCAAATTCGTCCCATTTCGGATGATTATTTGCTCGCACTGATGATGTTTGTTTTCAATTTGGTCATATGTCAAATGCAATCCGAACGAACTGTCAATGTTGTGTAACAGCTAAAAATGGGCTGCGTACTGTGCCCGTTGCCGATTTTTTTTTAACGTAGAAAATTCAAACTGTTGGTTTTGAATTAATTCTATGATGATACTTTTGATTGCTTTTTTAGTTTTTTTTTTCTACAGCATTTTTTCTTGGTATTTTTTAATGAAAAAATTACATAATTTTTATTGAATATTCTTCATATTTTTTTCTTACTACCAAAAAATGTGACCAATGCATTTTCGGTTGAGGCTGGTCAACTGATTGTTTACATAAATAAAAGTCAAGTCATGTAAACAAATTCAAATTTTTTTCTCTTCCAATCAACAATGTGCAAAATCACTGCAAATTTGAGTGTGACGTTTTCGTGTCATCAGCAGAAGAAACCTGACCTATTGTTTTACGGATTATAAATTTTTTTTGGACGAAAACGATTGAAAATGAAACTACGACCACGTAATCCAAGTGCGCAAATTTAACATTATTCGAATTTCGTCCAAATCATTGTTGTTTTTAATCTGGCTTTTACAGAAAATCACCAGGCAATCACATTGCAGAAGTTGAAACGAGATGACAAATGGAGCAAGGTATTAAATAAATGGAAAAAGGATTGCCCAGACATCTTTAACTGTCGTGTGCTCCTAAGTAAGTTTCAAATTGATAATGACTGAATTTTTTACGTGCATAAATTCATACCACTGATTAATTTCAGAGCATTTGCCGGGTAGCAAAACTACAAATGAAGAAATGTTTCGAATGAAAAAATTCCAACATCAAGTTGTATCAGGGAATGAAAAAGAACCCGACTTCGAATCATCCGATGGCAGTGAATTAGAGTCAAAGTTGGACCAAAATCTGCTTGATTCAGATATTGCAACAATTTCATTTTCAATTCAACGTGGAATTAGTCAATTCGCTCATTTCGTCTGTAAACTATTGTTTTATGTATTTTTATTCATACTTTTGCTAATAATTGTAATTCAACATTTGTATTAAGTCTCTAATGAACAGAATAAAAATGAAATAAGTGATTGAAGTTCATTCAATCCATTTATTCACTCATTGTAATGGAAGTCGTATGATTTTAAGCTAACTCAATGGTCGAATTGTGCAAAAACAATGGGATTGAGAGTTTTTTTTTTTGAGAGCACTGCGTTGTGAAATTATGATGAAGGTTAACGCTATTACGAATACGACAAGCAGCAAATTGATTATTTTGATTGTTTTGTAGATAGCCTGTTTTTCTTGAGCCGTGTGTTACAGCAATGAACTTCATATATTCGAGAACTTTTTATACCGAGCTATTTAGTAATTGCAATATTCCTTGCTCAATTAATTAGATTGATTCTAACATTTAGAATGCGATTGAACACACAACCATGCATAATCAAAATCCATTTCTAACTAACCACGATACATTCATCAACAATGTGATTCTATGTCACAACAAATTATTCTGCAGCACGGACGAAGCGGTACAATGAAAAAACGATCATCTGGTTTTATGATTTTTGGTCGATCGAACCCTCAAATTGTATATTTGATGCTGAAAAAATCGACGAAAACAAAAACTTGGTCTCCACCAAAAGGTCCTCTTTACAACATATGATTGAATAAATAGCTTTATACCAATTATATTACATTCATAAGACATAACTCAACATTGAATTGTTTTTTACAGGTAGAGCTGATGGAAATGAAAATGATTTTCAGGCTGCTACAAGAGAGTTACAGGAAGAAACCGGCTACACGTTGGACGATCTGAATATTTATAAGGATCTTTGCAAAACCATTGTATACAACATTGAGGGTGTTGAAAAAACAGTCATACTTTGGCTTGCTAAGCTCAAAGATCCACAGAAGAAACCAATACTTTCTGATGAACACACTGAATACCAATGGGCGACTGGGGATGAGGCTGCATTAATATATGAACATCCGTGTTTTCGTGAAATGGTTTCATTTTTCCACGATCAAATTGAGAAACTACCGTGACTTCTTTCACTTATAAGCAAATAATAAACATTTTATGCATTCAATTGGTTGATCTTTTGTCGCATTTGAATCCGTTTCTGTTCGAGCCGAAAACGTATTTTAGGGTCATCTACCTGCATGTTCGGTCCACGATCCGACAGCAAAAACCAAATATACATTGATTCATATGGACACTGAATGTACAGAATGTGACAAGAGCGAAACTAGTGAAAATGTTCATGAACTAACATGTAATCACAAAGTTTCTATCTTAATTGCATTGAAAAACACAACAACAACGCCTTTCATGAAAGTAGTCAAAATTGCAAGTTTCAATCATTTAAACATGAATAAACATGTAAAGCACGTACACATTTCTGTGACGTAAAAAGTCTCATGCTATCGGATCGCGGTTCGGTCTTTGGATTTTTACTGGTGAAGGTTTCAGTGAAGTGAACTGCTTCATGGCAGTTGTTTGCACCGAATGACTGGTCGTAAAGGAGGAAAATAGTTTTTACATCATTTTGGCGTCTCCACTCTCTCCGTCTATTTTTGCATTGAGACTTGAAGTCTCGAATGCAAATCTATATGGTGGAAATGGAGACGTCAAAATGATGTTTCAAATGTACGGGAGACTATCATCGTCCTTTGAGTCACACTAATGTCTTTGGAGGTGACATCGTGGTGCTAATGTTTAATGCACCCTACAAACAATGAATGTGTTTATTTGGAAGGACGATGAATGTGCAAAGATGCATTTGAAATGATATTGCTCAAATTGTGAGACGATGAATCGTAGACTGAATCGTCTACAACACTGATGGTCCATACAAATATGCCTGAAAATAAAATTTGTCCGCTTGAATTTCATGAAAATCATCACACGTGTGCAAGATAAATATTCATGTAAAACGGAAGTGCGCACATGTTTTCACTTGCATATTTGTAGGCAATTCAATGCAGTTTCCTTACAATATTATAGCCCATGTTGCAGACAGATGGAAAATTGGTCTGAAGTCAGGTCAAATTCTGACCTTTTCTCATATTATTTAAATCAAGTTTCATTTGAAATCATTTTGTTCTTTTTTTCTCACTTCTAAAAATGGATGTAGACTCCTCCTTTTTTTGACTGACCTCACTTTAGAGATCATATTTTAGTTCCAGTTCAACTCTGAACTTTGTGAAGACAAGTTCAATAATGTAAAATCGATGTCTTAAAAACACAATTCGTCGTATAGAAATTTTGACTGCAATCTCATGATACATCAGTGAAAACTCCGCATTCCCAAGCGCGACTCCACATTTAGCTTCTAAATGTGACACCGTAGTAAGTGTGGGCATACGTTTTGCGAATAAGCGACAAAGAGAATGGAAACAAGTGCGTGCGTGGTGATGAGTAGCCTGATACGATGCTTCTCAGTGTAGCGACCAATACACGCGCACTTGTTTCCATTCTCTTCGTCGCTTATTCGCGAAATGTATGCCCACACTTACTACGGTGTCACATTTAGAAGCTAAGTGTGGAGTCGCGCGTGGGTTGAACTGTTTGTGACATTAATACAGTTTTCAATTGATTTTCAGGCCTGCCACAGGTCAGCTTTTGAGCTGATTATCAGCTTTTTGGAAATCTTCAGCTATTATCAGCTATTTCGGTCACAGTTCAGCTTTTTCAGCTTTTTAAAAAAAAGAATGAGAAAACTAATACAAATGATGAAAAAAATCTCAATAAAAAAATGCTTATCATAACAATGATACGCGTTTTCAGACGGAGCAATGAAAAAGTAAACATGTTTTTCTTATGAAGACGATATTAACTCAATCTAATTCTGAATCATTGGCACTGTGCTATGGCACGGTGTCATTCTTTCAATTTATCTGAAACGCATTGGTCAGCATATTTATGAATCAATGTAAATAAGAAATTATCGTTTTTGTTATTGCTTCGATTTGGCATGACAACACTTTATAGATAATGTTTATAAATCGATGTAAAGAGGCAATTGCGAAACTGATAAAAAGAAATTACCGTTTTGTTATTCTCCAATTCGGCGAACACTTGCTAGATGTGAAAATGAGTGCACAAGCATTTTTTGGCTCAAGTGGTAGCTCCAAATATCAAAAATATAATAATGCAACAATCAGTTCACATTCGATTTTGGCACGAGTCACATTTCCATTCAAATCAAACAAGTACATTTCTATTGTGAAATAGAATTTCATGCAAAGTTCATAATGATTGGACTAATTTGGAATTCGAAATGAAAGACAAAAGCAAAGTGAAATACAAAGAATTTTTCAAGAAGGAAGAAGATTTTACGTTGAGATGTTCAGCCTGCGATAGTACTATCAACATCAAAAGCAAAGGATTTGCTGCTGTGACCCAACACTTGATGCGAGATAAACATATTGAAAACATGGAAGTCAAATTTAATTCAGTTAGCAATATTATTTATAAGTCAACTGCGTAGCAAGTAAGATTGAAAATAAAATTTCATTTATGATTCGACTAGAAACACTAAAAAAAAACTATTTTTATAACTGCTTCTTTGATTTTGCCATATTAATCTCATCAGCTTTTGCTTGCTCAAATTGGTAATATCAGCTTTTTCAGCTTTTTTAGGAAAAAAAATCTGTGGCAGGCCTGGATTTTACACTTTCATTATCTTTCTGATAGCAAAATCTACGACGAATTTTCAATGATGGTGATAAAAGTTACGGTCATAGTGTTAATTAATGCATTTGCATCAATGCATGTGTTAGCGTACATAGTTAATGAAAATTGTAAGTAAACACAGTTTTTCCCACATTTCTATAATGATCTTTTTTATTTATAAATGGATGTTCTACCAAATTATTGAACTTAAATGTTATGTAATTTTGACTTTATTTATTGCTATCAAAGATGTGAAGTTTCGTTTTTTTAAATAAATTGTTTTGTAATCTAGCTGCCAAGATCCAGTCCCAAGAAGATGTTGCCGAGCCGATACAAGCAATTGATTTGAATTCAACACAGCAATATGTAGAACATAATGGATGTCCTTGGGTACCAAAAAGATTCATATATCCATCTGGAGCAGTGGAGTAAGTATTATAGCTTATGATCTATTGATATTTATCTGTCTGTATTTACTAATTTACTGCAATTTTTTTCAATCTTTTCCAGATTACACACGGAAATCGAACAGTTTTTTGAATACATGCAACCAACACGGACAGAGCGTGCATTACGTGAGAGAGTGGTGGCTCGTATTAAATCAGTATTCTATCAATTGTGGCCACATGCACAACTTAAACTGTTTGGTAGTGTAGTCATAGGATTGGCTCTACCAACAAGTGACATTGATCTAGTGGGAGTCGGTGTTTCGGTCCCAAATCGATTACAGTTGTTAGCCACTCAAATATTGGCTAATAATGTTGCCGAACCAAATTCAATCACAATTATAGATAGTGCCACGGTTCCGATTATTAAATTTGTCGATCGTGAGAGCAAAATCAACATCGATATGAAACTCTGTTGTGATTCGTCTGAGAGACAGGAAGTTTTGATGAGCGAATATAAACAAAAATATCCAAAATTTGTGAAATTAACACTCGTATTGAAGCTATTGATGAAGGAACGTGGACTCAATGTTAGATTCACAGGTTTGGATTAAATAATCAATACATACACAATACTTTATTTGAGAAAATAAAATATTTGAATTGTTTAGGCGGAATTACATCGCATGCTTTGACTTTAATGGTCATTAATTACTTGCAAACGCATCCGGAAGACAATAATGGTGCTAACTTGGGTGATTCGCTGTTGGGTTTATTGGAATTGTATGGTCGTAAGTTCAATTATACATCTACTGGCATAACTACCTTGAATGGTGGTGCAATTTTGCCGAGAAACGAATTGCCCTGTAGATTGGTTAAAGGCCAAGAACAGTTATTTTGTATTCAAGATGCAAATAATCCTTCGTCGAATGCTGGTTCAGGTACATATCGTGCCGCAAATGTGATACAAGCATTTGATGATGCTTTTGTTGCATTATCAATGCCCATTTCTTCCAATGAAAGAAGAGCACCAAATTGTACGGAAAACAGCATCCTCAGTCGTATCATTCATATCGATGGTCATTTCATCAAGTACCGCAATTGGATTCGAAACACATTCGGTCACATACTTCTATCTCAAAAATAGGTGAACAATCATTTATAAAAATAAATTAATAAATTGGTTTCATCAAATTGGTTTTTCATAATTACCAACGAAGGCATTTTATATCTAATTGTTTGAATGTGCTGGAATATACGTTTTAATAACGAACATTTTAATCTAATCACTTTATCTCAAATAAAAGCTATGTAATCCAAGTCACCTTTTAACGTGAGCTGGAATTTTTTGAAATAAATTTTTCGAATGAAAACAGACTTATGTCTTTCTTTAAAATCTGCTATTACAAAAAATAAATATACCCAGAAGCAATAATTAAGGCGGGATGACGTAACTGACAGATTAAGTAACTGAAAAAAAAACTAATTTTCGTGCATCTTTACATTACGTGTTTTGTGAAGCAAGTTTCATATAAGCAATAATTGAACATATTTTCTATGCATATATCGACAAGTGATCGGTTTCAATTCAAAATATTTGCCGGGTAACAAAACTAAAACAGAAGATTCAAAATGGTAAAATACACAATTCAATCAAATGACGAATTAGAAACTGAAAAAGGAACCGACTTCGAATCATTCGATGGCAGTGAATTAGAGTCAGAATTAGACCGTAATCTGCTTGATACAGATATCGCGACATTTTCATCTTCAATGCAGCATGGAATTGGAAATTTTTTTTCTTTTTGTCTCTAAGCTTTTGTTCTACACATTACTCTGCATACTTTTCCTTCTAATTCTAATTCAAAATTTGTATTAAGTTTCTAACGAAAATGACAAAAATAAAATTAGTGACTGGAGTTCAAAACAATCTATCGTAGTAGTGGCAAACAAATTTAATAATCAACAGAGCTGATAAATTATGCAAAAACGATGTGAGTGAAACTTTTTTTTTGACGCACTTTGTTCTGGCATAACTATGTATGACTGATTTCTCTGTGTGCATTGCGTTCTTTTTTTTTATTTAATTGGAATTCTAAGCTCAAGCATGACACCGGTAATCAATGGAATAAATGGAAGTAAAATAAAAGGTGAAGTTCAATTTTACAATGAAAATATATCCATATGTTTGCATATTTGAATTGTATTGATAGAAATGCGTGCCGACCAAAATATATACATACACATCGTAGTGATGAAAGCAAAACAGGCGATTGGTCGAAGAAAAAAGTCATTCACGGGTTCAAATAACAGTGTTAAACCATTTAATTCGGAAATTGGACTGACTCAGCAAACAAACCATAACCAAATTGCATTTTTTCAAATCGCTAAATAGTTTGAGACGAAACGTGAACGTGTTCACAACTCTTTTTTTTCAGTTGCGACAGCGTGGTGACTCAAGTCAAACTAAAATTGATAATAAGGAAAAAAAAGAACATAAATATTAAACATTTAATTTATCAAATAGTTACTAGAATCAAATTTTGTGCAAAATGGTTGATGAAAAGGCACCGGGAATAAAGGAGTTCTTCAAGGGACGGGATATTTTTATCACTGGCGGGTCTGGTAAATATTAAGCGTTTCCACGAAAAAACACACAATAAAAAGTGTCAAAGTGTTTATGATGAAAACTGGTTTCAACCAAATCTGTTGTGATTTTCAAGGTTTTATGGGTAAAGTGTTGATTGAGAAGCTGTTACGATCGTGTCCAGATTTAAATCGAATTTTTGTGCTGATTCGTGGAAAAAAGAATAAAACGTCCGAGCAGCGACTGGAAGAGTTGGGAAAAGTGCCCGTTTTCGATCGACTGCATCAGGAGCTACCGAATCATTTCAGTAAATTGTGCGCAATCAATGGAGATTGTACGCAAATAGGTCTTGGCATCAGTGATGAGGACTTTAAGCGAATGGAGAATGTGTCGGTGATTTTCCATTCGGCGGCTAGTGTGAGATTTGATGATGCACTGAAAAATGCAATTTTGCTAAATACGCGCGGAACCGTTGAGGTTATGCGGTTGGCCGAAAAACTCAAACAAATTCGTGTTGTTCTCCATGTGTCGACGACCTACTGTAATCCAACAAAGAAAATCGTCGAAGAGATGATCTATCCGCCGAACGGTGACTGGGAGATGGCCATCAAAATTGCCGAAAAGTATGATGAAACCACATTGAATGCATTGACACAGAAATTCACCAATGCAGAGCCTAATACGTACACATTCACAAAGGGATTGGCTGAACAGGCCGTTAAAGATTTTAGTGATCGATTGCCCGTCGTTATCTTTCGACCGTCGATTGTTGTGAGTTCACTGGACGAACCGATGCCGGGATGGATCGATAATTTCAATGGTACGTAGCATATTACATTGAATTCTATTTTTGGAGTGGTTCCCAGAATGAGCCAAAAATACCCAAGATTACTGGTTCTGTTTTTTTTTTTACATTGCGATTCGATTTCGTTTCCCAAATAACACCCAAAACCGGAATGAATCATCTTTAATTAGAATTTATTCTTTTCCGCTGGGAATTCCCATACGATGTTGTTGTCAATGGCTTGAATTAACACATATTTGTCATTCTAGGTCCAACTGGTTTATTGTTGGCTTGTGGTTTGGGATTGTTGCGCACTACGTACGGTGATCCAGATGTAGTGAGCGATTTCACGCCCGTTGACACCTCAATCAAGGCGATGATAGTCGCCGCCTGGAAACGTGGGGTCGAATCCGAACTACCCGAAGTTCCCGTTTACAACTGTTCAACATCCATTCAGCGTAAATTTACCACCGGATTCATTGTCGAAATGGGACGAAAGCTAGCGCCCGATGTGCCAATCGACAAAATGATTTGGTTGCCCGGAGGCAGTATCACCAAATGCAAATACAATAACTACATTCGGGTAAATGGCCGGCGTGAAAAATTCTATAGTCATTGTGTCATGTTTTATTCAAATGTTGTTTTTTTCATTCGTTTCTAGTTTATTCTATTCCAACTGTTTACTGCATTTTTCATAGATTTCGTGTTCAAATTGACGGGGCAACGACAATTGTAAGTTCATTTCTCTCTCTCTCTCTCTCTCTCTCTCTCTCGCTCTTCCGGTAAAGTTGAAAAATGTTAATTATAAGCCCATTTTTTTTTTATTAATATTCAATCAAAATGTCATTTCCATTTCAGTGTCGCAAAATTACAGCGTAGGATATATGGTGCAAATTTAGCCCTGCACTATTTCATTACCACGCATTGGGTATTTAAAAATGCAAAATTCTTGGCGCTGAATGACATCATCAAAACCGAAGACAATGAGGATTTTCGATTCGATCGCTTCGTGACCGGTGACATCAGAAAGTACTTCATCGCTTGCATGTACGGTATGTGTCACTGAACTTCGTTTTGCCATTCAAAATTCGACGCAATTGACGCAAAAACAGTAGTAGATATTGAGTTAATTATCCGTTACCGTTATTTCAGGCGCTCGACGTTATTTACTTAACGAAAAGGATGAGAACCTACCTCGAGCCAGACGCAATTACAAAAGGTTGATTGAATTTAATCAATTCTTTTTTGTATAAAACAATGAAATTTGAAATTTTGAACTTAAATGCTAATTTTTTTTCTTTTCAGATTTGCTCTGGCTCATTATACATTGGTGCTGGTGTGGTACACTTTCCTCTTTTACACGATCTTCATTAAATACAATATTCTCGGAAGAATCTGGGCTTGGACTGATTTTACTAAATAAACTGAATTTTCAATAATAAAATGAAAACAGAATCGAGAGAAACAATTAATTTATTATTTTGGTTTTAAGTGTCAACTAAAAAAAATGCTTTCAAACATTTTATCTTGATCAAATATTAATCTCGATGTTTAGCTGAAATTTTTTTATCTTTGTTTGTGTTCATGGTTCGGTCGATTGGTTGTTTTATTTGACACATTTATTGATACAAACATAATTATTGATCAATGTCGTTATTAAGTCAAGTTAAAACAATACATCGTCAACTTATCGACATTCTTTTCCACGCACTCTGTTTCAGCATTATTTTTGGCATAAATTTCAAAGGAAATTGATAAAGAAATAATCAAAATAACATTTGTGCTCAATGACGTAATGCAAAATGGTCTCCACCAATTTTTTTTTTAAATTAAAATTCTCCATTTTTTTCAGCCAAAAATGGTATTTTACAAAAATTGATAATGTGCTAATAAGAGTAACGATTATGAAAAGCCAACGAACAATTTCAATTTAAAAAAAAACTATGACTCAATGGTAGATATGAACTTTTTCCATTTTTCTGATTATTTCTTCAAATCAAACTGATTATTTCTCTTCGTTTTTTATCTTCGTTCATTTGATTTTTTTTATCAAATTCTTTTTCTTTCATTCCTGAAATTCAAACCGAATTTCAAATGATTGAATCAAAATTTGACATGGATCTTTGTTGTACTGCAATTTTTTAGAGAAAAAAATTCAATATCAATGACAACTGAATTTGTATTTGAAAATGCAGCAGTCTATATTAGATTACTTCTTCCAAAGTGAAATAATCGATTGCTTTCATTAACTGGTCATTAACACATCACATCGATTATATAAAATTCAATTGTGCATGGTGTTCGAAGAAAAGAAGAAATATTTCCGATTCATTTTCCAAATGATTTTTATTGGTTGAATTGTTGATTGTTCAATCTTTCTTTCTGCAAAAAATTCTCTGCTCACTGAGAACAGAATGAATAATATTGTTGTATATCAACGCCAAGAAATTATACAAATTAAGAACGCGATAATGAATATATACCCGAGAGCTGCATCATTCGATGAATATTTTTCATAATGTATGAACCGACACTAACAATGCCATCGATTCAATGAGGTAGATTATTTCAATCTTTCCAAAACATTGAAAAATGGTCATCAAACAATGATGAATGCAGTTTTTTTTAATGTCTCAGCATATTTTTATCGATGCATTTAATACAATCGATCGTCACAACATCGGAATTCATTTGGAAACTTGGCAAGAAGACATCGATGCATTGTAAAAAGGTATTGCATTTCAGTTGAGCTCTGACATCATCTGATACACTTTGAAGCTGAAAATTTCCGAAGTGAAGATTGAAAAATGCCTATGCCACTCTGGAGAGGATTTTACATTTGTTACAATTGTAACAAAACCTTCGAAGTAACGAACAAAACGTGCTGGCAATTTCGGAATTGTTATCGTTGCGGTACTGCTAATGGGCCAAGTCAAGAGGTAGGTCAAGTTTTTTTTTTACTCTTTATTTGGAAAATAGGACCAAATGTTTTTTATTCCTGTTCAATTCAATTTCAGACATTCATCGGCTACGAAAATTCCGCCTCGAAACCATAATGCTGCGGGAGCTCAAAAGCGGAACAAAATCAACCGATTACATTCTGTTACTCCATTATTGAGGAGCAATGAATTGTTTTTGACAAAGAAGAAATAAAAAAAAGTTCCACATTTTTTTTTGTCAAAATCAACAAAAAGTGTTTTCAATCGTTTTCTTGCTAAAAATCGGCTTTCCTTTGTGGTTGGGAGAAAAAAAATTGTCTGGAAATTGTTCAGTGTTTACTATCCAACATATTCACAGTCGTTCTATTTTCAAATACCAAGTTCCGAAAAGTATTTGTGCGTTAATATTCAAATCTCAAAGCTTTATCATCGTTGAGTGCTTTTTGTGGCGAAATGCCGTGAAGTTGGTAACGAGTTAGAGTCGCCGCTCGTACAGAAGAAATAACATAGAACGAACAAAAAAAAAAACAAATTCATCAATGATTTAAATTAATGGACATATACGTTTGATGTGAAGTGCCGCTACGCTAATTGTCACATTGGACATTGGGTATATGCGTGACATTGTATTGTAGAGCAATAGAATGATACAATTTGTCAATGTCATTAATTGGCAATCAAACACAGTCACTTTATGTTTTATTTTTATTTTTTTTTCTTCCAAACTGAGTAAACATTGAACGAGGTAGCAAAACAGTGGCCTATATCACGAGTAAATACATTGAAAAATAGCAGGCGTATGCAGCATTCGTTCGTTGGCCAATGAAAAAGAGCAGATAACGAAAATATATTTACAACCGTGATTTCATCGTCCATGTGTTTCACATGAGTCGACGCAAATTTGTACCTTGTGACGATTGTTCATAGAATGAATTCCAAAACGAACGTTGTTTATATATTCTGACCGAAAAGGGTTGCTTTGGTATTCAAAGACATGATATGAGCGGAAAAAAGTGAGAGTGATGTCATCGTCAAGTGGTGCTCACCGCTCATTTACATGCGCATCACATTTTTCCGTTGTACAAAGGCGGATTATTGTTGTTTTTTTTTCTTTCTCACTGTGTAGTCGATACCTTTTTCCCTATTTTAGCATGAGAGCACAGAAAAAAATAGCGTTGAACGAACATTCACCCTGGAATGATTGCTTTTGGCGCCATACACAAATGCTTTGTGTGTGCATGGCTAATGAATGAAGAAGAGCGCTGGAGAAACATTATGTATAAATATTTTTTTATCGGTGAAAATCATGTGACCATTCAATGAACAAACAACAATAATGTGAGACCCTATTCAGTTCTTCTAATTAAGCTAATTTTAACCTGTTGCCAGTCGATGTACGTGATTGCATTCGTATCTGTATTTACATTAAAAAAAATACGATAAAAGCACCATATTAGGCCAGAAAAATTGCATGAAACGACACATTTTAGGTATGAATCTAAGCAAATTCTGACGTTGATCGTCGCAATCGTCGTTTTCGTCGTTTTCGTCGTTGTCGTCGTCATTAGTTTTTAGGGCTCTTACATAAGCTGGATTCGAATAGGTGTTTCATTGTTTCGGTTGCGACGAGAATAGATAACCCACATACGATAAGATAGAATAGCCAATTACAACGGAATTTAAACATTTTATGCATCTATTTATGACACGAATAGCGTGTTTCTCTCTCACTTGATTCTTTGTTGTTGTTGTTGTTGTTTTTTTGTTACACTGTTCATCCAAGACGATTCTATTCTTTCTCTCCAATTCACAATGGCATATTAGACATTAGAAATAGAACGCTCATTATGTTGTACAACGGTGGCATGAATTCAGCGCTTTGCTAATAGCCGATTATTTCCTATATCGTCCAATTGAATGCACAACACTGATGAATTAAACATGAAACGAAGTGAAGAAAAAAAACACACACACAGCGAGACAGAGAGCCTATTACAACGGTAGATTGATTGCGCTGTATTGTGTGCACACGGGTAAATAGACAAACTAAGAGATCGATAGAGAAAGAGAGATAGAGCAACAGATAACCATTGAAAATTTGAATCAAAAGACTTGATTTTCTCTTATTGTTTATTTATTTTAGAGGTTCTTAGTAGATTTTTTATTCTTCTTCTTCGGTTTGGCATTGAAAAATCATAATGAAAATGACATTTTTTTTTGCTTGTTTCTCACGAGTGTGTGTATGTTTTTCAGTTATATGAATGTAGATTAAGGTTGATATAAGTTACTAATGCTGGAACAAACATGTGTCATTAGCAAATTTACTTGTCACCAAAAGCTGCTGCTGCTGCTGCTAATTATTTGATTAATACTCTGTTGCCAATTTTTTTCCCTATTTCTTTGATCAAAGATTGATGTGCTGTTAAAGTCTTCATCTTCCGCTTGTTTTTGTATAAATGAAAGTGCAATTGGTTTACATTTTTTGTATGAAATTGTTTATTTTTCGACTTTTATTTTAATTCCAACTTCATTTGGTTTCATATTAATAATATTAATTTTAATCATACGAATGTGTGTGTTTTTTTTTGTGTGTAGTGTATGGAAAGAAACATGCAAACGAACGAAAAAAATATGCAATATCTCAAACGAAACAAAACAAAAAAAAGGATAATTACTTTCAAAATGAGAAACGAAAAAAAAAATGCTAGAGCCGGGCAAAAAAAAATTGAATCGAAAACGATAAAAAATGAAATGAACGTATATAACTAAATCGACTGGCTTGCAGAAGAAACTTGTTCGAGACGCATTTCGTTCTAGCATAGAATTTTTTTTTTTTTTGTTTAAATTATATCAAATAGAAAATATGCTTTTCCGTTTGAAAAATTCCATATCAATATTTCATCGTTCTGATCCGTTTTTCTTTCTCTTTTCTCTTTCTTTTACGTTTTCTTTTTTTATTTCTCCTTTTCTTTTTTAATCATACATATAACGAAAAAAAAGTAGTAATTAAGTATATGTAATGTGTGAATGCGCATGTATTTTTTTTTCTTGTTGTTGTTGCTGTTTCTTGAGAATATGTGTTGGTTGTTGTTGCTTTTTTTTTGTTTAAATGTATTTTTTTGAATGTAATTTTTTGTTGTTGTATTCAATTTTTATTATTATTCTTGTTGATGATTTTGTTGCTGTAGCGAACTTAAAATGGATGCAGTTAGAGTTGCTACGGCCGATTTCGATTTTCGACTGCGAGGTGCGTGTGTTGTTGTCGTCGCTCGATTGATTGATTAGCTTAGAAGCATTTTCTGTGCACAATTGATGGGCCTGATTCGTCGTATTCTTGTTTCGAAATCCACATCTGTTGGAATGTTGAAAGCGATGCCAAGATCGAACCACCGATCCATACGGAGTATTTACGTTCTGGTGGTGCGATAATCTTGATTTTCATGGTTGATGGTGCCAATGCGGTGATTTCCTTTTGCATACGATCAGCAATGCCTGGGTACATTGTGGTACCGCCGGACAATACGGTGTTGGCGTACAAGTCCTTTCGGATATCGACATCGCATTTCATAATTGAGTTGTATGTGGTTTCATGGATACCACAGGCTTCCATACCCAAGAAGCTTGGTTGGAAGAGAGCTTCTGGGCAACGGAAACGTTCATTTCCGATGGTGATGACTTGACCATCTGGCAATTCGTAGCTCTTCTCCAATGAGCTGGAGCTGGCTGCAGTGGCCATTTCTTGTTCGAAGTCCAATGCAACGTAGCACAATTTCTCCTTGATGTCACGGACAATTTCACGTTCGGCTGTGGTTGTGAATGAGTAGCCACGTTCAGTCAAGATTTTCATTAAGTAGTCAGTCAAGTCACGACCAGCCAAATCCAAACGGAGGATAGCATGTGGCAATGCATAACCTATTCGATGAAAGGGACAAAGGAAATTCAGAGAAGAGAAAAAGTTTTGTTTAGTTCAATGTTGTTGTTGTTGTTGTTCGTGTTTGTTTGTTTATTGTGCAATCAAAGCGCCTAAACAAATGTCGAAATGCGGAAATGGAAAAGTAAACAAAAACGATTCTTACCTTCATAGATTGGCACGGTGTGCGAGACACCATCTCCTGAATCCAAGACAATACCAGTGGTACGACCGGAAGCATACAATGACAACACAGCTTGGATGGCTACATACATAGCTGGGGTGTTGAATGTTTCAAACATGATTTGTGTCATCTTTTCACGGTTGGCTTTTGGATTCAATGGGGCTTCGGTCAACAAAACTGGATGTTCCTCTGGGGCGACACGCAATTCGTTGTAGAAGGTGTGATGCCAGATCTTTTCCATATCATCCCAGTTGGTAACGATACCGTGTTCAATTGGGTATTTCAATGTGAGGATACCACGTTTGCTTTGAGCTTCATCTCCAACGTACGAGTCTTTTTGGCCCATGCCAACCATCACACCCTGATGACGTGGACGACCGACAATCGATGGGAACACGGCACGTGGAGCATCATCTCCAGCGAAACCAGCTTTGCACATACCGGATCCATTGTCAACAACGAGGGCAGCAACTTCTTCGTCACACATATTGAATTCTAAACCGGAGCCAAACAAAATGGAAGGAAAAAAAAAAAACAACAGACACATACCAATTAGATCATATTCATTACGGTGGCTTTTAAAATGCAAATCATAATCGAGAAGAAGAATGAAAAAAATATATATAACATCAAAACGCTATGGCAGATAATGTAAAACGAGAGCAACGAAAAATGCAAACTAATTAACGTTCATTTTATTAAATTACTTGTGAAAAATTATTTGTTTTAACGGATCGAACAAACGAGCGCACACAAAGTGAGTTGAGAAAAAAAACCAGCAGCAGAAGAAATAAAAACGGAGAGAGAGAGAGAGAGAGAGAGAGAGAGAAATGAAACAATAGCAACGAGAGCACACCAAATAGTATGTAGAGTACTTTCTAATAAATTCCGTTTTGAATGTTCAAAAGCGCACGAAATATGCAAAGGGAGAAAACCGTTGCGAAAACGACGCTTCTTCTTTTTTTACATATATATATTTCGTGAGTTAGTTATAACTCTCTTTCTCTCTCTCATGCACACTCTTCTCGTCGCGTCACACTTTATTCTTGTCGGTGAAGAGTGCTGAATACGTTAAAAACTGTCGCTTGATACCGGTTTCAATCACACAGAAGCCGATGGTTCTGATGCTTGAACCAAAACCAAGCGGAAAAAAAACGACGGTTAATTTACACTCACACACGCACGCATACACATACACACATACAGCCGTGCACATATTCTCTGATTCGGCATCGATTGTTGGAATCTCTCTGGTAAATTCTGATTCATGCGTATGCGTGCTTAAGCTGCACCCATACACACATACACACACACGCACATATATACCGATTCCATCGGGACAAGAGACCAAAAGAACCAAAATCACACATACAAATGAGGCGATGAATCAAAGCCGAAAATGGCGTATCATGAAAAAAAAACCGACAATTTTTTTTCTCGGCTTGTTCAAACTGAATTTTCAGAAAAAGTACGAAAAATCCGTAGGCGTCGGTGGGCATTGTGCATCGCTCGATGATGATTTTATTGAATTATGTTGGAAAATTGATTGAAACTCGTTCAGCGAATGCAAGACAACGCCCTAAGACAAGTGGTCTTCTGAAAAGATATCAGTAGTCCGAAAAGGAAGTGAGAAAAGAAGAAGAAAGAAAAAAAAAACTGTACTCAATTTGCTATGTTGGCAGCAACCACTTTCGGATTTTTTTTCTCTCTAGACGCGATGCGATACCAACAAATTGATACCATTTATGGCAAACACGAATTTCTCTTCTTTACACAATACAATACAAAAATCGTCGATTTTTTTCCCTTTTTCTCTCAAACAAAACTATTTTAATTTTAATTTTCGTAATTTTTTTCTGTTACCGAACAGAGAAAATTTCAATATCGAAGACAGGAAAAGGAAGAAGAAAAAAACAGAAAAATTGGAATTGAAATTAACGCCAAAAATTAAAAAAATACCTTTTTGTTAAAGTTTCACACAAAAAAATTATTCAAACACCACAGCAAATATGGAATATCTTCTAGTTGAGGTTGGATTGCTTGCGCACAACAGAAATAAAATGAATTTTATTCCTAACACTTCTAAGGCTAAACGACAAGTGACGCTACAGTATGCAGAAAAAAACGTTCGTTCCGATTCAATTCGAAGCGAAAAGCGCTACCAAATATGAACAAAATATCCCCACCAATTGCACAACCACTATGGCACACCGTATCGGCTTACACACAGTATGCGCGCACACACAATCACAATATCGGATGACGAACGCTTGGAATTTTGAATCATCACACCATAAAAACCCGAACAGTTGCTACAAGTATACACACACGTACGGCTTTCGGCGTTTCCAGCGCCAACACTGCTTGCTGTGTGTATGAGTGTAAGGCATGAGTGTGCGCGTAACAAACGATCAAACATTTTCATGACCATATAAGGCAATGTTTTAAAACAGAATTCCACGTAAAAGTGATGAACATGACGAACGAAGCGACGAATGAACGAGAAGAAAAAAATAGCGTACACACAATAAAATTGGAATTTTTTTTTTTAAAGACGAAGGGAAAAAAGAGTCAGCACTTTATACATTGTGTGTGACGCGGCTCTCATTCACTCACATACATACACGTAATCTCTTCTGTCGTTCGGCAAATATGCTTGGTGTTTGTGCAATCATAGATTGTTGCAGTCCAATATTTTTTTGAAACCATCTAGAATCAATGTACACGTTTGGCGAATCATATATAAAATTCTTCTTTTTTCTCGTCTTTCATTCGATTTTTCTGTACTTTGCCTCTTGTTTTGCAATGCGCTCGCGATTGAATTTCATTTGCCATATATGATATGAGTGCTTCGTTAGCACTCTCTATATATATATCTGAATTTTCAATGCTTGTCGCGCAGATAACACGACCAAATAAGTGTCTTTTGCCTTGGGTGAACCCAATGAAATTTGTCTCTTCCGTGAATTTTTCCCTGTATTTATGCGGGGATCGTTAATGGCTTGCTCTTGCTTTTTTTCATTCTCTACATTCATTTCAGAAATTATTATTATTACTGTTTACACCGCAATATTGCATTCAATGTCGGCAAATGAGACACAGGCAGAGAATTAGAGAGATTATGGAGTGTGTGTGTCATAGACGAGAGAAGAGACAAGCATTTTTGTTTCTTTTTCCATATATACTGCCTTTTTTTATGTGGCTTTTGTTTGAAGCAACTTCATTTAAATGCCAAAGAAATAGTATAACTGTCAGTAACAATGCATGGGTGTTTTCATGCCATTTGAATAACATATCTATTTAACTTAAAAATATCTCTATCTGGTGCCGTTATTGTTGTTGGTTTTTTTTTTCTCTCAAAAGAAAGGAAAACACACAATCACCACGTATGGATAAAGAGAAAGAAAACGATAACTGAATTGATAAAAAAAAGTGAGTCGTGTGAGTGTGTGCTGCTTTTCCGTTTCGCCTTTCATGCTTCATTTACACGAGTCGACCATTGTTCTACAAAATTGAATTATTTTTTTTTTAATTCTAAAAGGAAACTGTCATATTGACTCAAAATGTGTTTTATGACCTTTTTCGTTGAAGTGAATATGAAATGAGCCGAATATACAAAGGAAACAGAGAAACAAAAAACAATCCAAAAAAATTGAATGCAAGAAAAGGAGAGAATGAAATGATTGGAAGGCAACAACACAATTTGTGTTGCCGAAATCGTGCAACGGTTGAAGACAAAGCGAACAAAAAACCCGAGAGACGAAAGCGACGAATAAGCAAATTTTTTTTTTTAGCAAATATGGGAGCAGCCATATCAAATTGGCCAACATTAAATTCGGTCGATTTATGCATATTGCTTGGATATGGTGTGTTGTCATGTGCGCTTGTTCTGAAGCGATCGACAACTACCAAAATAATGCGGCAAATTTGCCGCAGAGCCAGAGCGAGCGAGACGGCGAAACAGTGGAAGACAGGACAACAAAAGTAAATTGAATAACACCAAATAATCCAAATGACACAACCACGGTGTATTAATGGATTGCGTGCAGTTTTTGGAGCAATAATAACCGAAAGGCATGGCGCTATGGCAAACATTGCTATCCGAATATGGAAGAATGTTTCAACAAACGAATGAACCAAGCAACAAAAGATAGCAACAAATTCATCGAAATTGATTTAATACACAACATTAGCCGAGCAACATATAGTTACATACATGGGTTGATCAAAAGCGTTGCGAAGGTTTTCTAGCTCGCCTGCGGCGAACGAACAAACGAACGAATGAACCAAGCAACCAACCACTTTTCACGTAGGATAGGTAATGTCGGAATCGGAATTACGAATATTAACGTTTCGATATATTTATAGAGTGGCGAGAAGAGACGAGAAAAAAAAAACGCCGCACAATTTTTCAAGTTCAAATGAGCGCAATGGTCGAATGTCTATTTATGGCAATGGTTTCTCACACACATTCATCGCTTCAATTCGATTTGCATCACGGTAGTGTTTCGAAGGAAAACCACTGACGCCGACACTTGTTCGCGATACATATCTATTTTGGGCAACACACTCAACTGACTGAGAAACTCAAGAGTCTTTGCCATACTAATTATAGCCATCTACGGAATGAAAAAATCACAATTAAAAATTGGGTAACGTTTTTTTTTTTGGATGGTTGCTTCGCTTGTTTCATCTTCCTTCATCAACGCCGGCATTTCGTCACATGGCATTACGCGTATATGTAAATAGTTTCTGTTTTTGGCTGAGACGAGTATTGCTCTCGTTCGAATTGTGAACACATCATCTTCATTTGTTTACTAGTTCGGGCGCAAATGTAAACCAATTTTTTTTTTCTCTAGCCAGTTTCGAATAGACTAAACAATGAGTTCAATTGAAAATGTGTTTGAGTAAAATTGGTATTTGGTTTTTCTCTTTGTCTAATTTACTTTCAAAATCGGCCATTGTAAATAGAGCGAACGAGTGATAGAGTTCGAACATGGTTTGATGTGCTTGCACGCGTATGCCAGATAATTTGCAATTTGCAAAACAATTCGTTCATGATATCGGCGTAAGGGCGTAAAAGGAAATGTAGAGCAAATTAACTATGCCGTAGCAAAAGAACGCACAATGAGAAAACACAAGAAACACAAACACACACACTCACAAATCGTGTGTTGTCGCCACAATGCGCATCGCTTACTTTGAGTTGTTATTGTCACACACGAGTTATGAGAAGATTATGAGCGGAATTTAGCGTTCAGTTCTTACAGTTTTTTTTCTGGTTCGAATTCTGTTTGTCGGTTTGCTTTTGTTTCTTTTTGGCGCTTGTTCGCGTTGACTTTGTTGACAAATAATTATTATCACTAACTAAGTATCCAAACACAAATTCATATCGTTTCTTTTTTTGTTCGAGTGAAAAACAAATTGTTGTCGTTTTTTATCTGCACTTTTAGAATTTTGAATAAACAAATTGACATAGCCGAAATGAGCGATGAACGAAAAAAAAAAGTTCGTTATTTACAGGAAACATCGTATGAATTGTACTTACATTGGAATTTCGTTGAAAATATCGGGGGAAAAAATGAACTATATAAATAATTGCGTATATGCACTAATGTAATCCTAGTAGTAATATCACGATTTGTCGCTTCTGCTTTTTTTTTATTTTGCACCAAAAAAACTAATCCGTTGGAGGCTTTTTTTTCGTTCACTAAAAGTGCACACTGTGTGGTTTTATTTTTGTTTAAAAAATTTGGTTCGTTGTTCGCTTGCTGAGAACACGGATTGTAATGATGGAATTATTGCACGGGCAGCATGTATATAAATGGATCCCCACCGGCAGCTTAAGCGTAACGGCCGTGTACAGTAAAAACACCAAAATCGAACAACAGTACTATCGCTGACGATGATAATGATGATGAATAAGCATTCGGCATGTATACTATATTTGATGATCGTGTGCTTTTCTCTCTTCTTTCGTCTCTCGTCTTTCTTCTTCTCTTTATCTATCTATCTTTCTCCCTTTCGCTATGCCCTGACTAATGTGTTTTCACGCGCACGGGTTGAGACATCGGCTCTTTTTTTTACGAATTCGCATAAATATCGTAGCCAGCCAGTCAGTCAGTCAGTCAGTGAGCAGCGGATTGTACGCGTGTATTGGTGCGAGTTAGTGTGAATGTGTATCGATGTTGAACCGACTATGGTTACAACGTTCAGTCTGTTGACTCCCATGAAAACGCGAACGTCTCTCTAAAAATTTTTACCATATATGGAAATCGATGCACGCCGATCCCATGCACACAACGTTACACATATTGTGACTCGGGTGCGACTTGGGCTCTCACTGTCTGTGTGCGTACGTGTGGTTGTATGTGAATGTGGATGTGGATATAAACAACAACGCAGCGAAATACCGAAAATGGAAAAAGAAGAAGCAGCAAACAGGCGAGACAACAGCTCGACGCTAATGGAATACGCTCTCTCTCGAATCGAAAGAGATTTCATACATTGATGCATAGTATATGTGCGATGTGCGTTTTTTTCCTTTTTTTTCTTCTTTATATGCTGCAGTGGTGATGCTGAATGCTGATGATGATGTCGTGGCGATGTTTCATTCATGCCCATGACTTTGCCTAGGATTTTCTATGCACGATTTTCTTTTTTACTGCTGTTTTTTCATTTTTTTTTCTTCTTCTTTTTCGTCTTTTATTTCTTTGCCATGCTATCTTGTATCGAGCCGGTCGTAGCCGAAGAGATCGGAGGCCTCATGGAAATTGCTGTCGTTGTTGTTGTTGCGGTTATTTTACTTTGCCATTGTTTTCTTCTATTTGTGTATTTGTCTGCCACTGTTGTTACATGTCTATATATTTGTCTTGTTGTTCGTCTAGTCACTTCGACATTGCAATCCCACGAAACCGTGAACAAAAACACACAACAGAAAGAGAAAAAAAAAAGAATTGCTTGGGTACACGACATAACTTGGTCATTGAATTCGATTGCGTATTCGATATTTCATCTCATTTGAATTTGAACAAATGAACTCGTCTCGCATGTATGGATATGGATATATGGATATGTCATGCATCTGTGTGCATCTTCACCTTCGCGAAGAAAGCGACCGACAAAATGCCGTTGGTTTTTCATATCATTTCTTTTTCCTCTCCCTTCATCATCATTTTCATCTTATTTCGAAGTTATCCACTGAATGCATGGCTCAGAGATCAATGGCATAAAGTTCAACGTTAACATAAAAATAGCAGCGAATCTCTCTTTTTCGCAATCTTGAAGTGAAGATGAAACGCACGAGATAATAGCCATCATCGTCTCTCAATAATAGAAACGAGTCGAAACGGTATCAGTGTGGCCGTAAGCGTGCGAGAGATGATACCGTGATTGAAAAGTATTTGCCTTTTTGATTTGCCATTCTTCACATTGAAATGCCAATGATTTGGTCCATTTCAAATGAATTTCCATCCAAATTTTTACACACATTTCTTATATGTAGGTATAGTATAATAGCGCATTTTGCATTGTTTCGTAGGAGAAACAAATTGCTTTTTTATACGCACATTCTATTAATTTTACTGTGGTGAATGTGTATCACTTTAGTGGCGTGTGCGTTTTTGTTTATCAAACCATTTTGGTCCACTTTTCCTTTGGCTGGTTTCATTCAAAGATAAAAATACTCATGCTTTTTCCTAGACCTCCGCTTCTCAGAATCGGCATCGGATTCGTTTTGCGATGGGAAAAAGGCGTCAGACTTTCAAACACCGAAACCAGCCAATAAACATTTCACAGTGATAGAATGAAAACGAGCCCATTCAAGCCATTCCAATTGACTCTATCATTCTTCACATTATCCGAAACGGAAGAAAAAAACCACAGAAAACAGCATATGCATTTCTTTAGGAAATTTCATACGTATTTTTAACGTATGATTAACTTTTCTCTCTCTCTCTCTCTCTCTGTAGCTTCATTCAAACAAGTGAATTTTCGTGTTATTATCAAATTTGATCAGTCTGTTGAAATGCACACCTGATTTTTTTGAGCTCATCGCTAAACCATTAACTTTAAAAAAAAAGAAGCAATAAATCAGCTCTTTTGATGTGCATCAGCATATCTCGACTCTCTTTATTGCTGCTATACTATATCACTTTTAGATCATGTTTTACAAACTGAATGAAAAAATCAATAATCCACAAGAGAAAATGGTGTTTCGTTTGCCTTCACTCAATATTAAATTTCGCTTCGCATTTGGGTGCTTCGAACAAAACGAAAAAAAAATAACAATTTCTTTTCGGATGGTGTGTGTGTTTTTTTTATCGTTATCAGTCAGTCGGCGTTCGGCCCAGCGCACACGTTCGATGTGATTGTGTTTAGATAGCTAGAGATTTTTGCGAACAAAATGCGAGATGATGAGAGCTGGAAATAATTTTGTTAATATAATTAGATTTTATTTCATTCGACTAACTTTTTCCAATTAGCACTGATCCAAGCAGCGTGCATTCATCCGGGCCCAGAAGAGAAGAGAGGCGAGCTTGGGTGTGGATCGGCTGCGATACAAAGCGGCTGCAACAAATTTCAAATTGAATGAAGAAAACACCGCAGCATATATTGTTTGCTGATGTTGTTGTTTTTTCGAAGGTGTGCTACACATTTTGTGTATTTCGTAGCTACCGTTAAGGCCAGCCATGCGATTTTTTTTCTCTTCTTTTATTCCAATGCAAACATCGAAATCCAATTGTATATACTGCATATGCTCTCTCTCTCTCTCTCTCTCTCTCTCTCATGTTTAGTGTGTTTGTTTTTTTTTCTTCTCTTCACTTCATCAAAGCCAAATGGTAAAAATCTTTTTGTTCGTTTGCCACAACATTTATTCATTTTCCCATTCAGGCAAAATTTAATTAATAGGTGTTGCTTGGATTTTTTCCTTGCATGATTTGTGCCTAGCTTAATGCAGCAGGTGCATATGCAATTTAATACTGTTACTTGAAATGTATCAACTGTTTGCAAATCGCACACAGCACTCACACTCATGGCTGCTGCTGCGGTGTGGTTTGCCGAACACAAAACAAATTGTTCGAATGGAAATGAGAAAAGTGCTGAAGTAGAAGAACATCGGCAACAACAACAGCAGCAGCAACAACAAGAAGAGAAACAAAAATTATCGTATGGAAATTATGCACATTTATCGACAATGTATAAAGTGTAAGTTGCAGTGGCAGCGGCAACGAGAGAAGTAAGCGAGGAAAAAAAAAAATATGCTGATGATAAAATAATAAATGAAGAAAACACGAGCATCGGATTAGATAAACATAAATATTTCTATGCTTAGCTATTACGATTTCTTAGATATGTAGACTTGCATTTTTGCATAATTAGCACAGCATGCCGTCGTAATATTGGCTATGCATCATCAATTTTCATTTACGTGTAAAAGTGATTGAATACAAGCTCACTATCTCTTGCTCTCCGCAAACATATTCAACAAATTTCCAATAAGAACGACGAAGAATACATATCGCGCAAGCATAGCAGGCAGGCAGGCAGGCAGGCAAGCAAGCATTCAAGTAAGCTGGTGAATCGATAAAAAAAAGAAGAAATGACTCTTTGTTCAGCTATGGAGTGAAACCGATAATGGCAACTGGTTTTAACTCGACGAGAATGATGATGATGATGACGATGACGTGATGATTAAGTTTTATTTTCGTAAACGATGATGTATCATTCGTCTCAGAATTTTTAAGCGATTTGATATCAACGAGCTATTTTGCATAGTTATACATATCAGCGACCCTAAGGTTAAAGCGATTCAGTTGATTTGAGCTGTGTGTATGGCACATTGCTGTGTGTATGGCGTTTTTTTCATATTTGGGCATTTGGTCATTCAGTGTGACTCATCTAATTTCCGTCAAGATACTGAAAATCCACTCGTGTTTGCATTATTCACTTGTTAACTATGTGTATTTATCAGCGCAGTTCGGTTGACTAAGAGAGTTCGAAACACAGATTTGTAAGCGACAATTGTTCAATGCGCTTGTTGAGTGTGAGCCGTTAAACGTTTAAACGGACTGCTACATACATGCAATTCATATGTATGCAGTGAGTGAATTCACTGTGTTCCATTTTTATTCCGTACACATGAAATTTGACTAAATATGGTGTGATTCAGTTTTCTTTCAGTCGGCATAATTTTTTGTTATGTTTACGCTTTTATTTTCAAGTATGCGTACGAATGTTGCTGCTGGTGTTGTTGTTGATGTATTTTTTTTCTGTTCATTTAGTTCATTCTCTCGCTGTATTGTCGATTTGACTGCATAAATGTGGGAAAAACTGTTGATGCGAAACAAAAAGGATAATTTCAATTATATTTTTAGTTTTGCTGTTTCAATCACATTTTCGATTTGTTTTTTTTTCTTCTTCTTTTCAATGTATTGGAACACTATTTCCAATGAATGCTACAGTTTGATTTTTTTCGGTTTTGTTTAATAAGCTGAAAGTTGAACAGTAACAACAACAATAAACGAAAAACCGCATACAAACAAACGAAAAAAAACCAAATAATCAGCAAAGCAAATTCGATTTTATACACAAATTTGGTGCGAGGCTTTTGTCATCGATTTCGACACGGGAACCAATTGAATAATATTGCTCTATTTCCTAAACGGTCGATTACATTTGCTAAATTGCTTGTTAGAATTTAGACAAAAGTCGCTGACTCGATGATCATCGTCGACGACGACGATCGACAAACGTTTATATATGGTTATTTAACATTGTTCAATTGTTTTCTCTTTTGGGGACGGTTTCAAGGGTCTCTCTCTCGCTCAGCGTCCATTCAATGAAAATGCCGGCTTGACAGAGACAAACATTCAATAATATTTTTCTGATTTAATTGTTAATTTTTATGGTGATCATAACAATTAGATCTATTGGTTGGGATTTCCTGTTTGCGAAACACATGAAGCATCTACTTTTATGGTCACTGCTTATTCAATATCTTAATTCGCTACGTTTAGTTTATGGTTGTTGTTGTTGTTGTTTTTGTTGTTTATTTTTCTCATTGTTGTTGCTGCGTTGTGCTGTTTTTTCGCTTCGGTCATTCATTCATTCTTTTCTCTGTTTCACGAAGCCACAAACATCAATGTTCAATGTTCGAGACAAACAATGCAATAATTGGCCTTTCGAAGGTAGCGAAAAGATTGGTTAATTGTGTTTGAAATGAAATTAAATTTCGAATATATATATGTGTGATTGTTATGGGCGCTCGTTCGCAAATCACTTGAGCTTCTTTGCTTTTCTTTATGTTACATGCCATACAATTTATGATGATGATGTTTGGTGCATCAAATCACTTCTCTACTCGTTTATATTGGCAAAGATGAAAAAACTATCGTCTTCATCTTCATCTTGTTACATTTTCCCGCGATGTTTTCTTTTCGGCCCCGGAATTTCGGCGAGAGCGGGAAAAGAAATAGCGTTAATTTTATTAAGCAATTAAATTAAATTCCATTAGTTAAAGTTGGTGAAACAATTAAGGCAAGCGTATAAAAGTGATAGAAGAATGACGGTCTTATGATTTTTGTAAGTGATTTGCCATCAAAATCATTCAATATTCGGTGCACTGCACACGAACATTCTCTCATAAGCGTATCGCGGGCGGCGAATGGGTGATTCGGTGAAATTTGTTATGTTGTTACTGCTTTTTGCGGTTGTTGTTGTTGTTGTTGTTGTTTGGACGATTCAATTTTCAATTTTCTGTGCATCCACCTGGGAGGAAAAATCCGGGCCAAAACACACAAAAAAGCGAAAGAGAAAGACCAAGTCGAACACGACGAGAGAGCAGCAGCAGCAGCAGCAGCAACAACAGCATTTTACCACATATACAAAACGGTTTTCCTGCTTTTTGCTGCTAAAAAGCATTTAATAGATGATAAATTACTATATTTATCGAAACACGCCGATTCCTCGACGTTATCGCGCCCATGAGGAAAAAAATAATAAACGTAAACTATAACAAAAATTCAAGCGATAGTGGTGTACAAATGTAACAGAAAGAAGAAGAAGAATTGAACAACATCAACAACAGCAATAATTGAATTTGAGCGCAAAGCGATGGCCCACGAGCTCACGCCCGCAATATTATTAGTATGACACGCGAAAAAAAAACGAATGAAAGATATTGAGAGACGCGCACATAGCGAACATCATTTAATTTATCATAGAGAGATGAGAAAAGTATTTCGTTTGGATCGCATGCTTGTTCTCTCTATACTACCTGCTTTCCAGCTTGTTTTGTTTGCTACTTTGTTTACGAGCAAGTGCACAATTAACACAATTCAAATCATGAAAAAGATTCTAATTTTTCCGAGCGGCTCAAATGTTGACGTTGAGCTACAGGCTTTGGCTGGCGAAAGAAAGAAAAAAAATATCTGAAACAATTATCTTGATGAAAACACGGTGAAAAACACATGGAAAAATGTTATTGCATTAATTGGACAACGCAACACCTTCACATACACATGCATACACACATATGATGTGCGGCTGGTGAAGTCAATCGCTTGCACATACACAGCATATTTTTTTTCCAGCTCTGCTTCTTTCTTTCCAATGTACGAGACTGACTTCGTTGTTTATTGCCTGTTATGGGCGTAAAAATGTTCATACCGTCGATTTGGAATCGCTCACATTTGGTTTTATGCTTCTCGATATATACATATTTTTTCCACAAACTGATAAGATTGGAATCGTGTCAATTGTTCGCTATCTCGTATTTGTAATTGTTTAATGCCATACCATAGGAATGACGCGTGTATGGAACAAAAAATCCAATAAGAGAAATTACTTTGGAGGACAAAGAATTTATTAAGTTATAGCAGTTTGCCCGCATGACGACATCGCATGGGTATTCAATTCAATTTTCGTTGTTTTGATGAATAAATCAATGAAGTGCCTTGTTTGCCACAAATTGACCACACTACCGACCAAATTGATAACGGGCAGCTTGTGTCTCAATAGATAAATAATAATAGTTCGCTCAAGTAATAATGAATCACAGTCTCAATCAAATGCTGACTCATGATAGAGCAAATATTGCAAACATGTTTCCCCCTCATTGAAATTCTGATATCTGTTCCGAGAACACATTGCTTATGACTTTTTTTCGACGGAATTACGTAAAATAAATCGCCAATGGTCATAGCTCAAAGCCGAAGGCCAAATTGTCCCATTCATGAATTTGATTCTTTCGTTTTTTTATGTTGCTTGTGTTGCAACTTGAAGACGTTGCACTGGAAGCGCTGCAAATTTCCTTTCGACACACCCATGTTTCAGTATGTCTGTGCAGCATGCATTTCAAACCATATTCCAATCATAACAGTTCATCTTGTCGGCTATTTTACGTAGCGACGTAGTACATCCCTGAAATGAATAGCAAACGTCACGGCTGACATCGGTTCGGAACAACTGTCATCTGCGGCAACTGTCAGAAATTAAAGTGAACGCGAGGAAAACAGTGTTTTTTTCTGTTTGACCGAAAAAATGTTTACAAACGCAATTGCAAAATTGCCACAGAATTATGGGATTCTAAAAACTGTGTGCCCGGCTGTGCTCAGCGTTCGAAATGGCCATCGAATTCGTGGTAAACCTCATGGCGTTGCCAAAACCATTGAACAGCGGCTGGAATGTAAGTTGAGGTTATGTTTTGCTTTTATTTTTGGTTCATCTATGGAATTTCTTGTGGATTTTCTTTTCATTTTCCCTGAATTAAAAACTTCTTTTCAAATTGATCGTATTCCAACAATGTGTTAATCTGTATGAATTTCTTTAAGATGAAGAAGAAAAGCGGAAACGATTTGATGCTGAGAAGAAACCAGTTGATATTGGATACCCAGTCGCTCGACTATCGCGATCGCAGGAAACAAAGTTGAAAACCGAACACCGACAAAAATTGAAAAACAATGCGGAAATTGAGCGACTTTCCAGGCATCTCAAATGTAAGAATAAGGGGCTTGAACATGAAAGACACACTGAAAATTCATTCAATTTATCTATTCATTTACCCATTTTTTTGTTTGAACTCTTCAGTTAAGTAACAATTTCAATTGACCGAATTGTGTTTTTCAGTGGAAGTCGACAGCGAACAAGTGAAGGAAGACTGGTTAGAAACGGAAGGACAGTTTCAAATAAAAAGCATAGCACAACATTATGGCATTTATGAGCATTTATTTGGATATGCATACTTTGTTCCAAGAATAACGCTTGACATTAAGGTGAGAGAATTCAGAAAAGAATGACATGAATTGATAATAAAGTGTTGATTTTTCTTCAAAAAGTACGCTGTATCTGAAGATGAATATGCTCCGGTTTATTATGGAAATACACTTAAACCAACACATGCCAAAAATCCACCCGAAGTTGCATTTGATGCGAAGAAAAAATTGGTTAATGGTCAGGTATGCATATGAAATGAAGTAATGAGTAAGATTTGAGGAGAATATTTTATTGAAAATTCTTTCTATGTACTCTCAGGCTGATGGTGACACATTATGGACACTTGTTTTAACTAATCCCGATGGACATTTCACTGAAAATGACAAAGAATATGTTCATTGGTTTGTGTAAGTATCTTTTTGATGACTAGCTCAGAAGGGTACTTGATACTTGCATTCACAACATTTTTTTCACTGACACATGAGCATTCATCATGGCATCATTTATGATAAAAAAAAAGAAAGATTAAATCCAAATAACCAAGAGTATGACATTTGCAGAGGAAATATTCCGAATGGTGATGTCTCAAAAGGTGAAGTGATCGTGCCATATTTGCAACCATTCCCACCAAAGGGCACCGGTTATCATCGGCACATTTTTGTTTTATACAAACAGAACAAACAAATTGACTACAGCAACTACCGCGTAGAATCAGTGTAAGTTTCTATCGAAAATGGATTTTCTTTACATATTTCTGATTATAAGTTGATTGCTTCTCAATCGATCAAACTATCCATTGTCGATAAATAGCACTTGTACCCAATTCGTAAGAAATGATTCACTTACCCCTTCCCTTAATTTCAGTAACGATCTGGCGAAGCGAACATTCAAAACATATGACTTCTACCAAAAGTTACAAGACAACATTACGCCGGCTGGTTTGGCATTCTTCCAATCCGATTACGATACAAACCTTACGGACTTTTACCACAATGTGTTGAACATAAATGAGCCAGTTTTCGAGTATGATTTCCCAAGAGCATACCATCCACCTGAGAAATATTTCGCATTGAGACAACCGTTCAATCTCTATCTTGATCGGTATAGAGATCCAAAACAGGTGAACAAAATTGCCTCTCAATTCCCAACAGGAATTTGATAACGTCAATTTGATATTCACAATAATATCGACATTTAATAAGAAAATCACCACTGATAACTAACATGCCTTTAAAAAAAAACGTCTATTTTAGATCAACAAGGAGTTCTTAACCCGTGAGCTGAAGAAAATCCATCCATTCGATGGGCCTGCACCGAAGAAGCAATTCCCAGGCGCTCATCCACTGAAGAATATTCCACAATGGTTGATCACCGAAAAGAAGAAATCACGATTGGGTCACGGTCGTATCAATGAAATCCGAGAAGAATATCGATAGTCATTTAAACGTTCAATTTAATCTATTCACAATTTATTTGTCTTTTGTTGCAATTTAATATACAATTCTACTGTAGAATACAATTGTTGAATAAAGAAATTTTACCGAAAAATAAAATAATTGAAAAGAAGAAGAAATTTTGCAGGTAATTCGTTAAGTCTTAATAGCCCAATTGTTCATACAAAATGTATGAATTCATTCTTTTTTTGTGCTTATGGTATTGCAAAATTATTGTCTTCCCAAGGGGAAAAAAAATTAACAAGAAATCACGTTGTAGCACCGAATTGATTTGAATAAAGCTAAACTTTTTTGCTAGCACCCATTTCCATTCTCAAATCGATGATGGAATCATTTAATGGTTGAAGAAGCGCTTTGCGCTCGGGATCTTTTTGTTTTCTCGATTTTGGTCGATTTCCTTTGGTGTATCGATTCTGGATGCCATCTTGTTCGTCCATCATGTGTAGTATTTGATTTTGGTCGGACGAATCGATTGGGGCAATGGAAATATCACGGACCGCTCTGAATTTACCGCAATTGTTCAAGTGCTCGTTCTCCAACCGGAAAAAGTTCCACACAAATCGACGGAACACTTCAAGTGGCGCCAGAATTGAAGTTAACAAATCACCCGATATGAATTTCGACTCAGTCAAACCGAAACCAAGTAGCCAAACATAACGTAAGAATGCATCTTCGATGATGGCGAAGTAGTAAAAGACCTGTGAAATGCAAAAAAAGGTCAATTTTCAATTGAAATTTTGATTTTTCCGAAACTGTGCTTTTGACCGGCGCAAGATAGCGGTGGCGCCTATTCGCAATTTGCGGAATTTTCAAGAACTATCAATACTTGTTGTTGTTGTCATGAATTTCGCAATAACAAGAAGTATTGATAGTTCCTTAAGTTGCCGCAGATCCTATTTAGGCCCTACCGCTATTCACTGTCACGTCAAATACATTGGTTCTTATGGAAGAGAAGCACAGGTTGATTTTTCCAAATAAAGAGAAACAAATCAACAGTAAAAATGTCAAATAAAAAGATAATCACCGTTGATGAGTAAACGATTTCCTCTCGTAAGAATTTATTATCGCCGGCATTGCTATCAAACAGGCCCCAATCCATTTTAATATCCCAAATGTATGCATAAGTTGACGCAAGCAAACCGCTCAATATCCAACAAATTGTGTATGGATTATCGAACGTTGATTCATACTCCGATGCATGGTAAGCTCTGAGGGTGGCAAAAATCACAACCAAAAATGTTGTCGAATATTTGCCGGCATTGACTAAATGCGGAAAGGCTTCACGTGAATCACGATATCGTCGCAGGCACTGCGCAAAACGGAACCATGCCGGTAAACAATTTACAATTGGGCGATAGGTAAAGTTTGTTTCCATACACTCAGATGTATCTAGAGCGATTAATTTGATTGAAATGATAATTATCGATTAGAATCAGGAAATCAAACGAAATGTTTGGGTCACGCAATAACTTACTGCCAGCATTGAGCCAATCCCCGTTTACGAAGTAGAAGCAAATCAAATATTGAAAATCAAGCAAAGCGGCGGCTAACGAAATCAATTAAATTATTTAAAACGAATTAAATACCTTCGAATTTTTACCTTCGAATTTAAAAAGGTTACTTAAATACCTAACGAATTTAATACCTAAAGAATTTAACTGATCCGCCAGCCAGAAATCAGCGAATCCAACATGGAAGAATGGAGCTGCAATCATTCGACCCTTGAAAAGAGAAATTGAATTCAAATTTATTAGGTAGAGCTTTGCAATTACGAAAATTAGATTTGATTCGTATTTGAATAGGAAAAAAATCTTACCGAAATTCTCAGCAGCCAAAACCGTGCGTCATGCCGCAAAATTTTCAGCGGATTCATTAGGAATATAGCCATAATAATGGCCAATGCAAGTGGATTAATGAATGGAGGTATACTTAAACTGGCACTGTACAGAAAACTTAAAATGCTTAATGTCCAAACAACGCCAAAAATGGCGGCCAACTCCATGAGATGCTGCTCCGACAGATGGTTTCTGGGATCAAGCTCAAAAATAAGTACATGATTTACACCAGAAGAACGCCAACCATAAACGTTGACGCCAATTAAGAATATGAACTCGATAATAAGTAACGGTCCTCGGTACAAACGGAATGCAATTTTCAAATTTTGCGTCGACACATCGTGGAAAATGGCTGCGAAAAATCAATGGCAAGTTTTATTTCACTCATCATCCATGTAATTTTCAAACACAAAAATAGTATAAGTTAGACTCGAAATTATAAATGGGCATGCTCTCATTTTTAGCTTACCCGATAATACTACGGAAATGAATAATACTATAAAGCATCCACTAAATAGGCCAACTTTGAATGTTGTCCATGGGCTTTGATATTCGCCTAACGGAGGGACTCGCAATCGTTTCATTGCCCGTTGACGATCGCCGGCTTCCAATTCATTTGTGACCACCGTTTCCGTTTCGTTGATAATCCGATCGATGTCTTTGTTCGTGAAGAAATGTGACGTTTCCACGTGTTCTTGTCTCCATTTGGCACCATGATCGACCCGCAATAGTTTGTCGTGTTTTTTGAGAATTTTACGAAATCCCGTATAGTTAAGATTTTGATAATTTTGCAACAAAATCTAGTTAAACGAGCAAAATGGAGAGAGAGAGATAAAAAAAAATTCTGTCTGGCGCAAAAAAAAATTCTGTCTGGCACATACCAAGCTCAGGTAGAATTCGCTAAATGCTAATTTCAACTCTTGCACTTTTCGTTGTGGAATTTGTGATTTTTGTGAGGAATTCTTTTTTGTGACACGTTGTGCAGCCTCCTTGGCCTCCTTAAGTTTAGCAGAGAGCGCAGCATAACGACGCGTCGCTTCAGCCAATTTTTCTGAATAGAAAGTATTGATTTTCTTTAATTCCTGATCGCAATACAAAAAAAAGGTTTCATCGAAATTGGCAAAGTGACGCTTTAAGATTTCTTCTTCAACATTGTCAACGGATGGCGCTTCTTCGACTGCCAAATAAATTTTGGCTTTCATTTCCTATTGCCACCAGCCAAACACACATTTTATTGGTTTTTTTTTTTTGGTTTGGTTTTTTAGGTTTCAGACGAAATCATAACGAGAAAACAGAAGAGAAAAAAATCGAATAAATAAACAATTAAGAATAGAACAAAAAATTGTTACAATAGCAAATTGATGGAAATAAAAATGTGAACGATAAAGTTAAACAAAAATTCGCAAATGAAATAAAAAAAGCGACAAATGTTTAGAGAACAAATAATTAAAGCCCAATTGAAATGAACTGCAATCAAAAGTAAATAAATTTTTGTATGTATCATGTCTCTTTGTGATTGATTGTGTAATGAATTGTCGGCGAATGTGAATTGCGCATGTTTTCCTCGATATATCCATTCGAAATGTGATTCATTTGGTGTTTTTGAATGGAAGCAAAAAGCGTTTTTCATTTTTTTTTTCAATTCGATAATTTAACGCTAAATAAATACGCATTCCCTAAACGCTTGTGAATGTGTACACATTTTAATTTTGTTTTTTTTTTTCTTTCATGCTGGTTGGCCTCTGAATGTCTTCGCTAGGAGTATAAATTAATTAATTGTGAGTAGCAATGAGTTGAATTAAAAAGACATAAATAAAATGTTGGTTAAATGATTAGAGAGCGTACAAAAACAAACAAACAAACAAACAGTACCCGAATCGACTAGAAAATACATAAAATAGCTGTACGAGCGAATAGAAAGAGATAAAAAAAATTATCTGGAAAAAAATGACGACAAATTGATGTGATGGCACACAAAAAAGCAAAAACAAATAACAACGTACATGCATTTTTGGAATTGCATAAAACAAAACAAACCTCATAGTTGATGTAGGCTGCCCGCCATTCCGGAGTAATGTGAGCCGATAAATGTTCAGCGAATTTCATTGTGGCGAAATGTCATCAAATACGGGATTCCAATCACAATATCGCTATCTCTTTGTGCGTCGTCGGCTACAAGGCTTGGCAACGCGCAATCGTTTATCTCGAATGTGTCAAAATCCCAAAAATGACTATTAATTTTAATAAAATTTCCGTTTCTCTCTCGTCTTCGATTTTCGCTGTTGCTCTTTTTGCTCATTGAATTTGTACAAATGTATTCACGTTATTATGACGATTCGGTGTTTTTGCAACTGGAGACGACATGTGTCTACACGCATGACACCTTCGATGCGAACAACATGAAAGAGAAAAAAACCCAAATAAAATTGCATAAATTTAAATAAAAGGTTTACGCCGAATCAAATTCTATAGTGTAACTGAATAGAAAAATTGTATTGAGGATGTCACGTGCGATGTAATGAACGACGACGACAAAAAATAAAATCATAATCTAAATACAGAACCCATGTGTGTATATTGCACAATTGCGATAGTTTTTTTTTATCTTATTTTTCGTTCGCTTCTTTTCATAATTTGTGCAATACGAATTGAAAGAAAAAACCGATTTGATTAGCCATTAACTGAAAAGAAAGAGTGATTTATGGCACTGATTTCTGAATGGTCTTTGAGACGTCGTTTGAATATATATTTTTTCTGCTCATTATCGCTGTAAGTGAACACACTGCACACGACACCCTTGAAAAATTACAATTAGTTTTTTTTTTTTTCAATTACCGTGCCAAAAAAAAATACAGAAGAAATGTGTGGAAAAAAGAGTTAATTCAAGAAATTGATTTTCCGAAATGGTGTACACTGTACAGTCGCGAGACACCATACGACAGCAATTATGTGGTTCTTCTTTTTCTATTCGTTCGTTTGCTCGAAAATGTTCAATGAGTTTGACGACGCATATTTACAAAAGTTAAGAAAATTGAAGATAAAAACGAATTGATAGGGCCCAAACGCATATAAAACTCGTTGTTTGTTTATCGCATTTCGAATCGTATATCACATAATTGGTTCACGGTAATATCCCATGTTTATTTTCTCCTGTTTCGAACTGGCAAATATTTTCCTAAGTACTTTGTGTTCACTGATTTCGATGATAACAACTACACGACAAACTCATACATCGCTCCCTATTTTTTTCGCCAACCAAAATCAATTGGTTTCTTCTTCTTTTATGTAACACACTTTAATTTAATGGTAGGTTTCGGCCAAATTCAACCAATTTCACGGAATGAATGCAATCAATTTGTGTGTGACTATTTAAAACGATCGAAACAAAGAGTTAATTGAAAACAAAAACAAAAAAATATGTATAAGAGTTGAAGCGATGTGTGTGTTCCGTAGCTACCGCGACTTATCTTAAACAAACACTTGGTGATTAGCTTTGTTCGATTGTTATGTAGCGACTGAATTGTCGTGCACTCGTTCATTGAGAATATATGTAAATACTATGTTATTATTGGGAATATGTCGTTTTTTTTTTGTTTTGACAGCTTTCGTTCAGTCGAAATGTGTCAGTGCGGTACGGAGAACTCAACTAAGCGCCACAAGTAGATTTGAATTTGACAGATGGGACTTTTGTCGCAGTTTTTCGATTTAGTACAGAATAAAAGTTGAATTTGTACACCAACGAAATTGAAGTGATCAAGTAAAATGTATGGCTACACACCTTTTACGATGATTTTACTACACAGATTTATCCACTACGGTGGCCAAAATGAAAAAGTACGACCGAATTTGGTTCGTTTGAATTTATACTGTTGGTCGAATATGGGCTAACCATGTTTGTTATCGTAATTTTATCGTTAAAATCAATATTGAACCATTCTCCAGGTCTTATTAACCGTTCTACGTGCCTAATCTTTGTCAAACATTGCATTTTTGCCGTAAATTCTACGATATTTGCAATTAGAGACAACTTTATTATCGCTTTATATCCGAAATCAAAGTGTGCCAAGTGATTTGATTGTAAAGCATTTGGAATTTTTACATAGAATCTTTGAAAATTTGTTTGTTAATTTTTTTTTTAGCCAGCAGAAATATGATTTTGTTAAAAATCTTATCGGTTTTGTTTTGTATCTTTTCAAATTTCCCACTGGAGGTTTTCATGATGTTTTGTTTGTTGGTTTTACACTTTTTGAAACAGTTCAATTTGCTCGATGACGTTCGTCAAGTTTTTAGTACTCAACTAGATGATTGACGTTTCGCAAATGTGTGTGTTAGTTGAGTGGTGCTGATGATGTCAAAGTCATCAATAGATAAATAAACAGACAGTAAGAAATGAAACAAACATTGTGTACGAAGAAAAACAACTGTAAATAGTTGCAACAACCTCAAATTGATCGTAATTGACAACGTGCTAACCACATGGGTGAAACAGAAACAATAGATAAAGTGCAAATTGATTATGGGCACAACGGAGCAATTGCCTGACGGATGGATTCGAAAAGAATCACGAAGTCGACCCAATCGATTCTATTATTTCAACACAAAAACGGGCAAAACACAATGGGAACAACCAACCGATAAACACAAACGGACACAACCACGCGATGATGCTGTCTCCAAGCCATCCAGAAATGATTCCAAAGGTCACACATCTCATCACGCTTCGGTACAAAGTCGACTGAAAATCAGCGATAAATCAAAAGATGGTGAGTGTTTTTTTCGACATTTCTACAGAAAAATAAAGTCATTTTTCATGGTTTTCAGTCGATGAATTTATATGAAAACCAGTGATAACATTTTGATAAGCATTTCAAACGAATATTTTTCTCATTAAAAATTCATTTCAACCATTCCGCTTCTTTGTTCATTTTTCTAGTGAAAAAGTCGAAATCAAAAACTCCAGCGCAAGATCGACTTCAGGATCTGGTCGCCACAAACAAAGCGGTAGCCGAAAGCCTGAAAGAAATGGTTGACCCAAAACAATCAACGGCAAGTCCGAACAAGCGCAAACAAATCACGGTTTCGAATGTTGTTGAGAAAAAATCACACACCGTTATCCAAAACAACAATAATGACGTTGACTCAGCGAAATCCGCTCAACCGATTGCCAACAAAGACTCGATTGAGTCAGCTTACCAGCAGGGTGTGTGTAAACAAAGTGCCAATGAAAAACATTCGACCGATGAAATACCTGCATTGTTTCCGTTGAAAAATCCAGCACAGAATCGGTTGAAATTGCTACAACGACAACTGTCATCCGATGTGAATGAGAAGAACAACGATGCACTGCACGTATTCCATAGCAGTTTTGGCATTGGCAATACCACACAGACAACGGTTTCAGACGACATGGATGTGGATATGATGGATTGGGAACCAAGCAACAACGCTTCACCGTACAGTTTTCAGCAGCTTGAAGACATGGTCGTGGAGAGTTTGACTGATTCGGCTTACATAGTACCTGATACAAATGTATTCTTAGACTCATTGGCAGCAATCAAATCAATCATGGACAAAGGTTGGTTCAAACAAGGTTACTTTTTGCAAATTTTCAGTTCAATTTTTTTACTCCACGTGAACGAGTGTTTTAGAAGTTCTCAGTTCAATTTTATAACATTTTGATTTTATTGACATTATTTTCGCTGTAAATAAGATTATAATAGGTGAATAATGTTATTGGAAATTTTCCTGTTTTCAACACCATTATAAATCAATAAAATTAAAATAAATTAATATTCCTCTTCTCGTTCAACAGAACTGAAGTACAGCATTTTGATTCCGTTTGCGGTGCTGCAAGAATTGGATCAACTGAAGCGTCGAATAAACGAAGAGTCGGTGAGTTCAAAATCTTCACGTGCCATCAAGTACATCTACGAGCAACTGAAATCGAAGAATCAACGAATGCAAGGTAAGTTAATTTCTTTCGTTAAAAGACAACTCAAATAGAGTTATTTCAATGAAGAAAATTTTCCTTTGGTTCATTGTAAAGCACAATTTCAATATAATACCCAGCCTTTCATAACAAAGCACAAATTAGCTACCGAGATACTTGGCATTATTCAAATATGACAATTCGCTTTGTTTGCAGGTCAAAAAGCGACGGAGGACAATGATCACATCATCAGTGTAACGAGTCCGGATGACAAAATACTCAATTGTTGTTTGCAGTTGAAGGGTCAATCGAAGGAGGTGATTCTCGTGACCAATGACATTAACCTGAGCAATAAGGCGCTGCTAAGTGACATCGAAGCGATCACATCAAAGCAATGTTTGGAGAAATTTTAATGGGAACACATCACATTCGCCAAAGACTGATATAGTTTAAGTATAGCCAAGTACTACTTTACATGGACTTAAACTTTATCTGTAAATTATTGAAAAAGAAAATGTTTGAAAAGTTTTGAAAGAAATTACTTCCGTTATGTACATATATTAGACTATGAAACTAGAGTTGAAATTGAAATGACCACTTGATAGGTGGCAAAAGTGATTTATTGTTATCAAAAGCTACGAAACGGCCGATAGAATACTTGGTTTTTTCCAACAAATTTACATATATAACTTAAGACTTGTTTACAATTTGCAAGAATGCAATAACAGAAAAGGAAATAAACCGAAAAAAGAGTAATAAACGACAAGTCGAAAGTAACCCTGAAATAGAAACGGTTGTTTTTACTTTGCCTTTACCTGTGTGGCATAGAAGTTCAGCGACAAATCGTACTGTGTCATTTCCGTATGCTTTTACCACATGACTGTTGTATTACATATTAGCGGTCGATGCGTGCCTCGTTTCGTTGTGACCTTTTGTACTGCTGTCAACAATAGCTGCATCACAAACCACTAGAACATGTCCTGCAACAACAACAACCACAGCAGTAGCAACACCATGTAGAAAACGGCATAAAAATAGGTTGTTCTATTTGCGTCGATGGCGGTGAAAGTGAGGTTTTTTTCCCTGTATCAATTTCCATTTACATGTCCATGGGGACGGCAATAATACTCATGAGCTTAATATCGAAGCATGTGTAACGGAAATTTGAAATCCGATTTGCGATGATTGATCGATTGATCTATTCTGAAATTAAAAATAAACCACTTGAACAGATGAATTGGGAAAAAATTGTTTTCTTTGTGAAAAAGACGAATGCAAGAAGAAGATTCGCCTTTGTCTCAATCTGTTGCTGTCCTTTGAACCAAATGCAAAATATGATATATGAAAAGTGGTTTCAGCATTGGATTTTATTGGGTAAATGGTATGCAAAAACTGTCGGTAGGAAATGTCAAGAAGTGGCCATAAACAAAAGTGCCTCGTAAAGCGAAAAAAAGAGCCAACCTATGAGAGTTGTAGTAAAAAGTCGAAGCAAATAAAAATCAATGAAGTGGTCGTTTTTGTGTAGCTGCTGCTGCTGGTGTTTTTTTCTGTTGAGGTATGCTATTTTTTTTTGTACTTTCTTCAAAGCAATTTACGAGAACCGAGAAACAAGCGACGTTGCTGGAAGCGCTGACTGACCGACCAAACCGAACAGATTTCTTGAGGTACAAACGAGGTAGCTTGAATCAGCAAAAATATTGTTTGTTGCTTTGTGCTGTTACGCTCTTACTCCAATGACCCGAATTTCGATGCAATTTATCATTTTATCAATTTTTCGAGGTGAAAATGGAGAACTTTAATCGTTTCTCACATGTAAACGAAGCAAATTCATTGAGGCACAATGTTGTTTCAGCCACACAGCACAGCGAATGTGCGAGCGAGAGAGAGAGAGACAGAGAATAAGAGCGCCTGTCATTTGCAATAGGTTTAGTCAAGTGTATGCATAAATCGTTGTTTGCTGCTGTTGCTGCTTGTTGTAAAATGCTTAAGGGTTTAATAACTATGTGTATGTTTTTTTTTCGGTTCAATTCACGTTCTTTTCCTCTCATTCTGTTCGGTCCGTTTTTTTTCCCATGCATGCATTTTAAATACCGATTTGTTGTGTGTTAACTATTTTATGGTGGTATTTGCGCATTTTCCGCGAATTGTTTGCAACAGCAGCAACAGCAACAATATGAAAACGGAAAAGGCACAGTAATTGCTTGTAATGAGATGGCCCATATTTAAAAAAAAAAACACAGAAGAGAAGAGAGAAGCACGCCATAACACTTCCTTGATTAATACGGAAATGATTTAGATATCTGTTTTGAAAGCAAAGCGAAAACAAAACGCAACACGAAACGCGGCATCGAAATTGCCAAACAGAACGGAATAAGAGCACATCGAGCATGATGTAAATTAAACAAAATAAAATGACGCAAACTCGATCATAATCCGAAGGCGAAAAGGTAGTGTATAGGAATATAAATTTTACTTTTATGCTTAAGTGGATATTTTATAGTAGAAACAGACGGCAACGAAAGATATCATCGACGGGGCAGAATAAAAAAAATGAAACAGAATATTCATTAAGTATAAACCCGCACCGAATACCCAATGGAAAACACTTTTCGTCGACAAAAGTGGAAATGTCCATGCGGAATAACTTACATGCAGATGGAATGCGTCCACTTTACAGTGTACACAGTTATACATACCATACCGCACACCATCCTTCTCACTCTCCAAATCACAACCCCAACCATATCGAGACCCAACAACCATATAAAAATATCTGTGCGATCTTCGGCCCATAAAATAATGCATGCAATTTTCATTGATAGGACTTGCTTCACTGCTTTCGCCATAAAGAAACACACTAGACTGGTCATAAAAATCATAGATATCGAATCTTTATGCACATATTAGAAAAACACCAAGTGCCATTTCCAACTCGAAATTCCAGCCTTTTAACATTTTATTTTTGCATTTTTTATATAAGTTTACATTTTAATATTTAAATAGTTGATAAATATTTGAAAAAAAAACATCGACATCGTTTTCAATGAGAAGCAATATCATTTTATTTTGCTTTCTATTTCGTTTAATGCAATTTGTATTTTGTCACTTTTGTTTATTTCCATTTTCTTTTGTTTTGTTCTGATGACAGTTCAATATCAATGCTATTTGAGGTTGAATAGGTGAATAAAAAATGATGATGATAAACTCACAGCAGCTATGGCCTGATATTAATATTATTAATATATAAATATTGTGATTTAGAGTTCAAGGAAACTGATAATTAGTTTGTTTTGATACAATTCTACTGTTCATATTGCACCGAATAAATGCGATTCGTAACGTGCCGAAATACAGTAATGTGTCACTTTCTATATTGAACACTTTAAGCAACTTGTGTATTTATAAAGGAAAAAATTTCGTTTACAAATGAAAACTCAGTGAGTACCCAAGCTAGTGTGAAGTTAATATAAGTTGAATATGGCAAAATGTTGCCGCCGGGGTCAGTCTAAAGATGCATACCGTACGGTCAAACATGTGTAATGTTGGCTTTCGATGGTAGAGCCAGCAAAGACTTTATGTTATAGCTGCTGGGAGTTTACATAACGAAGCTAATATTAGAAATAATTGGTTGGCTTTATTCAATTCGATTGTGGGCAAAAAACGCTCAAGAATGATATGGCAAACGTGATAGAAGACCATAGAATTGTTAAACCGCATCAGAAATGAAAACCGAACGAGAATGTGGTGCATATAGTGAGAGAGAGCAAGAAACAGTGAAAGAGATACCGATTGAAAACTAGCAAACGATGAGCGCACAGTTGGGAATGGTATATCTTTTCACATTGAAACCGATTATGACATAATTCGTTTAGTTAATAAAAACGAAAACGTTACCAATAATACAAACAATATTGAGTGTCGACCATCCATCACATAGCATGATACAGTGCGTGGTGTGTGCGTGTATGTGCGGCAGTAAATGTTTGGTCGTTGTCGGCTTGAGAGAAACTGACTTAATTTCAATGGTATCGATACGTGAAACGGTTTAAAGCTCTTTGTAATCCGATTTTGAGATCCCTTGTAAAACTCTGCGGTTATTGTTTTTTGATAGCTGTAGCTCGCATTCTGATACATAACTTTTCCATCTGTGTGAACTGCATGCATACATGTAACAGGTTCAGATCGAAAAAGGGGTATAATGTATACAAATCTGGATATCACAATGTGAAAAAAGGGACAAAAAAAACTGTCGACGATGAAATTAAAATAACCATTCCATCAAGAATTCATTCAGAATTCATGACTCAAGCCAAAAGATGACATGAATTCCACGCTTTTTCCGCAAGTATGTTACTTTATGAATCCAAAAATGCTCATTCATGCACGATAAATATTCCTTTATCCTTTTCAATGGAATGCGAACGAGTGTGTATTCATTTGCTCTCACTCACTCGCTCGCTGGATGGCTGACATTCAAGCCTTAATCCGATTCCATTTTACGCCACATAATGTGATGACTCGTCTTTTACAATCAACACGTCAATTTGCAGCCGATAAACCGATGTGGGCTCAAACAGCCAAACATGATGATGACAACGATGATAATACGTACACACTCTACACACACACACCGCATTTGGTTTTGGTGGCTTTTGTTGTTCATTCCGTTCATTTTCCACAATATTTTTAATCAAGTTTTCAACAAGCCCGTAGTGGTTTGCCATCAAATTGCGAATACATGGCCAAGCATTTGATTCACATAATGGCTGAAATGAACGCGAGAAGAAAAAAAACACAAGAGAAACAACAACAATAACAAAAGCAACACGAACGTAGCACAGGCGCTCGTTAAATACTAAACAGAATCAATTCGACCATAGCCTATTTATGGATACCAATGGAAAAATAATGTATCCCCTTTTGCACGTTCTCTGCACGTTGAGCGTGAGCGCACGAGGGCACACTGGTTCGCTTTGTATATTTTTTTATTTACTGTATTGCGCGCGCGCTCGCACCCTGGTTCCAAGCACACTCATGGAAACGGAAAATATGAAAATAAACTTTTCAGTATTTATATCACATTCACCTGGGTGATAAACGAACGAATATGGAATACGTTAAATTAATAAACGTATGAATTACATTTTAACACGTTGATCGTGACGCATAGAATAAATACAACACGGCTGAGTGGAATTGTTACACGGAAATGTGTGTGTGGTGATGGTGATGGTGGTGGTGCTGTGTTTGAATGACTTGTTCTCGAAATAAAAAAACAGCGAACGAAAATGTAAACAGACTGAAGCGCAAGAAAAACACAATTTTTTTGATGAGATGATGCCGATTCCACACACCACTCGATATTCGCTTTTGTGGGGGCTGGTTTCATTTTTTTTTTTTGCGCTCTCGCTGTATCGGATGAAACGTTCCCTTGCGATAAACGTGATTAGATATATTGACAACGATGAGGAAAAAAAAATTGGTAAAATGTAAACTTGAAATCACACAAAAACTCCCCTTTCGATTAGCTTTTTAAAAAACATTTCCGCTGAAATATGTGTTTGCAGTGCAATGCATATCACATTCTATCTTTTCTATGATGACTTTTCCCTCTCTCACTTTATTTTGTTTGTACGAAGCAAAAATTCGGTTTTCGCTTCAAGTTTTCCATTGTTTGTCTTTCCGTTGCACGTAAACAGCTTCTGTTAAAATATTTATTCCCGATTGCTTTATATAATCTTTACGATGCATACACATGTAAATCAACGTTAAGGTTTTCGCTCTTCCTACTCCAGCTTGTTGCTGCTTTTGTTCTCGACTCGGTCTTGCTATTCGACATAGTGCAAATGTGTCGTATAAATTGTTCCTTTACGGCGGATACACAAACTGATTATGGTTTTGCAATGAACGTAACAAGTGCAGTCTTTGTTTTATGCTTTGGGTTTACGGGCGTAGAGAGAAAAAAATGAAATGAAGAGAAACACTGGTTTTAAGAACAACATAAGCAAACCGAGAACGGCAGGCATATTATCAATATTTTATTTTTAGTTCATAGCGCAGTTTTATGCATAAATTCAGGCATTGGCAAAGCGAGTGAGTGAGCAAGCGAGCAACTAAGCTCACGATAGCTGTAATCAGAATGGAAATTCCGTCTATCACTCGTTCATTTGAATGCTTGCGCTCGCTCACAGACGCACGCATCTGAATTTCGCAAAAAGTGTATCACCAGCGGCGTAAACAGAGAGAAACACACAAAGTGAGCAACAGCAAACCAAGGCAATAGAAAAATAAAACACACAGCAACCACCAGTAGCAGCAGTAACATAGAGTAGCAGTTAAATAAATGTGAATTGTCAGCGTCGACTGGAAAGCAAAACAAAGGCATAGGAAAGCAGAGAGTGAACGGTGACGAGCGAGAGTGTGAGGCAAAAGCGTTTGTATACATTAGGCTGGTTAAGTTGATATTGTTGCGGAAAATGTGAATAAAAAAAGATTCCGTTAGGCGGATGGTGATGGTGGTGATGGTGGTGTGGTGGTGTTGACGGCAGAGGTGAAGACGACGGTGTCGGTAGTGGTAATAGTTGTGTTGAGAGACATCCAGTGTCACTCGTATCATTTGATGTTTTTGGAAAAGCGTCGAGGACAATGGCAAAGAGCTTATAATGCCATGACTTTCGTGCCTCATAAAGCCAAATGTGATGCGACGACAAAAAAGAAGCGGCGTTCCAACGGTTAATACTGTCAAAGAGCATTAAATGAATGCAAAGCGCTCGTCTTAAATAGACATTGCTGCAAATACGTTCGCAGCAGTTATAAAACGTGCCGTTATTAAAAGCAATGCTCTCATATTCCAGGTGCAGGAAGTGAGCCGACGAGTGAGAGAGTGATTGAGCGAGCGAGAAAAAGTGGCGCGCATGCAGCATAGCACACGCTATATAAATACAACGGCATTTGATTACCAGATTGAATGACACGATGGATTCGGTTGATATTTGTGAACTTCCTTTTATTGAAAAATTATGAGCGCAAACAAGGATTTCAAGATAGCAAACACTAGTAGGGAATGCGCGGACAACGACGACGATAGGATGGAATGGAATGCGCGTATGAGCGAATTAAATTGCGACATACACACACAATGTGAACATTTCAAGCGGAAGGCAAATATGTAGACGAGCAATAAGCGGAAAAGAGAGAGAAAGAGAATGCGGCGTATGACGGCATTGAGCAACGAACTCATGCTGAGCGCCAGGACAAATATTAAAACGATGAGGCTCAACTCAATTCAACTTTTAATAGAAACATCTATAGAATAACAGCGACTAGTGACTGACGTCGAACGGCAATTTCTCAAAATCACTTTTATTGCACTTTTGAACGCTATATTTTTTTGACTCGCTATCTTGCGTATTTCAACGGACACTTCCCATTGAACACATTGGAATGGAATTGGAGCTCTCTGGCAATATACACCTAGAGCCTGGTACATAAATAAAACGGAACTCTCTCGGTTTACTGTATTGTGTGTTGTGCACAAGGCACATAGATGCGTGTATTGTTGCGCTGCTACTAGCTATTGCTGCTGCTGCTGCTGCTGCTGCTGCTGCTGCATATTGGTGGTTATGATGGTGAGCTTTTTGGCTTGGTCGGTTTTTCCGTACTGGATTTTGCCTTTTCCACATCTTCACAATGTCATTTCGTTGTCCAGTGGACGGCCGCAAAAAAACAACAATTCATAAAATCAAATTATTTTGCGTATCTGATTTTCTTGCGGTAAATAACTCAGACAATAGCACGTGTATGCATTGTTCATAAATTGGTTGTTGTTGTTGTTTTTTGTACGTTGTTGGGTTCATTCTATTTGTCGGTGTGTTGTGTCTATCGATGTAATATGTGTTGAATAGCGTTGCACTGTTGACGCAATCATCAGCTAGTGCCGAATACGAAGACAATAGCAAGAGAATGTGTGTGTGTGTGTGTGTGTGTAAGCTAAAGCGAAAAGCAGCAAGAAAACCACTATGCCGAAATTTTTTTGCGCATACACACTAATGCACATAGCTCTCACCGCCACTGGAATACAGACGCATATAACCGCTGTGCAGTGTGTGCGCTTTCTTCCGCTGCATGATTCTGATCACGTCGCTGCAAATGCATGTTGGAGTTGGTTCGTTTTTCTTTCTTTTTTTTTTTTCAAAGAAGATCTGCGATTTGTCCCCAGTAAACGGTAGCAATGCTATAAAAATCGGCTTATGTGCCGATGAGATAGAAATAGAAAGAGAGAGTGTGTCATACAACATAGAAAAATTGGAAATTCCCTTCGTTTAGACGATGGATGCATTAACACCACCCGTTGCCTACTGCTTGTCGCTGCTACCATTTAGAAACTTTGTTCCTTTTATGGCAAGCAGTTTTTTTTAATTTAACAAGAAAGAAAAGCTATAATAATGTTTGCACATGAAATGTGCGTTAGCTGGGTGCGAAATGTTTTGCTGCATTTGAATAAAGCAAAACATAGCATCAGGAGAATGCAATTATACTTGTGAATGATGTTGCCGTTCATTCAGCCACATACATAATATGTGTATACCGTACATTCACACACTTATATCGGCAATAACAGCAGAAGTAGTTCCATGGAACTTAGGTGTGCATTATTAAATCGACCGACAAATGTGCGCTTCTTTTTTCTCTCAATATTCTATACTCTTTTTTAGTGCCGATGTGTGACCGCTTTTTTTCGTGTTTCCAATTTTTATTTTCTATGTGATCCGAAGAGCTCAAATAAATTCAAATAAAACGCAGCATGCTATACAGCTAAGCTAAACGGCGAAATGAATCGCATATATACCGATACTCTCTCTCTCTCTCTCTCTTTCTCTCTCTCTCTCTCTCTCTCTCTCTCTCTCTCTCTCTCTCTCTCTCTCTCTCTCT